TTAGACATCCTTAATTTAGGTTCTGCCTTTGGAAAATGTTAATTGCTTTGTCAAGTTGTTATTTTTGAAGTGCTGCAGACAGACAGGCCATTACTAGATTAATTTAATTTGAATGTATTTATTATTTTAGTTTAAATGTACGTGTATTATAATATATTATGACTATTTATTATTATCATTATCATTTGTATTACATATTTTATTATTATGGGCAGTCAAGGCTTCTACATTTTGTTACAATGATATTATTTGTATTCAATTGAAATAAAAGAGAGTAAAAATGAAATAGTAAAAAGCCCATAGTGATGTCTGCAAGTCAATTGTTTTGTCCAACCAACAGTTATGGATGATATACAATGTAGACTTCTATAAAGCAGAAAAAATAAGCAAAACATATATCATCATCATATTTGAGCAGCTGAAACCAGCAAATGTTGGATTTTTTTGGCTTCATAAACGACTTAAAACACTCAATTATAAAACCTATTGCCCAAACATTTCTATTGAAGAACATCGGTTGATAAGAAATATACAGTAGAAAAGGCTCCAAATTTGTTCTTCTTGAGCCTCTTTGCTGTGTGTATACGTATTGTCAGAACAGACTCTTACCGTAATATTCTGTGACTACAGGGACAAGACCACATTTTCCTGCGATGAAAGAGTGAGTTGCATCCAGCGAGACAGCGTCCACCTCGTCCCTCTGTGACATCAGTGTCAGTGATATTGGGAGAGTAAACAGGTGAATTATAGTCATTTTAAAGTGTGATAAAGCATTCTTTACATTTATATTATATATACATCACTTGAATGACTCACCTTAATTTTCTCAATACAATCACGGATTGAGACGGCTCTAACGCACACCAGTGGGTCTGACTTTATACTGAGAGCCCACTGCTCACATTTCTTCTGCTCTGCAAGGCTAATACAGCACCATCGCACAACACTGTCTTCCAGCGAACTTCCTGCACAAAAAAAGGGTTCAAAGAAGTCATAAAATCACAGCCGGTCTGCTTTCAATATAAGAATGAACAACCACACACCAGTATAGGTCTGCACCTTCATGTCCAAGACCTTTGAGGAGTGCCACATAATCTAGACCCAGCACCTGACTGACATCCATGTCATCTGCCAGAACAGCCAGTTTATCTGTCGCATCTTTGAAGAGAAGGTCGTTTTCTCCAAAAGAAGATGAGTTGAAGAGTTGGAAGCGTTGCCTCTCTCTTCCTCGTTGGCCAAACAGCACCTCAACGACAATAAAGAGCCTTCAAAGTTATTTTATTGTGGTAAAAGGAAAACTACGGGCATGCAGCCTGGAAACTAAGTGTAACATTTGAAGGCAAAATGGGGGAAAGGAAACGACTAAGTGAAATAAAAATGTACCTGTGCTATCCCTAGAAATTTGCGAGCGACCTTGCGAAAGTTGAACCTGGTGACCATGCCGCCTCCTGGGCCACGTCCCAGATTACAGTTTCTGTAGTGGCTGAGAGGAGCTTGTGTGCCGTCTGTACACAGCAACCTGAGCTCGTCTCTATCACCGTCTGAGAGAACGAAGCAGATGTTACAATCCCCAGAAACCTTTTCACTGTGATCTATAATGGATTCTTCATCGACAGTCCCAAATGTGTTGTACTACTACTACACTGGCAGTAACTATTCATTCCTTTTAGCTTATTGACACTCTGCTCGTTGCAAACTAGAGCTCTCAATAGCAGCAGGTAGAGTTCAGGTGTATCAACCAACTCAGGTTGGTCTTAAACTGCATGGTCAGCTTATCGTAAGCTGGTTTATTAGTTATTATGATAACTGATATACTAAAGACCAGCATGTGATCCTTTATGTGGATCTCATTTTCCTCCTAAACACACATATATGTATAATCATTTAAACTCTTTGGGAATCACTGGTGTAGTTAACTGTCGTTATTTCTCTTCTGTTCTAGTATGTTTTGGTATATTTCCCCTCTATTAAATAGACAAAAAGTAGAGAGTTGTCAGGGGAAAAAAAAGAAAGACACATGAGGGACAATTCAGAGACGCATAGTCAGCATCTTAAACTGCCACCAGGATGCCTAAAAAACGTTTAATTGTAAGAGAATAATTGAATACTAAGAAAAAAGTCCATTAGAAGATAGTCTACCTTCTATACTTTCAAGAGATAAATGGTCCACAAATGCAACATCTCCTGCCCCGCTCCTGAGACATCTGTGACAGAGCAAAAGAGGCAGTACGAGACATTCATGTCTCTGCTGTTTTTACTGTCTACATGTAAAGAGCCTTTTAAAGCACCATAGTAAAAAATGTGTCATCATTATTATTATTATTATTACATGTTTTAAATACAGCAAATGTGAGTTTGAGGTTCACAGCTTGTTGAGCCTGACCTGAGGGCCCCTTGGCTGTTGTAGTAGGGTTCACTGTGGGACGTTTCGCAGTGGTAATTCTTCTGGCGAATGTAGGACTTCTGGCCTTGGCACAGAGCACACAGAGGTGGTGCCATGGCTGCAGATCCAGGAATGCAGCTGGCACTGAAATAGGTGCTGACATCTGCTCGAGAGGAGAAAAACAAGTGAGGGGAATGAAAAACCAGAGGACCAGGGGAAAAAAAAGAAAAACTTCCACACTGTGCAACTGATTATAATGTCGTTACCCTGACTGAGCGGCTGCTCCTTTGACCAGCTCAGGTAGTTCCGGGACAGCAGGAAGCCAAGAGGAAGACTCCATCCAGCTGTCCATCGAACTCCACTGTGACAGCTCCTGTGGCCCTGTAGGGATCGTATGTCCAGACTGCTGTTTCTCACCACAGCCACAGACAGAATACAGCCTCCTGCAGGACTCAGTTTAGACACAGACATACACAGACAGGTACACTGACTCAGACACTAGTGCTGAAGAGACATACTGAAGTGTCTCAGAATTGTGAGGTAAACCTACCTTCACTGTATATCTCCTTGGCAATGGCAACGAGGCCGAACTGCTTCACAGCAGAATAAACTTCTCCTGCATCTAACGTCACTATATCAGCACGGTTAGCCTGAAACAAACAACAATATTACAAAATAAATCCTTGTAATAGTGTTCTATAGGGTTCATACACCTTTAATCATACATATGGTAGCTTATTAGTGACAAGAAATTGCAGTCCACAAAGGTCAAAGCTATGTTTAAGGTAATTTAGAAACAGTGTCTTCATTCGTCCGTCCATCAGGGAGCACTGACAGTGATTTGTATTTAAAAAAAAAAAGTATATTGGCCAATATTTAAATATTTCAACCCTCAAATAACAATATTGGTCTCAAAAATTCATTATTGGTTAAACTCTAAAGAGAAAGTTTGGCCTCATTCATTGTTGACCTGATCTGCCCTACAGGAAAACACACTGTATGAATCCACTTTTTCCTACAGCTTACGTCTATTATCCTTTCAAACAAGAAGAATTCCAGCTAAGCATTAAGGAGTTTTCATCCTTTATTTGTCAAGAAAATGCTTTATTGTAAGAATTTATAAAAACACACACATAAACCCTATAGTGATGTTTCTTGCTCTTTGACCTTTGTGCAACTTCTCGCTAAATTTATGGTATTTAAGTTGAAGGATGACTCACCCTGATCCTGTCGATGCAGTCAGTCGTGCTGGACGCTCGTATGCATGAGAGTCTGGCAAAAGCTGCCACAACAGCTGGTGGCAACACTGCCACCAAAGCTTTAGCTAGTTCCGCACACTTCCTCTGTTCAGGATCTGACACGGTGCACCACCGCGTCTTCTTAGCTAACATGCAAAGAACAGTTCACACAACTTTATAGGAAGCTTTGTCAGCTTTTATTAAGATGCAGGTATGTAATACATTTCTTCATCCATTCATTAAATAAGAAAATCTAAATCCAACATTGCATTTTGGCAAACTGTGAAATGATTTTACAACACTTACAATATTTAAATCAGTTTTAATACAAAAAGCTCCAAACAGAGGGCAACAATCTTTGCATCAACATCTACAAAAGAATAAAAAAGACTTTCAACAAAACAATGACACAGTATATGAACATAAAATAACTTGCAATGCAGGTAAATTCATTTGTTCAGTAAGAAAACTTACCTCTGATGCAGCAGACAAAGATGAAAAAGAGTAAAATGGCATAAAGTCCTCTCATTCTGGCCTGTGGAAGCTCAAATCTGTCTCATGTAGTCTGGAGAGCACAACAGACAGCTGTCCTTTCTCTTAGTCTCGAATTTCAGATATACTCCTGCGCAGAAAGTATTAGAGGTTCTGGTACTAACGGACAAATACAAAACGTATTGTGCAAGGGCTGCTCCTCTGAAAACACTAAAGTCACTTTTTTTTCCACACATATGGAAGATATTTAGCACCATCCGTCACAAGGACGACCCCTAGCCAATGTTTTTGTGTATTTAAGGTGTAGATGTAGCAGTGAAAGTTGCTGTAAGGAACTTGGCTTTAAAGTTTTTTTAATGTCCGTTGTAAGACAGTTTCCATGATATTTAACAAGAATAAATAGCAATATAAGGTCAATGAGGTATAAATGTTTATAGCAAAACATGTAACAGCTGGTCAAAGGTTCAGCAGAAATGATGATGATGAGTGTGTGAGCACTGTTTCCTGTTGTGTCGTAAACACAGAGTGATCTGTGAGGACAGTCTGTAAATGCTGGATCCTCTCCGCATGTAGCAGCATCGTTGGTTTCCTTTTTGCCAGTTCAGTGGACAGTCTGCCGATGCGCTCCTCCAACTGTTAACATCGAAAACATCAACTGTGACACAGGTAAAACTAACTTTGAGTGTCAGTGATTTCCAATCTGGAAGAAGTATTTAGACTTCCCCACTACACTGCATTCAAACAAACTTTACTTAGTAAAAATATTAAAGTACTATCAATACAATTTATAAAAGTATATCAAAAGTAAAACTACTCATTATGCAGAAAAATGGTACCTGTGAGTGTTTTACTGCATTAATGCTGCATTATTGTGTATGTTGCATTTTACTACTGTAGATTAAGATTAAGGCTGTGCTCATTTTAACTACTTTTTATACTGTTGGCAAGTTTAATCTACAGTTTAAAGTCATTTTTCAGTTCAGAAACACAGCTCTGTTTTCAGCTTTGTGACTATGCATTTTCCAGATAATCCAAAATCCAAGTTGTTTTTAAATTGTGTATTTAATTTAAGAAGTAGGAGAATTTTCTCAACACATAAAGGAACACATAATCCTTCAGTTTATCATAAAAATTAAAAATAAAAATCACCAAATGTGGAGATACATATTTTTCACTGGCCATGAAAGGTATGAAAGCCGTCAGACAAATGTAGTGGAGTAACAAGTACAACAATTGCCAAGTAAAGTATAAGTATCTTGAGTTTCTTTGAGTAAATGTACTTAGTTACACATTCTAAAACTGCTGATTTCATACCGTTTCCCCTTATGTGACTTCTCATCCCTCATTGCTGCCTTTTCACAGCCAATGATTTACTGTCTTCTCAGGAATGCATGCACAATTTAAGCCATCAGTGGACATAATTTGGGAAGTTACTCAAAATAATTTCCATAATTAAAGAAACTTGAACAGGTAAGAGTATTTCCTCTTATCATATAGCGTTATAGAGTTATGAACATCTCTTTTTTTTCACAGAGTAGTAAATCAGAGAATATAACTAATAAATTGGTTACCTTATAAAGCACAAATAAACACCGCCACTCCTCTGCAAAACCCTCCAGAAGCTCCACATTGCCAGTACACACACTTATAGTGCATCATAAGTGATGATTAAGAGGGATTATTTGTGGATGAGTCATTGTTTGTTAGGAAAATCCTACTCAGTATGCCTTCAACATAAACAATGATAAAATGATCTAATCTTCTTACCTCCTTCAACTCTTGAAAAACAGCACTTCTTTCCATTTGTTCGTCCTTCCCGCTGGTCTGCAACCAACTTTGTAATACCTCTTTAAGTTTTTGCGAAGCCCTGAGTGACCCACACACACACACACACACACACACACACACACACACACACACACACACACACACACACACACACACACACACACACACACACACACACACAATAAAAGGTACCATGTAAACACTGTGTTCAACAACTCAACAAGCATGTAAAAACTATTCTCACAGATTTCTTACCGGAGCTGCTTCCTGTCTTGTTGGTATGTCTTCATGTCCAGCTGGATGCTGAGCAGCTCTTTGGTCAGAGCTGAAGTTGGATCCGCCGCTGCATCTTTTACAGTTTTTTCACCGGACGCTCTAAGACGCACGTCTTGCAGAAGCATGACAAAAAGTTGTTGCCACTTGATCACATGTTCTGTATAAACCAAGCTAGACAATCATTCCTTCCTAATCTGTCATACCTGGATATGTTGAATATTGTTTAAAGGGAGGAAGACGTGGAGCATCTCCAGAACCTGAGCTGCTGGTCTTCTCCAACTTAAAAAAAAAAGAAAAAAAGAAGAAGATATAACCCAAGTCAAGTCACTTCATTTAGCACTGAATCCACACCAATATTTGTCCAAGTCAAACAGGTGATTATTACCTTATCTTCAGTCCCAGTGGTCATGAAAGCAGAGGGGGGTAAAAGGACGTCTTGGGTTTCCTGAGGAGAGCCCATAGTGGACATGTGAGATTTAGAGGGTGACACATTACATATGGCGGGGCTCTGATGTGTGGAGGTAACAGGGACTTTAGTGGGATGGAGGCAGGGCAACACTGTGCGACAACTGAGCTGCGAGTGTGGAGGTGCTTCAGCGCCGGTGACCGCCGACTGTTTATGGGTGCTAGAAAACGAGAGAAAAAGCTTGTTTAACATGATGTTTCATTTTAAGCTGAATTCTACTTTGAAATCTAGCAATTAAAAGTAATGTAATGTATATTGATTATGTAGAAGACTAGAGTGTTACTTCATTTTCAGTGGAGACTCAAACAGTTCCTCGCAGCGGCGGGGCTGACGTCGAGGCGTACGGCTGAGTAGTCTACAAAAAAAGAGAGAAAAACTCTAAGATTGAGTCCATGTGTTGAACACAGAATTACAGCCTGTCAGGGACTCAGACTCACAGCTTGCTAAGCACTCCATCTTCAGCCACCTGCTCCGCTGAGTAAGACGGGGAAACACTCTTCAAACCAGGCGTAGACAAACTGAAGGTTACACTCTTTTTTGTTGGTTGCCCTTTGACCTCTTGCTCCCTTTGGGGTTTACACAGCGCCCGATGCTTCCACCGCATAGCACAGCGCTTAACCACTCTCTGGAGATGTTGTGATCTCTGCAGGACACAGGCAGACTTGATGAACTCAAATTGAACATCTGAAGGGACCCACTTACTAACCACACACAAATACACACCTGCTCTTGGCTGTGCTGCGTTAGACTTGTTGTGAGATCGTTCATATGAGCAGCGTACGTGAGGATGCAGGTCACGCCCTCCCTCAGCAGCTGGTCTCTGTAGACCTGTGCAGCTCTGGCCGCATGCTCTTGTTTCCTGCGCTGCTCTGTGACCCACAACCTCCACCCATACAGCACCTGCAACAGGGTCACAAAATGACGCCAAGACACGTTAAACCTTGTGAGCGCCAGTTCTACAAATTCAGTGCTCGATTTTGCAGTGAGAGAAGAATGTGCAGGCAGGTGTTACCTTGGCCTGAAGAGTGAGGGACCAGTGCCAGAGCGCTCGCTCCGTCTGCTTCACCTCTCTCCGTCTGTGCTGCAGCTGTTAGCAGGAAGGAAACCAAAGTCACAGTTTAAATCCACTAAATAAAACCACAGATATTGGTCGGACTGTCTGACCTTGATAGCTACTCATACTGATGTTCCATATAGGAAGCTAAACAATTTGCGCCACAAGAAGCTACTTCATACAAATAAAACAACAAGCCATTATGAGAAAAAGAATAGTAAAAATCAAAGCAGCAGAAGCTGAGATCTCCTGACTTTTTGTCTTTTGTATGGGTCAAGCTAAAAAAAAAGTATGGATCCTATAATTTAAATAATGCATCTGTTATATTTTCAAATTTTACACAGCTCCTCCAGAGCCATAGAGGACATTATACAGCTGTTACTGGCTGTGTTGTGCTTCTCGTGACAAGTATAGTTATCTTAATGGGAAAAATCAGTGCTGTTTAAGAGTCTGTGAAAAAGAATATTAACAAACCTTCACTCTCCACTCTTCAAAGTATGTCTGGTACATCTTTAATCTCAGCAAAAAGAGTCCCTGTCGTTTCATCACCTAAGAAATAATCACATTTTCAAAAAGCATGAATCATGAAGTCAACAGTGTGGCTTTATAACAGTTGAGGGATAATGAAGTAACAACCTTATTTTTCTGACATTGCAAGTGATGCTCATTCCATGCTTTCAGTGCTTTAGAAAGGAGCTTGGACTCATGGTGCCGTCTGGCTTTTTCCATGCATATCCTCTCTCTCCGAGCCGCCCTGGTTTTCTTCCTCCATTGTCTGAAAGACCACAGCAGCCGCACTAAACACAGAAAAAAATCTAGTTTAAAAAAGTGTGGATCAATTCAGGTACACATGCCTAATCTTAAACTTAATAGCTGTCAAATCTGTGGTGGAATAGTAGGAAAACAGTGATACAACGTAGACAAAAAGTATGACTGGGACATAAGATTGGAGAGAGGCTAAAAGTAAGTTAAGATACTTATTTTTGAGGTGGAAAAAATTAAGGTTTCTTGTACAATGATGATTTTAAAACTTTAATTTTTCACCACAGCCTGTTTTGTATTGCGTGTCTTTGAAAGTTGGCCAATCAGCTGTCAGCTGTAAGACACTGAACTACGAACACCTAACTGTCGAGCTGTAGGTGTAACACATTACTACCAAAATACTTTGCAGGAAGGTGACATTCACATAAAATATGTATCCGTTAACAGAAAAAAAGTATTGAAACTAAACCGCATGTGGTCATTGTAACAAGTTCTGTTGTTACCTTGATTTATGGACCTCTGAGCCCGGCTGACTGCTTCCCTCTGCTGGTGGCGCTGTGACACTGCATGTGTTGCCGTTTCTCTCCAAGCACAGAAGACCTTGATAGATTTTGTGCAATAACAGCTATGAGCAAAGCTGCCACAAAATAAATAGCTATGACAGTTTTTCATATGAGGCCACCAGACTGCTTTATAACCTTAAGTTGAAGGAGATGCTGAAAGTGGTCCTGTGCTCGTTGCTCCATGAGCCTGACTTCTGTCAGCAGCACTGCGTTCTCCCTCCAAACAGACAGAACCTTCCTGAAGAGAGATTATATTGAGACGGAATGCGAAAAGATGGTGGGTCAGTGACAGTGTTTTATTTATCACGCACCAGTAGTTTCTAATTAGAAAACTTCAAACTCAAACTTCAGATCTTATACATAAATATCCGAGTTCAACACCTGAGAAAGTTCTGTTCTCGTTGACTGTAAAGTTCCTCAGCATGGCGGTAGATCTGACACATCTGTAGGTGGTGTGTCTGTGAATACAGCAGGCCGCAGTTTATCAGCTTCAACATCAGCTTTATTACTCCAAACTTAAGAAATCATGCGATTATAAAATAATGATGTACCTTCCAGGCCACAAATGTGTGTTTGAGAAGTTTAGCTTCATGGTAACTCTGTATTTCCTTCATTCTGCTTTTCTTCACTCGCTGCATCTGAATAAACTGACACACACACACACACACACACACACACACACACACACACACACACACACACACACAAGTATCACTGCTTCCTTGATTTTATTGTGATTTTGGATTGGTCTTGTCGTATTGAGCAAACTAAGAAGAGGAGCACAGTGTTCCTGGGAAATTATAGCAGGTTACATGCTGACATATTAGTCCTCAGACTCTAGTTTGAATTAATAGTTTAATAAACCTTGAGTCTAAAGAGCAGACGCATAGCAGATATTATTTGTAGCAGGTGTTGTGCAAACTGGAGAGAGAAATATACTACAGTCACCTTTTTCCATTTTTCCACAGCCCATCTCACGCAGCACAGGTCACCCTGATGACAAGCCTGCTTCTCTCGATTTCTCCTGACATGCAAACAAATGTGATCAAAAATATATGTTCAGCCAACAGACAAGCAAGTTCACTACTCTTACCAAACACTTAGTTTTCTTCACCTGTCTCGTATCTCAGTGCTGTTGTCCTTCCACTGTGCCATCGTCTTGTGAAGCAGTCTGTGCAGGTACAGACGGTCTGAAGCCGTCTCTTTCTCCTCCTCGTTGATCTGCTGCTCTGTCCGCTGCCTCCAGCGATCCCAGGCTCCCTGCAAGTGGCACCGCTCCTCGTGTAGAATTGCCTGATAACAGCGAGTTATCTGTCAGTATCTGATACGCAGCTGCGCTCTTAATCAACTGCATGCAGTAGACTGTGGTTCCTTTTACAGCCAACATACCATCCGCTCAGAAAGCATTTGCTCCTTGTGCTTCTCTGATTGTCCCCACCAGGTGTAAAACACCCAAGTGTACTGACGCTGCCTGATTACAAAGTGATCAAAGAAATTACAACAGTCAGATAAACTCTGGTTAGTTTGAAAATTAATTGCAGCACAAGTATGAATCTGGTAACTCACTGATTATAGACTTCTGCCTTGTGTTGCCTTTGTTTATGGAGTCTTCTCTGCAGCGTAAACGCAACCCACGAGACGAAACACCGAGGCAACGTGTGCTCAGCAAACCAAATGTCTGCACGATGCTCCAGCTCCTGCAGATAAACATGTTTTTGAGTAATTACATGCAGTAATTATTATGTTTGAAATGTATCCTAAGAATATATGTAGAAATGTGTCCTCATCTCTGCTCTGTAAGTCATCTACTGGATCTAAAAATACCTGCATGTGTCTCTGTTCAGCAAGTTTCTCTCTCCAGTGGTGAAAACAGCTGCTCAACAGGGATGTGCTGTAAGGAGGAAAAACTATTCCAGTCTAAATATAAATTCAAATTATGCAAACAAGAACAACTTCATATGAAATCTGCCACATGTTTCTAGCTTGGATGCTACATTTTCCCCTCTAGGTCAAAGATAGCTACTGGTAGGGATTGAGCACCTGTAGTTAGTCACTGCCATATCTCTTAGGGTTTGAAAACTCTTGTCTTCAGCCTCTTCCAGACGGTCCTGCCACAGCTTCCAAAACTTATTTGACATCTATTAAAAAACAAAACACAGACATTTAAACCTTCAGAAGCTTTAAACATGTTACGTAAAGTATACAACTGGCAGTATAGTATTAGAATGATGTCGATTACAGTTTGATGATAATGTTGCACAGCCATGTTGTTGTTCAGTCGGTGTGTTTTGTTCCAGATGATGTTACAAGAAAGTCCTTGCAATCCAGCACGCTGCAGCAAGAACACAGAGAGATCAATACAATAAATTATTGCACTCTCTACTTATTACTTACTAGCGGTATATGCTTAATTTTTTGGGGATCTCACCAGCAGATGATGATGATGATGTTGACTTGCAATCCTGTTTCTTTCATCCTCTTCTCTGCACAACGTCACATCTACTGACGAGTTCAAGAATCAAACAACTTACAAGCTTAAATTACAAGCTCTTACTTTGCCTCAATGGACTACTTATGATGCTACAGTTGGTATGAAAATGGATAGTATGTTTGTGTTATGTTTGGATCAGGATACAAGCTTTCCAGCGCTCCAGTGCTCTGCGTTGGGTGCTCTGTACGGCCAAATGCCCTGCAGCCTGCAAACGGTCCTCCTCGCTCCATTTGCGATGCAAAGCGTGGCTCCATTTACTCCAACACATCATCACCAGATGGAGATGGTACGCACGCTGAGCCACAGCTTAAAAAAAAAGTTGAATATGTTTAAGAGGTCTAGTATGAATTAGCTTGATCTTTATAGTATGTAGTATGAAGAAAGACAGGTTATCTATAATGACCTTGTGACTTTTTCTTGGTTTGAAAACAAGACACATAACTTTTCCAACGATGTAACGTTTTTCTTTTCAGTCTGAAGATGAAGTGAAGTGTAGCTTTGGATTCTTTCTCTTTCTGGCAACAAGCTGCTGTGTGTATTTCTTTCCACAGATGCCAGGTCTTGACAAAAAACAACAACAGAAGAATAAAAATAGATCAGTATTCATCAAACATAAAATTGACAGTATATGATTTAAGGGTGCCTTGGTGCATGTCTTTACCCTTCTCTGCAATGTTAACGCCCTCTGTTTCAGGGCTTGGTCCTCTAAAGTATAAAACTCTTGATGCTGCTGCAGCCTGCTCTTCCACAAGCTCCACGCTGAACTGCACAGGTGAAACAACACAACAGCGTTCAAGCCAATAACCTGCTAAGCAGTGTAGGTCTGACTTTAAATACAGTGCTCTTACTGCAGTGTCGTGAGTCTGTTCAGCTCGAGGGCAGATTCAAGCATTCTGTTCTTCATCCGCCTCATCTCTGTGAAAACCTCCCATCTGTCCAAAAACAGACGCAGCCGTTGCCTATCAGCTGGTTAAGGAAACAAAAGGATTAATGACGAAACAGCTGCTTGTGATATCTAACAAAACACAAGGCTTCGAGGTGAGATACACTCTCATTGTGTGTGCCAGAAGCATACCAAATGATTGAGCTTTTTGGACTTTGCTCTTCTTTTCCCTCTGCAGTGACATAAATGTTCGCCAGCTATGAAATGCCAAGTTATACAGATAATACCTGAAACACAAAATACATCATTAGCAGACATAACCACTGTCTGTGAGCAGCTGACTGAGGTACAAGACAGCTTTGTGTACCTGTAGTGACACTCTGCCCGCATTGTAAGACTCCACTCCCTCCTGGACACCCACCACTCGTCTCTCCATCCTTCAAAGGCTCGTCTCAAGACCACGCTGTTATAGTGGGACCTGCAACATGCAATGTTACCTCAGAAATCAGACTCAGATAGGACATTTGAAAGTGGCAAACAGACAGCGATCCTTTAGCTTTAAAGATAAAATGAATTATAAAGGTTTTATTTCAAAGCCTCTGGGTTGCAAAAAAGTGTACTTGGCTTGATGAGGAAGAATTCGGCCAAAGGTTTTCTGTATCCATATCTTCAGGAACTTCCTTGCCAAGTGCCTGCAGAGGTTGAAAAGGTTAAACAAAGTTATACATGATAAAATAAAAAGTTGTACGCTGACATACAGAAAGTGTGCCAGCACCTTATTCTCAGTTCCTTGAGTCTTCCACCTTTGTTCCAGCTGTATCCAACTCTGTAAGGAACCTTTCTGGTGTGAACTCTGCGGATTTGTTTTGTTTCACCACCAGAACTGACACTGGGTCGGGGTCTCACTGGATCTGGCTTTCTGGCGTTACTTTGCATTTCACACTCAATCAGGCCGCTTGTGTGGAGAGCTGTAACACCACTACATCACATGTGAAATCAAAGCAACAAAGACCCAAACTTTACCACGCCTTTAGGCCATTTGCATCCTTCGTCCAGGAGGTGAAGACGTTGTTTGGGTGACTAACTGCCGCGCGTTTGTTTTTCCTTGTCACGTGAACCACACTGGGGTCTGTTCCAGGCGCAGTTGTCCATGGCAACAAGTTTAGCCGATGCTCTGCGCAGTACGTTAAATGTGTCTCTCTGGGACTTTCACACGGTTTAATATTGTTTTTCAGGTTGGAACTGAGGTAATAGTTATAAGACGATGTCCTATGTTCAAGAGTTTATTAAAATTGTGACATATTTATTTTCGCTGCGCGGTGTGGATAACGTTATTAAAAATCAGTCAGGAACGTACCCGTGGTCCTTTCAGAGTAAGGGCTACTCGCAGTGTATCTCCCGGACAGCCCGTGAGGGCGGTGTCTTGCATTTATACAAAGAAGCGACGGGCGACGGCTAAGACAAAGTTACAAATCGAGCAAACCCCACGACAATGAATAGCTGCCCCAAAAATTGCCTCTTTAATGTTTTAAGTTTAATGTAAGTTGTACCGCTACGAAGCAAGAGATATTTTTGGCCACGGTTTATATAGTAATTTATTACAGTTATGTATTATGGTTTGAATAATAAAATGCAACACGGCCGACGCACACGAGACTATCGTCAATTCTGCAAAGGCGCCGCGGGCACAATGTAATCTTTCCTAGGACCTTCTTAAAGCGGTGATCAGAGGAAAATTGCTGCTACGACTTAGAAAACAGAGAAAGAGCAGACAATTGTTTGAGATTACACAGTCACCGTGTGAATTAATTCATCATCTGGAGCTGTGTTATTGTGTTTAGTTACCCTAGTACACTCTGCTTTTACTGAAATTACTGCAACAACTCAACCGGCTTAAGATTTGGCAACGTTACTCGCTGGGTGGGCATTATCCCCATTCCCCAGCTAGTTAGTTAGCTAGCTAGCTAAATGTGCTAGGTTTGCTAGCTAGCTAACTAACGTGAACTGCCGCTGCTTGGCCGCTAGCAGCCCGCATTCAACGCAGCAGTCAAACTGAGTAAGTTGGCCCTCTTTTGTGTTTTTAATTGTACTAGCTTGTACAAATTATATACCTCGAAGTTGGTTTATAGCTGACTGTGTGTGGGACGCTAGCTTAGCTAACCCCCCCCACACACACACACACAAATGCCTGGGCTAATTGTTAGCGTATATCTTCCTAAAACTCAGTAAAAGACGATTGGTTTGGTGATAGTTTGGTTAAGTGACGCCAGTGTTTTGTACTAAACCAGCTTCGTTCTCAGTTCAGGAGCCACAGTGAATTTGTCAATTAACGCTAACACTAAATGATTGTAATCGATACGTCTCGTCTCATGTCAGCGGTCTCTGGCTGTTGTCAATTAACTTGCTAATTAGCTAGAAGCGTTTGTTAAATGTTAAGTGTGCTCGACGTTAAATGAAGTTTATCGTTAAATTGATTATAATTATAGGTTGTGCTGTGTGTGTGTGTGTGTAAGGCCAGGTCACTTTCTTGGTTTATTTTTTTGATTAATCACTTTTAAAATTGTATCGACACGAAGGATGTCTCTATTGCTTTAAAAAAATGCTTTCAGTGATTGCCGTCAGTGATCATCCGAAGCATTCAGTTATATTGTCCAAACATATCAAAATGAAGCAGCTCATATCATGCTTGATTAACGTAGAAACTTTAACTTTGTTCCCAACAGGAACGGAGTCATTGTTGGACTGGAAGCTGTTTGTTCTGCGTCTGAAATCAGTCATGGAGAACGATGCTTGTGCAGAGCAGAAGAATAGCGATACTGCTGTGGACCAAGTTAAACAGCCAGCAGCCACAGTTCCTTTCAGATACACCAAGGTGAAGAAAAAATATAAACAATATGATATCTGAGGTCATACAGAGTTCTTCCGAAAACAAATTAACTGTTATCAATTATTGTGCAGGAGGAACTTCTGGAAATAAAAGAACTGCCGGTCTCCAATGAAAGGCCAGATTGTCTGTCTGAGAAATATGACAGGTAAGAATGAGACCACATAGATGTGCTGCATTAAAAAAAGGCAACAATATTGATGGACATTAATTGATGATTTTTGTCTAAGATTCTCAAATTGAATTGCAGTATGTGGTGATTGTTTTATAGGAAAACAGGATTGTGTTTGACACTTGCCAGAGCTCAAGTATACATAATAATAATAATAATAATAATAATAATAATAATAATAATAATAAATAGGCGTTGTCTAAGTGTGCTGCTATGTGAAGGAGCTAATGGTTTTTATTCAACAATTATTTTGAGTAGATTTAAATAGAGCCTGTTAGGCAAACACAAGTGTGTGCAGTTATTTTTGGTTTCTTTCACACCCACTCAAACACACTAACTATTCACAAACTTTGAATTTCCCAATGAATATCATTTGGGTGGCCTGAATGTCCTCAGGACCTGCTCATATTTGGTCACATTACTTCAGTTTTGATTTTTTCTTTTTTAGTTTGAGAAAATATTTACAGTGTTGCAAGTCGCTGGTCAAGGAGAAATATCAAGCAAATGTGTGCTTACATGGGAGTCTGATATATAATCTTTCTCTCTCCAACAACTGATCATCCCCAGTTTTTTGGTTGTTTAATACTTTTTTTTAGATTTTTTTTTTAGATTTTCAACCCTGCAGAACCCTGCCTCCTCAGGGAGTGATTTTTTGACATGGGATGACAGATTATACATACATACAATACAATAAAGATAAAGGTTGAACTATTTTAGTCTGTAAACTAAATGAATGTCTTTTTAAATTTGGGTTTAAATTGGTTTTAATACAGTGATGGTGTCTGGGACCCTGAGAAGTGGCATGCCTCACTATATCCCACTTCAGAGCGTAGCTCTCCGGTGGAAGGTTTTAAGAAGGACTATGTGGATGATAGAGTTCCTTTGAAACGAAGAATCCCAGGTAAACGTCACAAAAATCATTAAATTATCTTACTGTCTGTAGAAAATGTTTCTGTAAATGAAATGCTCACAAACCCTGAATATTATGCCTAAACAAATATGTATTTGAACTATAAGATTATATAAATGAGGCAGAAATAAATATTCTTAGAAAACTGAAAGACCTTTTTAAATCGAGGCTTACTTTGGTTTGTTAATAATGTGACTGTGGCTGTGTCAGTGTACTTTAAACCTCTAAAATGAGCCTATTTTCAAATCAGATCCTCGTGAGCGGTTAAAGGAGGATGATCTGGATGTCGTACTGAGCCCACAGCGGCGCAGCTTTGGAGGTGGATGTCAAGGCAACGCAGCGCTTGCACCCCACGCCCGTCGCCCAATTAGCCCCCTGGAAAATAAGGAAAATGAGAGTCTCCGTCTAGGAGCTGCACGCAGAATCGGCAGTGGCCGCATAATTGCTGCCCGAGCCTTTGAGCGAGAAGCCCGTGCGGAGAAAGAGAGGGAACGTGAGAGAGACTTTAAGGATAAAAGATTCAGGGTTGGTGTTCATTGCTTTCAGTCCATCCATAATGTATTTCCCTTAGCGTTCCGATGGCGAGGCATTCAGTGCATTGAGGTTGGCATTTCTTTGCAATCCCAATGAAAGTAGTCCACAAAACCACAGGCACATATGCTCTTCACTTTGTTTCAGGAAACTACCTGTGGTTTGGAATTTTGACTTGGCTCACTAATCCAGTGTTTATATTATATAAAGGCAAACAACGCTACTTAGTAAATGAGGAAGTTGCTGCTTGGACTAGTTTCATCAGTGTGAAGTCTCCATAGTTTATTTCAAGAATGATTTAATCCCATTTCTAGCAGTATGTGAAGTAAAGATATATTATTGATATTATGCTTGTCTTGTCTCATCCTTTTGCAGAGAGATTTTGGCGACAAACGTGTGTTTAGTGAAAGGAGAAGGAATGACTCTTATGCAGAAGAGGAGCCGGAGTGGTTCTCTGCGGGTCCCACCAGCCAGTCTGAGACAATTGAGCTCATTGGATTTGATGACAAAATCCTGGAAGATGATAAGCGCAGGTCCAAGCGTTCAAGGAAGCGGGCAGAGTCTTTAAAAGAAGGCACGTCAAAGCCTTGCTCTTCAGAATTACAGCATCATAATGCAGTTTGCCCCCATGTGTTTTAATCTGTTACTTATTGCATGGTATTATTTAAAGAACTTATTGTGACTGCTATCACATTAGGATACTTAAAATTGCAATTTTTGTTGTCACATTTGTTGCGTGCAGTAGTGGAATGTAATGGTGGACAGGCTGGAGAGCAAGATGGTGGTTTGCAGTCTACTGCTGATCAGGAGGTTCCCCACCCTGATGTTCTGCCTGAGCAGTCAACTGGAGACTTTGACTTCAATGAATTCTTCAATCTGGAAAAGACTATGCCAGGACTGGCTTCTGTAAGTACTGGGGTGCACGGTGTCATTTTCTTGGTGTGTGTTTTTTTTTTTTTTTTTTTTTTTAAAAGGTGTAAACTTCACAGATAAGGTGGCAATTCTAACTATTTTTTTCTTATGCTGTATTATAATCGGTGTAAGCCCGACAGTAGAGGTTTTCAGGTGTATCTGTTCCTCCCCCTCTAGCCAGACTTTTTAGAGGCTAGATTGACAGATGGGGCACTGTTTTGACCTGAAAAATGATATATTCTGCTCATGGTTGAAATTTTTTTATTCTGATCTGGGTTTTTTTTTTTTTTTTTTTTTTTTTTGTATTTTTAAAGTTAAGCATTATGTTTGCAGATGCTTTGTCAGAACAAGATTACCTCTGCTGCACTGGCTTGATCTCACTGAACTTGCTCTGTGGTGCTGGGTATTGTCACTGAATGGTGCACTTTTTAAATATTGTCAGTGGGCTACTGCATGGGGTTACATGGAGATTAAAAAGGTATCAACAATCCAAATTTATGCCCATCATTTTTGATACATTAAACCTGCTCCTGATTGGAGAACTAAGTGAAACAGTCTGCAGACTAAATAAGACAGTTGTGTACTGACTGGTTTGTGGCGTTAAATCAACACAAGGTCAAACAGCAATGCATTCAATGACACTGCTCTCAATCTTCTGGCACATTTTGTGCTAAATCGATGGAAAACGCCCTAAACGTAAGTGCCACCCTCGCCCTTGTACCCTTCGGTCTGCCGATTGTTTTGGTCCCTGCTCTGTCTCACAGGCGCCTGTTTCTGTCTTGCAGATGATAGAAGACGTTTTGGGGGAGGGCCCTGTATCAGCCAGCCGCTTCAGTCAGTGGTTCTCCAGTAACATGAGCCCTTCAGGCAGCCGGTCCAGCAGTCTGAGGTCCACACCCCATGAGGAGCTGGAAAAACTTGCAGGTAAATGACTTGATTTCCCTGAGGGAGCTTAATGTAATTATGGAGCTTATAACCAGGCATAGCACTCTTTGATGAAGCTGTGTGTTTTGGTATGAAAACCTCAACATCAGAGGCCTGCTCTTTTAAAGGGGTTTTAATGAGGTATCAGTATAACTTCATGTTTAAGATTTCAGGATGTTTTGGGTCTTCATTTATCCAGATAGTTCAGTAAATCTCCGTCACATGCAAATGTTTTTTTCTCAGTTGAAAGAACATTTAGGACAGCTTAAAAACTGCTTTTTGGCACAGTGTTATCTTGTAAAGCATTAAAATGCAGAGGAAAGCCAGTCTGGTCTGTACCCCAGTCAGGGAGTGTGGCCAACTTGGTCAACACCAAACTGCTGCGTCACTGTATCTGTCTCAAATGCTCAATCGTCTGTTCTTGCTTTATAATGTTCAGACCCCTTAAAATGCGCTTTCTGTAATGGATGTTATAAGTCTTGGACTGTTTTGCTCCTTTTTTGAAGGGCTTGAGCCACGCTGCACATCTCCTGGCCACGGCCCTGCCCCATACTTCACGCCTATTCAATCATCGGACTGCAAGGAGAAGGTGGACATCCTAGAGCTGCTGCACAAGGCCAAAATAGACCTGAAACCTCTTCTTTCCACCCTGTCTGTCAACAAGGCTCGGCTACGGGAAAGCAGTGAGTGCCAATTTAAAAACTTGGACAGTCGAGTTGTACCTTGACACAAATTTTACTGGAAATAAACTGCACTCTGTTCTTGTTCATGTATGGTTAGGCAACAGGGAGAAAATGTATGCTCTATTGCATTAATGGTAATACATATTGTGACTATAGTGCACGTTTATAAAGGTTCAACTGGGGAATGATTTTTAGCTAATCCAGTGAAATAAATATTGGACTAATTGAGATACTTCATCACATTAATGTAAATCTTCTGTAAGTCCTGTATTGGCACACACTTGTCCAACTCACTGATTCACAACATTGCTTACTGCCACACATGTTTAATAGGATAGATACCTCCTAACAAAATCTGTTTTGACAAACCAACCTTAGTTCCATGGTACCAAAGATGTTTGTAATTTATAAACAGAGGAATATTCACATTTGAACTGTTCAAGAGATTAAAGAGGGTGTTAAGGGCTTTGAAGACCTTGACAGTTCTGTTCTTACAGATTTGTTTACAATTGCATCCCTAATTCTGTGTCAACATCTGGCTGCCTGGTTACTAATATGTGCTCAAGTGAACGGATTTTCTTTCAACAGTTTTTACTACTGCTTTTACAACGTTCATGGTGCTGCTTATATCAACTTTTATTTTGGTAAATTACTTTGTAATGTGAATGCTTTTATCTCTTTGATAAAATTAGTCCCCATAATGACTTTACAGAATCGTTCAATCCTGTTCAACAGTATTATAAATCTGCAATTTTGAGGAATGGATCCATGCATCTGAAGGCCTATAGACTTTCTGATTTGTAATTCAGTCTCACTAGTATCTAGAGTAACAAGCTGCAAACCGGTGAGGCCCTTGAGTACCCGAACACCCGCTAAGGGTGACCGGGCCTGGTCTGTTCATGGTTTTAAGTGTGCAGAGTCAGTGTCCTCATACAAATCATCTTGTAACTCAGTTTTTCCTTTTACTTGTGAAGCGCTGTAACTTTTTGTTTTGAACAGTGTTACATAAAGTTAAAATATGTATCTGTCCCCAGCTAACTGTGGAGCGGTGCTCTCACTAGAGGAAGTGGAGGGAGAGATGAAGGGGATGAAGCTGGGCTCAGAACCACAGCTGCGAAAGGTGCCTCCTCCGCAGAGGGGAAATGGCACGCCCTTCATGGCTGAACATTTAGAGGAGGCTTTAACAGGTGGCTCCAGCGTCCGTCCACAAACTCGTGACTCAGACATGTCGGCCTTTAATAAACTGGTCAGCAGCATGAAGGCAAGTGGAACTCTGCCAACTCACCCCAAAACCAACACAAACAATGTAAGTATTTTAATATGTATTTTTGTTTATATTGACCCAGACTTGCACTGGATAAGTACCAACATTGTGGTGTTGCAATGGAACGGGTAACGCATAAATCTGTCCCTGTGTGATGCTGCATGCCAGCTTTTTAAACTTACTGATGGGCATAAATTTGTGAACTGTTATTGTTTGTGATGTGTGAAAGATACAGGTGTCCTTTTTTATGCAAGTCACTTTCTGAATTGGTGATCTGGTTTATTTTTATCCCAAAACCAGAACCATGTTGTCTCTGTCATTGGATGAATGCTCATTAATGAAAAATGCATTTATTCAAAGCCATACCTGAGTTGCATGAGGGACACTTGGATTGTGACTTACATGTACAAATCCATCTCAGTGGGCTTGCGATGTTCAAAGAGGTTTGACCAAATCCTATATTTGATAAATGTCCGGCAATCACTTTTACCTGTAGGCCAGCTTGTATGCCGTTTTCTGTTTTGATACTCAACTTCAAAATGCCTCCCAAACACTCTACATTATTTACTGGGATGGAGTTTTACAAGGAAATTGTTTTTGGTTGCATTGCACCCAATACAAATTTTTTGTCCCTGTGCAATGCAGCAACCTTCAGACCCAGCTGTGGTGACCGTGTCTGAAGCTCCGGTGCCTGCTCAGCAGCAGAAAAACATATTTCAGGTGAGTATGTTGACAATCCTGTCAGGCTAATGCTGACAACTGTATGGTAAAGGTTAGTGGTCTTCACAGGTCCACTCTGTCCACATTAACAGAATAAGGGCCAGGTGCAAATTATATTCAGTCTGAGCAGGGTCTTGTACTACAGGTCTGTTGTGATCAGGTGGTGTCAATTATCACAGGACAACAATGTTTTTTTTTTTTTTTTGTAGCAGATGGTGTAAACTGAAGGGCAGGGGGAAAATGACATGTTTTGTTGCTCTTTACAACAGCTGCTTATTAATTTATGGCAAAATCTTTCTGCTGTTGGTGTTTCTTGGGCAACTGAACTTTGAATCAGGTCACTGACTTCTCAAGTCTTAGCATGGTGGCTAGATAACAGTGGAATTGGTATGATGTTGGAGATGTCTTAAATTCTGACACAACTTTTCAACACTTATGCAGCTGAAGAATTGTCCCCAGCCTAGTAGATGACCTGGCACTTCAATGCTGCCACGTGTTATGAAGCATTCTGTAGATCCCTGAAAATTAGTCTCAATTGACAAAATTAATTCAGGGTGTGGGAATCCTGCAGCTTCTGACAGATAATAAATCCGACTAAACCCATGCACACTGCTGCTGCTGTAGGAAAAATGATATTAACTACAAACTAATTATTAGGCTACTGTTATAAAAACTAGAGGCTGGAAATGCAGTGAAAATATCCAGTCTATACCAAACTACAGAGGACATTTTATAGAAACTGTATATGCTATCCTAATGATATGTAGTTAAACATTACAGTTTAGATTGTGTTTGAGGGGCAGCCAAAACCTAAAGATTAAATGTCTATGGATACTATAAATTGTGTGTACTGTATCCAGCAGTGTTTGTGTTCTGTCAAATTACCTTCATGGGGAAACAACATGTTTTTGCTAAATCTAACTGCCAGACCAATAACATTAAAGTGAATTGGGACTAACGTATATCTGTGTGCTTGTATTGCAGGAGCTCTTGGGAGGTCCTGCCCGTAGTTGTTCTCCTACACTACTTGGCAATCTGTTGGGCAGCTCTGAGGGCCCCCCAACCTCTGCCCCTCTACATGGCCTACTACACAAGGGCCCGTCACCCCCTCTCTTTCCACAAAGGGCCCCCTCCCCTGACTACTTCAATAGTCGGTTGCAACCTTCAGCAGGTATGTTCATTGAAAAAGTACACTTTGCAATAGGAGAGAATGCATATTGTCTGCATTGATTCTTCTCTTTGAACCATTGGGATTTACTCACAGATTTCATAATCACGTAATCTGAAATAGCCCAAAAAAGTATTTGGACTCTTACAGGATCCCAAGTGTTTTTTCATGTGCTGTGTCAAACAATTCAATGAAAATCCATCTAAGGACATTTTAATTATCATTACACAACGGAAGTCTTTAAATGTGAAGCAACAGGACAAAGTTTTTGTGAGTTGAACTACTGTTTATGCCAAGCACACTTTATGGCATGGAGGCCATCTGTGAGATGAGTAACAAAAGGAGTGTAGGAGTGAAACAAATCTTAGAGGATATGTTATACAGAAGCAACAAAAGTTAACATAGTGAGTCTATTTAATAATTAATGATGCTCTGATCAGGGTTTCTGTGGCCGATCACTAGAAGCAGTATCTGCCGATACCGATCCCCAAGGTCTATTTAAAGCCGTATGATATGCACACGCTTAAAACCTCGGCCTCTCACAGGCTGTATGTGTTTGCTTTGTCACTTTGTTGGTCAACACTCAGTTTTATGAAGTCGCCCAAGAAACACAACTCGCGTTTTGAATGTTTTCACACAATTTTGTTTTCCCAACAGCAGAATGACATTGCCTATTGTAAACTAAACTGTTGAGTTACCTGCTCTGTGTATCCACCAGATAACGCATCTCCCTCTCTGCAAAATGTTAAAACGAGTTGCTGGCTGTTAATATACCACCCAAGTGCATCTGTGTGTCAAAGACTGAATAACCTTCCTGTGGAATATAATACGTTTGCTCTTCTGATCAGCGTTTAGAGACGCTAATCAAAGTAAATACAGCCAATATCAGCCATTTACGATTGACCGATCAATCGGCACACCCTTATTAATAAGTTAATTTTCCTATAGTTTTCTGTTTTTAATGTCTGGTATCAGTTAGCCTCCTGTCGCAGCCTCTTGTCCTTGTAAATGGTTCTCAATTTACTTCTGATTTTTATAAGGCTAAAATAAACATGTTTTGAGGTGTAAACTAAATTATGAAAATATGCATTTCATGTTTTTAAAAAAAATTGAAAACACCCTCTTCAGTTTTTAATCACTCTAAACTGTGTAAGGCCAGTGCTGACAGTCAACTGATTGGGACACAACACAACTGGAGCTAGCAGAATTTGGGGGTGCAGGTATACTTAAATAGTTTTTCTCTCCCTATCAAGGTTTTCCTGTTGGTCCTCAGCACATGCTGCCAGAACAGTTTGCTGAAATACACAGGTCTATCAGCCCTGGATCTGCTGCACAGCAACAGGTAACACACAATGAACCTGGATTAATTGCTTTAATGTTGTACTGAAAAGATATTTTACACACACTTGTTTATTTTGCTCCTGTTTTGGGTGTAATCAGCAGTAAGATATTAGATAAGTAGTTGATATTTTATGACATGTAGCGCTCAGATTTTGTAATGCACGAAACAGTTCTCACCTTGCTTACCAGTTTTCAGGTGAACGAATATCACTGTCCAAAAAATGTACCCATTTCTAGCTATTTTTTCCTGTATTATACAGTATTTTTAAGAAAAATAATTAGGGGTGGGCGATATGGGCAAAAAGTATCTCGTTATTTTGGGGGATTTTGGCGAGAACGATTATCAGTCGATATCCTTTAAAATATGATTGGAAATGTCTGAGTTAGGGCTTGTGTCCACCAAACGCGTTTTTAGCGCTGAGAGCGCTCAAAAACAAATTTTCCGAGCGCCCAGCGGTGTTAAAAGTTGAACATATCAACTTGAAGCGCTCTGAGCGCTGCGCTAAAAGTCTTTTCGAAACCGAACCATTTCCATGCCAGAGGTAGACCCACGTCTCGGCACTAAATCATCTGAAGTACCGGTAGCTTCAGGGACTGGAGGTGCTTGCATTTTCTCTCTACCATCACAACGCGCTGCTTAACTGTTGCAAGGAGGATGCTAGTGAGAGGTCATGCGATCACGTAGCCATGCTGTAGAGAGCGTTGCTGCACCGTGTATTAAGTGGATGTGAGGAGTTTCTGCGTGCGTTTCAATATTTTTGGCGAAGTAATTAAAAAACTCGAATGGAAATTTGCACATCGTCAAAACAACAATGAAGATATTATCGCAAACGATATATATCGCCCACCTCCTAAAAATAATACTATTATCTGAAGATGTTAGTTGGGGACGTCTTCAGTTTTGTGCATTTTGTTTGTCCAGATGAGGGCGCTCTCTATGCCAGTGAATCAGGCGGACTTGGAAGCGCTGGCATTCCATCAGGATCTTGCTCTACATGCTCACCACTCATTCCAGTCCGGCTACAAACCACCACAGGACAAATCTTTTCGAAATAGGTTAGTTGTTTATAAACATATTGAAATACTGCAGTATGTACTCATGGTGAAATAACTTCTGTTTAATTGAATGTGATGTGTTGCCTCCTTAGCTAATCAGACAGCTTCATATACTATGAGTACATTTGTATTGAGCTCCCTGTGTATTTAATTTTAGCAACTGGAATGATGGCAAATGCAGCGTAGTGTTTCACATGTTATTGCAGTACTGCTTACAACAATGGTTGTTCTCTGACCTTTTTTTACTAATAAAAAATATTTTGCCATATTTTCATACATCAGTGTACTGAATGTGTGCATGTGAACTAGATAACAAGAAGAAATGGTTAGTATTTACTAGTTATCTTTGGCTGATGTGCTTGGGATCCACAGACTGCAGCGTACAAATCGCTCCCCTGGTCCAGGCCCTCAGTCTGCTGGAAGAAACTCTCCAGGCAATGCTGTCACCAGCATGGTGAGCATTAACTGCATCTTTCCAGCTGTCATTGTTGTGATTTGTCCTGTAAAGTTAGACTCTCTTAAACATCTGTCTGTAATTTTTACAGTTGTCTCCGTCATTTACACCCACATCTGTGATCCGCAAAATGTATGCGACAAAAGAGAAAAGCAGAGATGACCCATCGAGTCGCTCGGACTCAAAGGACGATGCAGCAGCACACTCTCAAGATGGTACAGAACAATATTTTTAATTGATCTGATTTAAACTTTAGCTGAAGTACTATGAAACTGTAACATTGGGATTTGGGGTTATGTGATTACAGACGGCAGCTCCCCAAATCTATACCTGGACATGATGGATGGGAATGCGGCCCAGTCTGGGGGAGTAAAGGCTGGCTCGCATACCTTGCCAAACAAGGACCAGGAGCGTCTCAGACCTGGCTCTGCTGGACACCATGCACCCAACATGGCACCTCCAGGACCCTCCTCATCTTTCCCTCGTCCTATTTATCCGGTACCGCTGCTATCCCATGTACCTATGGTGCGCCCTCCGCCCCAGCTTCACCCTAATGTGGTTCAACGAATGCTGGCGCAGGGTATCCAGCCCCAACAACTTGGACCTGCTCTTGTACAAGCAGGTTAGTGTCCGCTTCCCCCGACCTTCTCATCTTTAGTAAAATTGTATTTAACTGTAATGGCTTTTGGAAAATTGTCCTGATGTTAAACCTCTCACCTTGATGACCTCTGATGGAAGGCTTTAATTGTACACACCAGGTATATTTCCACCACATGTTGACCTTGCACAACTTCAAGGCTTGCCTCCTGCCCTGCTTGGACAACCGCTGTACCCTCTAAGTGCAACAGGGCATCCACTTCTACCTCCCAGAGCCAATAATCAGATGCAGTTAGTAATGCAGCAGCAGCAGCAGCTTCAGCAACAGAGACCAAGTGAGTGGATGGAATGTCAAATATTACTACTCTGTGTGGGCATGTGCTAGTGGCAGCATTATGACCCCTCACAGGGTTATGGATTATATAAAGGTTTACAACTTGGGCTGGAAAACACACACACAAACTACATGGAACTCCATAATGTAAAAGAATGTGTATATAAAACTGTATGTAGAATCAATAACAGAGAATTTAGTTCTTCTGGATTAAACCGTTTCTTTTGTTTTGTCTCATCTTGCAGTACATTCAAACGTCCTAGGCCCTCAGTCACAGAGCCAAGGCCCTCACCGGACAAATGGCTCCCAGCAACACGGGGGCAGCCCCCCTCTAGGCCTCGCCAAGTGGTTTGGAAACGACGTGCTAGAACAGCCGCTCCCCTCCATGCCGGCCAAGGTCATCAGTGTGGATGAGTTGGAATTCCGGCCGTGAGAAAATGACACTGCTGGACAGCAAGATATTTTCTTTTGTCCATCTCCTCTCATAAAAAATGTGAACTTTAATTTGTAAGATGGTGCACAGACCTGGACAGTCTAACCATGCCATGTTTTGTCTTCAACCTTGAAGTCACTGCTTTTGAAGAGGCTTATCAGAAATGGGAAGACAGTGATGGTGAATAGTTTTGCCGACTGAGTGAATTTTTTTTTTTATTTGTATTAGGCTCTGCGCAGTAAATAATGTATAGGCCCAATTGTACAGACCATGGGAAAGAATCTTATTCTCCCTGTGTATATAGCTATTTTTTTCTTTTTCTCGGTGTGGGGGAAGGTGAAACTATTCGGCAGTCGAACTGAAAACTGCGAGAGACAAAGTCACCGAGAGCTGGTAGCATTCCTTTGACTTGTCCAACTTTAATTTCCCCCCTGAAGTTCACAGAGAGGGCTGCTGCTAGTGAGAAATGGTGGATTGATGAGTAACTACTCTACCCTTTTTGCTTTGTGGCATGGCTATTGGCCCCTTTTCTGTAGATGTGACTGGCCGGAGCATTTGAAGACGACTCCAGGGGATGCAGCTGGTTGTGCCTTTTTCTTTTTTTTTCTTTTGTTGTTGTTTTTTCCTTCCTTTTTTAAACTGTATCCTCTTCCCATCCAACCTGTCACTAGGGGGGGCAGCACTGTTCACATTGTCATTTTTGAGGGTGGTTGGGATTCAGTTTATGTGCTATTAAGTTATAACAAGCACAAATAGAATTAATAAATAAAATCTTCAGTAAAACACAATTTGCTAAATTGTTTTTTTTTTTTTTTGTCTTCTACAACATCACAAAAAATAAAGTTAAACTGTATTTATGTCAGAGCAGTGGTTTGGGATTGTATTCCATTGTACTGTTCAAGTGTATCTAAATGGCCCCAGAGTGTAAATCTGAATTGTGTACAAACTTTGAACGAGTGAGAGTAGTCCATTTTATGATCCAAGTTGGCTGTACTTGTCGGGAGGAATACTGAAGGTTGTCTTGAAGGTTCTTAGAAATCTCAATCAAATGTTACATAATAAAATACAACCACTAATTGCATATATAATTCTAGGCATTTACAGTATAATCTTCAGATACTCCCCTGAATTACCGGTTTATTCTGCAGTGTCCACAGTCCAGTGTAGAGCGAGACCGATTAATTGGTCGCTGATATAACTGCAGATTGTTGTTTGTTGCAGATATTATGGCCTAGTTGAGTATTTATCACTATAATTGACATGTCAGTGCAGAAGGGTTTGAGGTCTCTATTAAAGAATCGTGACAACAGAGTGCAATTCAAAGTTATTAGTTGGACAATATTTCTTAATCACATTAAAGATTGTGTCCTTTTTATTTAACTGTTCAGAGTTTAAACCCCTGGCAATATAGATCAGGCTCTAGTCCTGTGCAATGGGCTGCAATAAACCCTATCTTGGTGAAGCTTGTAATATTGTTTGCACTGAGAGGTGTTGTTACATTTCCTTCCTCTAATATTCTGACACCTAATGTATGAGAGTGGATAAACTTAAGATTTAATCAAATAGATGCTTTATTAACTGAAATGTATTACTCTAGAGACAGTTCAAAAATACCAAATAACGTTGTCCATACTCTCCAAATGTTAAATTATCTCTACATAATTAGACTGATATTATCTTACAGTTTTTACATTTACTTTCACGGGTGTCTATTTAGTTGTATGGTCTTTCAGTCGACCCAGAGCAGTAAAGTGACTGATACAGTGTAATGCCTCACATGTATTGTTGAATGTAACGTTACTGCGCTCGTACAGAGGAAAAGGGGGTTTTCGTGCTTGTGGTTGGTTGGGGGAGGGGTTTTACAAACAGACCAGGCAGGAAGAGACCTGCGTGGTAACATTTTGGCACAAAGACATGAACGACCCCTGCGGAGGTAACGTTAGGGCTCGACGACTCTTTAAGTCACTGCAATTACAATGAGAGAGCCGTTAAAATAAAAACATACACATTCAGCATCAAACCCCTAGATGACACATTTTCTTTTTTTTTTTTTTTTTTTTACAAAACAAGAGCGACCCCCACCCCTCAAGAAAAACCAGGGTCAAAGTTCACAGGAAGCTGGGGGGCTGCCATTTTTCCCTGCTGCTGCTACAGCTAACGTTAAACGTTAGATGCTAAGACGACGGGGAGGGGCGGTTGGTTTTGGATCCTGTAGCTAGCTGGTGTCAACGGCTCGAATTCGTTACACAAAGTCCGTCATTTCTCCGACCGTTGTCGCTAACAACCATTGTTATTGGATGAATTCGGCATGGAGAAGGTAGCGGAGCCGTCTTGGACTTCTTCGTACACCTACCAGGTGAGCAAGCACAGTGCGGAGATGCTACACAACCTCAACATTCAGAGGAAAGATGGAGGCAGGTTCTGCGATGTGATCCTGCGCGTCGGCGAGGAGAGCTTCCCTGCCCACAAAGCGGTGTTAGCGGCGTGCAGCGAGTATTTCGAGTCGGTCTTCAGCCGCCAGACGGAGGGCGACGGCGACGCCAAGGAGCTGGAGATGCACACCATCAGCCCGAAAGTTTTTAAAGACGTATTGGACTTCGCTTACACCTCCAGGATTGTGGTGCGACTGGAGTGCTTCCCGGAGTTGATGACAGCTGCCAAGTTTCTGCTGATGCGGTCGGTCATTGAGATCTGTCAGGAGGTCATCAAACAGTCCAACGTACAGATCCTCGTACCCACCTCCCGCGGAGGAGACGCCAGCCTTTTCCAGGCCACGGGGGCCACGGAGCTGGGTTTCCCGGTGGCACAGCAGGATCTGGTAAACGGAACGGGAATGCTGGTGAACGGTCAGAGCTTTGCTAACAATGCACAAATGCATGTGGATGGTAGCGAAGAGCCCGCCGCCGTGTTATTAGAGGACGGCGGAGAGTCGTCGGTGCCGATGTTAGAGCCCGTCGAAGGACTGTCCGTTTCCCCCTCGACGGAAATGCCGGGGAACGCGTTTCAACACGACGCTGGCTCCCCGGGGTCGAAACGGAGCAGGGGGAGACCAAAGAAAGCTGGCGGGGTAGTGGAGGCTATACACTTTAATCACAGCACCCAGAAAGACAATGGGCTGTTTCCTTGCGGGACCTGCGGTAAAGCGTTTACAGAGGCTTCCCGCTTGAAGAACCACGAAGCTCAGCACGGAGCTCAGCACACCGGCGGTGTAAACAACGTCGGTGACAGCCTGTCAGCGGCGGGCGGCATGTCTTTAATGTCTCAGCCCGGTCTGGTGGAAAACGGCGTACAGTTACACGGAGGGCTGACGCTGGATAACGGCCGAAAACGGGAGAGGACCAGGCGGCATGTCGGCTGTGACATTTGCGGCAAAGTTTTCCGCGACGTTTACCACCTGAACCGACACAAGCTCTCCCATTCCGGGGAGAAACCGTACGCGTGCCATGTGTGCGGGCTCCGGTTCAAACGCAAGGACAGGATGTCGTACCATGTGCGGTCCCATGACGGGTCAGTCGGTAAACCTTATGTGTGCCAAAGCTGTGGTAAAGGTTTTTCAAGGTGAGTTGACATTAATATCCCATGGGCAGTGTGCTCTGTGTTTTTTGGAGTTGAACAAAAACCGATGCTGTGACTGCGCCTCAATGCCTGGGATTCCCTGATAATCAATGACAGCTTGCAGTGTTGCTTGTATGATTTTATAAGACCAACTCTTTGTGTATCTGGAGATGGGATATGGTACCACAAGCACAGTAACTGCATGTGTTAAGTGAGTACTCGCAATTACATCAAAGCAGAAAGCGGATTGAAGCAGTTCATGACAGCCCTGCTGTTCCTGTTCAGAAAGCCGCTAATAAGCTTTAGAGGTGCACATAATAGTCAGCTTTAGGTCAGGATCCAAAATGAAGTGAAATTGGTTAAGCTAGATAAGTAGTCCTTCTTGTGAGTTGGTATCAATTAACAGAGCCAGGGCATAGTTCAAACCCCGATGTGTGTGTGTGTGTGGGGGGGGTGTGTATCAGTAAATTCTACAAACACTCAAAAATGTTACCATGTTACACAAATCTTTCTGTTAACGTCGTTAGAAAACCGAAGACCCGTTACTGAGTGACTAGTCATCTGTATAATTTGGCTTCAACCACACAAACTGGTTTCCCAGGCTCCGTGTTCACAGGCCCTGTTGCAAGCTCACTGTCACCACCTACTGCTTTGGAGGTTAAAATACATGCAGATAAAAGAAAGGAAGTTTGTGACAGAGACGTGACCAAATTTGTGAGCCACTTCAGGTTTGCTACATTTAACAAAGGAGTTACTATGGTGTTTTTGGATTCAATATTTGGGCACATTGTAGGCAAATGACACACATAACATAACCACCACATACACTGTGTGATTCTGGGACCTGGCATTGCATGACCTACCCCACTGTAATGTTTTATTTTCTATTTTTTCACTAGATGTAACAAATTTAGATCAGTCAGGGTCTGACATTTTACAAGACGTGTGTATATGTATGTGTGTATATATATATATATATATATATTTATATAATATAATGTAATGTAATGTAACATTTAAAGATAAGGACAAATGTGGATATAATTCCGCACTCACTCACCCAGAAGTCACAAACAAAGCATGTTGTTGTTATAGAGGCAGTCGTTTCACGTGTTCGTTTGCACAGTACATACTGTCTTGGTTGCTTGTCTTGGTTGCTATTCTTCAGTAGGTAATTAAGAAAAATTAGGGTCTTTGTTTCCAACAATGGCAGAGAGATTATGCAGCTGTGTGGAAATTTATTAGAAATAAATGGATTATTTTCTTTTTTTCTTTCCAGACCAGACCACCTGAATGGACATATCAAACAGGTTCACACAACAGAAAGACCCCACAAGTGCCAGGTAACATTTCTGATCTATGTATCAGAGTTGGTATACCCTGGCAACCCACCGCTAATGATGGTTTTAAACCGTAATATACAGTAGGAGAAATGTGTTAACATGTTGATTTATGTATTGCAGATTTGTAATGCCTCTTTTGCTACAAGAGATCGCCTCCGGTCACACCTTGCATGCCATGAGGACAAAATCCCCTGCAAAGTTTGTGGCAAGTTTTTGCGAGCTGCCTACATGACGGACCACCTCAAGAAACACAGTGAAGGAACGCATAACTACTGCGGCATTTGCAACAAAGGTAACTATTTGAAATATCTCAGTGTGCACCGCACTGTCACAGGCTCCTCTGAAACAACCACATTCCAGACAAATATTCACTCTGCACTGAAGTCATGGACATTCAGACGATAAAAACTTGCCATTATCAGATTTTGGTATTTGCTGGCTCTGGTGTGCGTTCTAAGGAAGGTCTGGAGTTACTGTAATGCTACTGCAATTACTTTGTTTATTTTTAACGTAAAATTATAGATAAACCGGTCCAAAACACTCCTGATAACCTGTATCACTCTTTCATGAAGGTAGACTGTCATGCGTGCGCCATGAATGCAAAACCATAGCTATAAAGCTCTATCATCTGAGTTTGCTAAACATTAAACCGCGATCTGTTCATGCACTATGTCAGCCAAATATGTGACAGTGTTTTGTCACTGGTGACATTTTACATTGTTTTGCGACTGAAGTTAAGCCTGGTTCCACTTTTTTGCTGGGGCCCTCTGTGTTGACACCTCTGCTGTGTCATTTAAATTACTTCTTACGTGGCGCTAACGTTGGTCCGAACATTAGTCACCTACTGCAGCATTTGTTCTTCTGTTCCTAAAATGGGTGGTACAATAACGATTAAATTAAGACTGAAATTGAGTGTACAAAAATCACAACATGTTTGATTTAATCATTAGTTTTCTGCCACGGACACAGAAGGAAGCACAAACACCCCTGACATTTCCCAAAGCTTTTGTTCAGGGTGTGTGTTGTCCCATTTGAGTGTCTTGTGCTTCTTTATTTGATAGTGCTATTCAAACCTCTATTCTATTCTCCTCTTTGTGAGGATAAAAACTACATTTGGATTCAAATCATTCCATCTAAACGGTGCAGTGTGTCTTTCAGGGACAGGTTGAGTTGTACAAAATATTTATAATTGTTTTTCTGTTTCCAAGGCTTGTTTGGTCTGTAGGCAGAATTAAATGCGCATACTGAATGTGTCAATGATTCTGAATGTTGGCCTTTACCTTGTAAGTCTTGGCACTACATGCTGAAAACATTTTTCAGGCTTCTGCTGTTTTTGAGCCCATAGACCACAAACATGTCCTTTTTCTGGTCGAACCCGTTGAGATCATCAGCATTAAAGACTCCTTTTTGCATTAATTCAACCTTTATCTATACAGGGAGATCAGATTAAAGGTTTGAATCCTCTTTTGCTTGAGCAAATCCTGAGTGTGTTTTGTACACACAAGATAAGATGAGAAACATGAAATGTACAAAGCTACAACTGAAATGTGGATTAAAGGGTAAAAGATAATAAAGGGGATTAAACGAACACTATGTTGTCCTTAAATAAAGTCTCTTTATAATGTGCATCACACTTGTGTTTGCTTGAGACAGGAATTTAGACGTTTCCAATAATATAGTAATGCTCTTCCCTGTTGAGAGATACAATTCAAAGAGATGGGTATTAATTTAACATCCCTTCAATTAATCATGAGTGTTATTCTGGTCAAACCAATCATGGTATGCATTGGATCACCGGTATTGAATAGCCTGTCATTGTGTAACGGGACGCCCCTCGTTATAGTCAAGGCCTCGAGTGTGTCAAACAACTGCCTTGTTCTTTGTTCTTCTGGTCCCAGGTTTCTCCACTGCGTCCTACCTTAAGGTGCATATAAAGACACACCATGGCTCTCCACTGCCCCCCTCTGCCACAATGCACACCTTCCCTGAGCCAAGGGGGGAACTGCAGATGCACAATGGCAACCCTTACCACATGGGACGCCAGTGCTCAGTGGAAGGCAAGCAGCCGCCCGCCCCATCCCAAAAGTTCATGTTTCTGGCTTTCATTTGCTCTGCTGCTTTTTGTAGAAACATGCTGCTGCATCTTTGTGTATGTTTAAAACACGGACATACATCAACCTTATGCCGCCAAGCTTTTCGCTCATACAATTTGCTATTGTGCAGTTGCATGTGCTAGTTGTCTCTCTGCTCGCTAACTGTCAGTGTGTTTTATTCAGAAGGGGCAGTGTATACAAAACCTTACTGTTGTAATTAGGTGGAAGGAAAAACAGCTGGAAGCATTGCACACCTCTATGAGGACATTTTCTCTAATTATTCTCTAACTACTACACCATGTCTAGTCAATATTGCCACACAAAGAGCTGGAAAGGAGCTGTTTGTTCTAAGAAGTTTCACTGACTCATGTCAAAGGTCAGAATTGCAGAAATGGCTGGAGGAAACCCTTTTATGTTCCTACCTAATGAGCAGTGCACACTATAGAATAGAATACGTGCAAACCAATAGGCAGACGACTCATTTACTCTTATACATTCTTCAGAACTGAAACTACAGTGGGAATCATGAACGTTTTCTGCAGACACCCGATACCAAATGCAGTTATGCTACTGATACACTACATCCTTGCTTATAGTGAAGACGTAATTTTTTTATAAGACTGGAAATTGGGAATATAATGCAGAAACATTTTAAGTTTCTATCGTCACATACAGTAACATTTAGACATTGTCTAGAATTCATTGTTGATGGGTTTTCTCATGAACATGTAAAAATTTGGTGTACTTTTGTTTTGTTTTTTTTTTTTTTTTTCATCTGTCCAGCATGGCTGTGGCCTCGTATGGTCTCTCTTCTGCTTGGCTGGTCTATCAGCAGTTGTTCAACGATGCACAGTGTTGCATGATCATCCTAATGTGTATTCCATTTGCCCTGGATTCATTGAAACCTTTTTGTAGTTGTGCCATTTCTGTGGGAGAAGTCGTAGCATAGAGACAGTGCACAGTGAGCCACAACCACAACTGGTAAAAATGTATATGGTAGAACAGTGTTTACATCTGTTGACTGTACTTATAACCGGCCATCTGCACTTATATGAATAATCGGAGGCACTGAAACGTATTCTATTTGGCTAATTACCAAACTAACATTGGCTATCAAAATTATTGATTATAATGAGAGCTGCTTTTGCTTCCAGAACTGATATATAAGCTAAACCATTAGCCAGCGAGTAAATCATTAAAACTGATCCTGCCACTTTAAGTCGCAGCATGGTAGACATTTTGCTGCAGGTGCTATTAACAAAAACACACACACACACACACACACACACACACAATCCTCAATAGATGTTTACGGTTTACCACGGATAGATATTTTGGATAGATAAGTTATACACCCCCTTTTTTTTAATTTTCAATGTGTTGTATTATCATTCTCAGTACCTCAAACAGGAATCCATTAGCACCATACTGACGTTTTTATCATTTCTGGCCTAGCTGGGGAAAAGCTTCCTGTTTTTTGCAAGTGGAGACATAACAAGTTAACGGTTAGCAGTTTCCATTGAGGTGGATCCAGGATGTTAAAATCACTTTTGGTTGCCATGGAGTTTGTCAGCAAGTTTTTGGCAAGTGCAGCACGTCGCACTACGCAGTGACTCACATACTGTATGTGTCTAGTCAAAATGTAGTTGTGCTTTGTGTATGTCCTTTGGGTGGTGTTATTGTTTTTTATTTTAGCTCAGGGTATGCTGTTATGCAAGTTTGTCTTTTCTCTGCTTATTTCCAAGAGGATTAGAGATTGGATGTGGAGTCATTCTTTGTTAATCTGTTTTCCTTTAACACTGTATTTGTGTAAGATAGATGTCTAGACGTGGAGGATAGATGTCATCTGAGCGGTCACCAAAGTGCTGCTTTGAACCACAAAGCTAATAAAACTGATAACTGACACAGAAAGATACCAGGTTAGAAGGTATCATATACTGTATAGCTCTTAAAGCCTCTTGAGGCAAGTTTGGGATTTGTGATACTGGTGTATAGAAATAAAATTGATTCTGATTGTGAATATTTGAGCAATAGAGTAATTTGAGTAAACACTGCTTAGTGAGCTGAGAACTCGGAGGATTTGGCAGTCGTTTGGTTTTAATGATTTAATTCTGAGTGACAAAGCTGAAAATATGATTTACCCTCGGAAATGGCCGACGTGTGTACTGTCACTATATTTACTGCAGTTTTCACTGTAGTCTTCATTTAGTGTCATGCCATTTGTGAGACAAACAAGTCGTGTGTGTGTGTGAACATTACACTTTGTTATACACAGTGTTCTACACAATATAGGATTTTCTCATAGAGGTCTTCTGACATGTTACGGGACTCACAGGTGAAACAAATAACATTAATAATAATCATTTAGATGCGTCTGTGAGCCAGCACACACACCTACAATAAATGTGGTCATTTTTAATTTCGCCTGTCTTTAACAAGTCATAATAACGTAACTGCAAAGAAGCTCTCTAATGTAATATTAGTCAACTATTTAATTTATATCACAAGTCACTTAGTTAGGTCTGGTACTTAAAGGGGGGAAAGAGTGTGAATAATTCTTCACTCATCATAGATTCATTCAAACTAGTTAACCTGTCTAGCTTACTTTGTTTACAGACAACATTTCAAACACTAGTGATGAAATGAAGGTAATTCTGTCCGTATGGTTTCCGCCGGCCTGTTGTGTCTGCCCCTTCCCCCTTCCTTTCTCCCTGGCCGGGGTGTTGTGTAGACCTGTGTGCCAGTCGCCAGCTGCTTCTCACCTCGTCTGAGGCAGAGGGTCGCTTTCATGGGCTCTCTGGACACCCAGTGCTTCCCCAGCCTGGCCCTCCTGCCTTGGGCCTGCAGCCTGAGCTGCTCATGGGGAAGGCAGGTGGGGCTCCATATTTCTGGGAGTGTCGCTCTGGCGGGTTGCCTGGCTTCCCCGTCCATGGGCCTGTCGCAGGTCAGTACAGTCCAGCAGGAGGGTGGGGTGGGGGCGTGGTGCTAGCACTGCCCGCTGGTTGGATGAGCACAGCAGAACTGTCATTGGACAATGGGCAAATGGACTGAGAACGATGATTGTATTTGTAAATGCTGTTGCTACAACTTGAAGGCATTGTGTGTTTTTCTGTTACTATATTTAGTGATTGACCTCTAAAATAAATTGTCACAATTTGTTCTACTTTTTCATTGTGCCTTCTCACTAAAGTTCTTAAGTAAAATGTTTAAGTTTTTGCAGGTGCCAACCAGCTACTGGATTAAAGTTGTATTAGACAAAACCTGTTTTATATTCCGTGTGTCCTAATTCATGCCTCCCTTTCCTCCCATTTTCCCTTTTTTTTCTCTCTCTGTCTCACTCTCCACTTTCCTATCCATGCTGTGTTTACCACAGACGGGCAGGAAAACACCGGGAAATGTCCTCATCTGGAATCAGAAGAATCTGATCCTTCATTTGGGGAGTTGCCTAACGGTGATGAGCTTAAATCTCCACACAAGCCCGACGGGCCGGAGTTGGAAATGCCCTCTTTAGCCTGCAACGGAGCCTCTGCGGGGGCCTTGGGGTCTCCAGAGGGATCTAAAGCCAAGACGGACCCTGAGAAGAAGTTTACCTGTGCCATCTGCGGTCAGGCCTTCCGCACCAAGTCCTACCTCAACAAGCACCAGCACAGAGTTCACAAAGCCCAGAAGGCTCAGGGGGTTTCAGGGTCAGGCTTAAACGAGCTGGGCCCCTCCCTGACCTCTCCCTTCTCCCCTCAACAAAACATGTCTCTGCTCGAGTCATTTGGCTTTCAGATAGTCCAGTCTGCGTTCGCCTCTTCTCTGGTGGATGCCGAGGCAGGTCAAAGTGGCATCGACTTTGGAGGGAAGTGACATATTTGCTGAAGTTTTTTTTGCAAAGCCTCTTGTTCTTAGGACAAAGCCGGGTTGCCCACAGAAGATGCTCTGTATTTGGGAATAACTTTGCCTCAAGACTACTTTTTTCCGTTTGTGACATTGCTTAATGTGTATCCGATATTTTTGTCACAGACTGCCATACGATTCCTACTTTTTCTACTTTTTCAGAGTATGAAAAGTGCGTGTACGGTGTTAAATTTTCTTTTTAAAGAAACGACATGAAGGTTTTATGTCCTTTATCTGATGTGGATCTGTTGAAGTTACGTTGGGTATGTTTTTGCTTTGTTTTGGCTTATGTGTTGTTGAACTTTCTTAGCTGCACAAATCTTTGTTGACATGAGACGAATTATTTACTGCAACCTTAAAATAAGTAATTACTTACTGTCTCTTCGTGAATTCTGTATTTATGTTCTCTGCGTCTTTTTAAGAAGTTTTTCTTAAGGACAGAGATTGGAATTGGCCTCACTTTTGATAGCAGATTTTCTTTGAATTTCTTAATTGTTCCAAGAAACATTCCTAACAGGCCCATGGCATATCTCTCGACATGTTTGTTACAAGCAATTTTCTTCAGCTTCATTCAGAAAATGTCAGTTTGCTGGCCACTGAGCAGCATTGAGAGCTGGCAAGGACCTTTAATGAATTACTATTGACAGGATTACAGTTAAAATGTATAGCATCCACACTAAGCTCATCTCGGACTGTAAAAGCAGGCAAAAAATAATTCAATAATAAATAATTAAGCTACCTCACAGAAGAAGAAACACCAGAGTGCTTTGGGTATCATAGCCGATTTAATTCTTGTGCTAACTTCGTTAGATTTAAAGTTATACCAAATTCACAAATGAAAGCCACTTTTCCTGTCAGGAATTTTAAAAGCCCATAAGCACTATGCCGTTTTTAGTCAGGGTTTCTTTTCCTTTTTCATATCCGGGTCTTTAGATATGCCTGTCATTCTGGTAGAATTATGTGTTTTTTCTATTATTTGAATAAAGCCTTTGAGGAGTGTTATGATTCACCACGAACCTGAGCAGCTCTGAATCTTAACCAGAGCGCAGAGTTGGTGTCCTGATGTGATCGCTGGAGGGATGTGGTCTAAATGAAGCAGATCTACTGACAGCTCATTTGGATGTGTAAAGCCCATTGTCATATTTTGATTTGACAATTTGTAAAATGAATTATTAATACGGAAAAATCCAGAAGCAAGGAGAGGAAAGCCATTTATTATTATGATCTATACTGTGTACAGGAATACGTTTTTTTTAAACTTTCCCAGGATAAAATGTTTATAACCCGTAAAACTTGTCTTGAAACGTGCCTGGAGCTTGTTAGGAATGATTCCCCCCCACCACCACAATGACAAGGTTTCAAAGTCTTGTTTGATGGGTATTAAATCATATGTGTACATTAAACAGGGACCAAGGTCAGGTATATTTTCAGTATATATTTTGAGAAATGTAGATTATATTTTATTAACTTATTCATGCCCTCGGTTTGGTGTACAGTTTTCTTTTTTCGTTTTTAATTGTCAAACGAAAATCTTGTGATTTGCTAATTTTTCACTCTAAATTATGTTAAATGGAAATGTGTGGTTATTTGTGTGTGTGTGTGTGTGTGTGTGTGTGTGTGTGTGTGTGTGTGCGCGTGTTAGAAGGAGGAGTCACACCCTGATCCCATAGCCTCTGGACCGACCAAACGTGATGCAACTTCTACAGAATCAAGTCATTAATTCTCCGGTGTCTCTTCCTCTTCATCACCTGCACTGCTTGTGTTGCTCAGCCACCTCCCGTCAGATTGGCTTGTGCTGTTAGTAGATCACATGTCTTGTGTTTGCACTAATGGTCGCTAGGTTGAGGCATAAGCTGTCCATCTTGGGCGTCTTACAGTGAAAATGTGTTTCATGTTGAATCCGAGACATTCCTGTGACGAGAACAAACTTAATTGAATGGTTCCTCGAACCGATACGCTACGAGAGCCGTTCTGCTTTGCTTGGTTTGATTCAGATTCTCGCTCAACGTCCACTGTAATGAAAATATGTATATGATGCTGAATTGGGTTTACATCTTTAAAAATGAGAACCAACAGGATGTTATTTAATTAGAATAAATTGTGTGTGAACATCCCTTTAAGTAAGGGTTTATTTGGTTTTGGTTTTAACAATCAAGATTACAAATGAAATAGGCAATCACTGTAAGTTACAGAAAATCTGTGTTTAAACACTGCTGGCATTTGTGATAGAGAGCTCTGTACTAAAATAAGTATCCAAAGTGAAATCTTTTATCACCTTGACTTCTCATGCAATTAACACATCTGAGATGAACACCTTTCTCACAGGTCGGTGTTTTTTCTTGAGTTGTAAAAACTGTACCATGATGAAACAGTGAAGGGGCTCAGCAGTGTGTGTGTGTGCGCGCGTGGCTTCGGCTCTGTAAAAAGAGTGTGTATACGTGTCTGTGTTTGATCTGTGTTTCCTGCTTTTTTGTTTAATTATTATTTGTGTGTCATTTAGTCTGTTAAATTCAGTACATTCCTATATTATTTATGGTTATTTTGTGATTGTAACAAGTGTATATACCATTCATATACACATTCTATAAATATATATATATAAATATATATGAACCAACCGATATGATAAGTGTTTGTCAATGGTGGTCCTGTACATATATAGATTTTTTTTGTTCTTCTCGTCTATCATGTGGAGGGATGTTAAGTTATGGCCATTTGATTGAAAGCGTAAACTGCATGTTCCGGCATGCGAGCTGAACTGGGGGACTGAATGTCGATCACTGGTTGGTGGCAGTAATAGTTTCGCTGTTCGCCGTACTGTCACTCTGCTCTGGTAGCACTCACACTGCCAGCTGCACGACTCACGTCTCTGACCAAGGTTTTTTTGTCCTTTTTTGATCCACTCTGCACTAGTATTTACTTCTTTAAAAAGGTAATAAGGGTTTGTTTTGTTATCGATTATTTGAAAACAAACGGAAGTTGCTGTAAGGAAAATAATGATCCTTTTTGTTTTGATTGTTTTTCTTCACTGGGGGATGTATGATTTTGTTTTCACTCATGTTGGTACTCAAGTGTAATGTTTCCAAGGATTATTTAGGCCCTAAATGTTTGCTTTTCTGCTTTTGGTCTGTTGCAAAGTGCCTTCCAAATACTGATTGTGCACAGCAGTGGATTAAAAAAGGTCCTCTTTTCTAAAGGTTAAGAATTGTACAGAGTGACTTGCATTGACACTTTTGTATAAAAACACACAGAAAATGTACAATATGTTAACTTGGTATTTTATCATCGTACTCAACAAGATTGCTCTTAAAACATGTGAGCTACATGTTTTGTTATAACGTCTTTGGACATATTTCAATATAAGCATACTTTTCTATAGATATTTGTTTTTGTACTCTGTTATTGAGTCTCATCTCTCTTGTTGGTACAGAGATGAGTGTCAAATAAATTGCAATTGAAAAATCTGCTATCTTTTTCTCTTTTTAAATATGGCATCAACACTTCATGTTTGTGAGAAAGTGGGACATGGTGGAAAAATACTACTGGAAATAAATACCTGGGTAATCTTTTCTGTCAAGTCAGAGCTCTGAGGAAATAACAGGTGCAAAACAAACGCTCCTTAAAATTCATGAATATTTATACCTGTAATTACGGACGTGCAATTCAAAACTCTTGAAACCGGAGACACTTGGCTGTTTTTTTTAATGATTTTAGATGATTTTTGAAGGGTTTTTTGTGTGTAGTAATTAAGACTAAAAGATGTGTTACTGTCATAAACAGTTAACAAATATAGCTACTGGTTTTTACACCAGCAAACTAACACATTCACACCAACTGTTCATTTAAACTTTAATATGACATTGTTTTGGGGGGACCAGAGGTTGAGTGCCTTTCTTTTTCACTGCATTTAAAAACTTCTTATCACCTGTGTGCAGTTATTTAAAGTAACATTTCCTCAACTACTGTATTTAAGCATAATTTTCGAGGTACTTGAACTTCACTTGAGTATTTCCATTTCATGCAGCTTCATTGTACTCAAGTACAATTCAGAGGCAAATATTCTCTCCACTATATTTATCAACAACATGCTTTCCACATTTGCACATTTAACACATGAATTTAGATGATTTTTATTAATTTATTAATTTAATTATCTATTATACCCACATTTGTGACATGTGATAGGCTTAATTTCAATGAAAAAAGACAGAAATAAAATGATTTATTGTTTTCTAATGCCACCTTTAGATATTTACCTTTAATGCTTTACTAATGTGCCACAATAATTTAATGTTTTTCAATTAAAATATCTTAATTTGGACCCTTTTTCAAGCAAATATTGATATAATGTGATTGTTTGCCAAATAAGTCAGCACATATTTCTGCCACCCCTTCAAGTCTCCATGCCACCCTCTTGCCACCCTATGAATATTCCTTGAGATCCGCCCTGATGCTTTCTAAGGGCCTGTGTAAGGTTACTTAATCAAGTACACAGATTTATTCTTGTACACAAATTCAAAATATTTTTACCAACATTCACAGTCACAGTTCACAGTTTGATCAGAATATTATATCCTTGTGGTTTTGAATAGACTTCATGTTGGTTAAAATGATAAAGTGCTCAAGTGTATTATTTACAGTAATAAATACCAATCAAATATAATAAATAACTACAAAATGAAACAGTATGCAGATTACAAATGTTTTATTTTACATGATAATATATTTATTTTACATGATAATATATTTACAGACTCAGAGGTCAACAGACTCCACATTCCTCTTGTCAGCACTCACTGTGTATATGATCTGGTTTTAACATTTCTAACAATTTGTTAGATGGTAATACTAAAAGGTAATAAATACATTTATACAGAGGCTATATTTATTATTTACTGTTGAATGATACACAATCAATAACATGTTTTCTTCTTGAAATGTAGTTTAACTGAAGAATTTACACTTTATGCAAAAAAATGTCAAAAGTGATAAAATATTTGCGGTGCCCGGTTAGCTCAGTGGGTAGAGCTGGCAACCCATGTACCAAGGCTGAGTCCTTGCTGCAGCGGCCCAGGGTTTGAATCTGACCTGCAGCCCTTTGCTGCGTGTCATCCCCCATCTCTCTCTGCCCCCTTTTCCTGTCTGTCTTCAGCTGTCCTATCAAATAAAGGCAATAAAAGCCAAAAAAAAAAGTGATAAAATGTTTAAGAAGAAATTACAATTTAGTTTCAACACTAGTGCCAGTCTTCTCAATGTCAGCGCCCCTGTTCTTATAATTCAGATTGTTAAAGTCCTCCATAATTTCTACCATTGTCTTTCCTTTGGTCTCTGGGACAAAATATATCAGAAACGCTGCACTGCAAACAGAGTAAGCCACAAAAATCAGGAAGCAGAACTGCCCGAGTCCATCCTGTACGGACACACATGAAATCACATTGTGTTAGATCGAGTAGCTGACCTGATATAAAGACAGAGATATAATGCATATTGATTATTTGACATAAATAAATATATATAAAGGTATCTCACCACAATGTAGCCGAACAACATCCCCACAAGGAACATGCCCAGCCAGTTGATAGTCCCACTGATCACATAAGCAGAAGGACGCCAGGCTTGCAGGAAGAGGTCAGCAGGAAGGGCCATAGACACTCCAGCTGAAAGAAGATAAATAAATTTTTTCAAATTGGAAAAAAAGTACCAGTGGATTGTTTCACTTGTGAGGTAAGCAAGCACGAAAACTCACAAGGTCCAAGTCCATAAATGCAGATGACACAAAAGATCAGGGCGATGTTCACATACGGGATCCATGAATTCAGATCCTGTGTGAAAAGAGAAATATGTATAATTTGTCCTCTATAAAACAGGGTAGAGGAAGGTGCACTGTTGTTGGACTGTATCTACCTTGATGGACAGCATGACGGTAAGTAAAGACATGGTGATACCCATCGAGAGATAGCCGTAGCCCATCAGCTTCTTTCTGCCGGCTCGATCTATCAAGAAAGACTGAGACACAACAGTGAGAATGAACAGATAAAGTATAAATATAAGTTTTGTTATTTAGTTCTTCATCACACAGAACTTTACACCTCCTGTCGTACATCTAACTAATCAGCAATAATCATCAATATGTTTTTTTTCTTTTCTTGTCTTCTAAAATAATATATTGAATTTTTAAAGTTATGTAGAAAATATCACAACATAACAACACAACATACAGGAAAAAAATAAATAAACCATATCCCTACCCAACAAATCCCTCCTTCTAACAGACCACAAAAATACTTTTAAAATATAAAATAATAGACCATCGGTATAACAATATAAAAATAGATTTCTCATACACAAGGGACACAACTATTGACTGCTTTTATTCCAGTGATTATAAAAGGTGTCAATTTTCCTAAAATGCTCCATTGTTCTCATTTCTATCATATATAACATGTATTTATATCACATATTAATGTGCTTTGTGTTTATGTGTAAACCGACTGCCCTTTGGGGCAAATGAAGTGATTGATTTTGAACAATTAACAACACATTTATTAAAGCAGTTATTTACTTTATGGAAATATTCTACTTTTATCTGATAAATTTCTCATTGTACGGCTTACTGAATGTTCATGTGTTTAAAAACAAAGAATGTGTAGCACTCAGTATCCTAAACAAAACTGTATCAGTGAATATTATTCTTCCATAATCACCTTAGTTAGATTATGAGCAGTTGAGGGAAAGGGTCCATAAACTGAACTAATATATATACTAATATATAAATATATACTCCTTTGAGGTCCAAACCCAGTCTCTTTCAGTAGTTTTTTTTTACTGCATTTAGATGTCAGAGTAAGTTAGTGATTCAGTTTCATGCAACTTTGCAGATACTTACACACAGTGTTACAGTGATGACCTCTGTTGCTCCAATACCGATGGACAAGTAATGCATCTGGTCCTCTGGCACTCCTGACTCACGGAAGATGTCGAAGGCGTAGAAATACAGCTGGATGAGAGAATCAAATACAAGAGGCCATTAGATTTTAACATATTGTGTGAATGTATATATTTGTGTTATGAAGTGGGAAAGCTGAGAAGAACGTACAGCGTTGATGCCACAGAACTGAACGCCGGCGCAGGGGATGGCCAGAGTCAGCAGCTGCCATCTCACACAGCGAGAGGTGAGAACATCCTTCACGGTCTTCGCCTTCTCTCCCTGTGTGCTATCTCTCTCTTTCTGCATGTCATCCAGCTCCTGCTTTAAGTCGTCCTCCTGCCACAGCCACTGCAAGGCTTTCACACATTAAATTCAAAGAAATGATAAATCTGTACAAGTCAAAGGTTCCTCTCTTACTGACATTATAACTTCTTAACTTGCAAACTTGGGATTTGCCCAAAGTCTAATGTGTCCGCTCACCTTTTCTGGAGCCTTCAGTGTCTCCTTTGTCAATGTAAAGGTATCGAGGAGCCTCGGGGAAGAAGAGCAGCGTCACAAACTGCAGGATGGCAGGAATCCCACTGACAGCTAAGAGATACGGCCACATTTCTTCTGTACCCATCATCTCCCTACAGAGGGCGTAAAACAAAGAGCGGAGGGGAGATACTGTAGATCAGTAATTAAGATAGCTTAATACATTATCCAGAGAAATCACTTTGTGCTAATTAGTAAGACGAGGTCAACAAGATCTTGTACTTTAGTCGGGAACAAGAAAAAGTCTTTGATCGAGACAGGAAAGACAGCCAATGTTTGTAATGTTTATGCCTAAAGAAGAATAACTTGACCTCTTTAATAAGTAAGTGAGTATGGATGTTGTTCTTTTTGCCCAGACAACTTTTTTTTGTTCTAAATATTACTGAATTGATGCTTTAAAGTGCCAACAGTCGGTTCTTACTTAATGCCAATGATTTGACCCACGACTTTTCCAAATCCGATGAAGATCGAGCCCGTGAGGGTCAGGAAACCTCTGAGTTTCTTTGGAGAACTCTCGCCGAGGTACATGAGGTGCACACTCAGGCCGAGACCTGTGGAGGAAAACAATATGAAGATGAAAAAGAAAAAGAGGCTGACGAAGGAAAGTAACACACAAAACACACACACACATCATGAGAACATACCAACATTATATCCATACAGAAATCTTCCCAGTAAGATCATCTCAAAAGACTTGGCCATGCGACTGAAGAGCATGAGAAGAGCAGCGACAATCGCCACAACGTTGTTGAACAAGAGAGCTTTTTTCCTGCAAAATTAAAAGAAATAATTAAGAGTTTATGTCTTAAGAGGGATGAAGTAAATATGTTTGCACTGCCAAGTTTTGTATTGTGTATATGTATTTTTTGTACTTTTTGACGGAGCCAGGCTAGCTGTTTCCAGTCTTTATGCTTTATGTCAGTAGGTAATTGTTGATTGTTTGCTATTAATTAACAATCCTAACCATGATGTGTGTGTGTGTGTGTCTCACCGGCCATAAGTGACAGGAAGGCTGCCACTGTGAACAGCCCCAGCCCATGCTCCAAGACTTAACACAGCCACGATGAAGGACCAGATGAGCTGGTTGGTAGAGTCATCCACTGGAGCTCCGTACCTCAGCACCCATGTCTGGTTCACAAAACTCTGAACGTGCTGCAGAAAGGTCGGAGAGGTCAGGAGATGTGATGTCTTTTGGCATTAGAAATCAATACATTGTTTTATTTCCAAATCTTCAGATGTTTTTCCAAATACATGCATTTTTTCATTGAACTTAAGCACTTAGTCTAATATGTGGCCACTCATTCTAGATCTGCCCCGGTATGAGTTACTGAGAAGAATCACACCCACATATATAATAATAATATAATATTAACAATGTGATAAAGTAATAAAAGGCTGAAGTCGGTACACCCAATAATTTTGCTAGGACATCCCTATTTTTTGGTTTGGTATGATCTCTATTTTATTACGGTAACTAATGCTAACTGAGCCAGTTTGCTAACTTTATGGCTCTTCTCTGATTAAGCTGCTGACACTATGTTTTAACATTCATCGTTGCATCCTATAATTGTAACTTGTGGCCAATGTGGCAAAAATAACAGTCTCACTTTAAATATAATATATTTGCAAATACAAAAATAATATACTACTAATACTACTATTACTAATAATAATAATAATAAATGATTAGAATTGAGTGCAGCCACTTTACTGCATCTTAATAAACAGAATAAAACAAATTATATAAGTAAAATATAATTTAAAGTTGTAAAAGGTGACCTGTTTTCTCCAGATTATTTTCTGACAGACAATGTAATCTTATCATGGTGTGAGGTGTACTTCATAGCTATAAGAAACATAATTCTGGCACTACATCGAAACCACATTAAGACATAAGATTGTATTAAATTATCTTGCTGTTAGAAGAACGGCAGCACAGTTCAATAAATCTCTCGGTCTACACCGACTGTGCAGACACAATGCAGGAAATACAGAGAAGATAAACAAACTGTATCAAGTGAGACAGTTAACTGCATTTCTGTAGCACACCTTCAGTTTTCATACATACTTTGCATCTAACTAATAGAAATCTTACCACTGCTGGAGAAGCAATGAGGGAAACTTGAATCCCATATTGAAATGATCCACCAATTCCCAACACCAGCGTCAGCAGATAAAGCCTCCAGTACTGCAGCTGAAATGTAAAGTGGAAATCATACAAACTGCCTTAGTCTTAATTAAATAATTAAGACTAAGGCGACTAAGTAATTATTTGCAGGACTTAAGTAGACACTATAGGAGAGGTCAGAGTGCTAACATGGGCCTCAAACATGTGTTACCTCCACATATATTAACCATTATAATGTTTAGTAGGATGTCACAATGTGTTCCTCTTCTTCTCTGTTACAGATGTTAGTTTAACCTTCAACTCCTTGTTATAAATGCAGACTCACAATGGTTGTATAAATTATTAAAACTTTTTGATTTAAGTGTAAAAATAATTGTTAAACTAGACTGATTCCTTGTTATAGTTTTTATATATATATATTTTTACAATTGAGATTTTTTATACGCCACTATATTTATTTGATGAATATAATTATTACTTATTTCACAGATTACAAAATATGCAGATGCCTAATTAAATTCAACAATCCAACCCTAATAATAATAAACACTCACTATCTTTCAGTTTTAATTTAAGTACATTTTGATGCTCAGAACATTAAAAGATACAAAATCTAAATAATAATTTGCCTTGTCCCAGTTATGTTGGATAATCCACAGACTTTCAACAGTTCACTGTGATTGAAAACAGTTTAAATAAATTACTTTTACTCCAGTTTTTCTTACTTCCAGAAATTTTAGAGGCAGATATCTTTGTCTAACCTTTAATGATAGTCAAATGTGATTTACACTTGCATTCTATAAATCCAAGAAGATCTATCTTTTAAAAATGAATACATCTATTTTATTGGTTTAATTATTGAATTTTTATATGAATTTCTCATGCATGTTCATTAGTTTCAAAATGTGTTCACACTCTCTTCTTAGCTTGTCAGTAATCTGCAGAGCACTTTGAAGGCACTAACCTATGTGAAAAGTGCCGTACAAATAAACTGATACAAATAAAAAATTCAGTTTGATACACTTAATTTAGAAATGCACAGAAAGTACAAACATGTTTTTTTCTGCATTTTCTTGAGTTTCCTGTATTTGGTTTGTTTCTAAAAGTTGACAAATTGATGAATATGCTTTCCTCTTTTGCCCGTGTCTTCTGAACACCATAAAAAAGTGAATTAAGAAAAAATATATATATAGCTGTCATAGAAAAAATGCTCAGAAATACATTAGAGACTACAAACAGTGCTGCAATGTTCACCTACCTTTCTTGATGCTCCGTCCATTTTCTTCCTGACTTGCTGGATGCTGCAGAAGGAGCAGAAAAACCAGCATATATGAAGGATGCAGCCTAAAGTTACACATCAATAGACTTTAGTTGTCCATTCATGCTGTTAGGGAAAGATCGTCATGTCCTGACGTGTGTGATAGGGATGACCAAACACTGCACTAGATTCAACCTGGTCTGTCTGGTTATCTCTTGTAGTTGCTACAAGTCCTGCCAGTATATTGTGTCTACTGGTTAGACATTACTGGGAAAAAAAACCCAAAACATACACACACAAAGAACCCCCCCAAAAGAGACATGCAGTTGTTGCATATTTAAGCTCATTTGGATGATGTTTGAGCAAATTATTTCCTTTGAATATTGCACCAGAGATGCAGTTTTCCTGATACTTTTATGTAACTTTTTATACACTTCTGTATTATTGTTTTTATCACTCATACATATTTAAAAGGCTTTTTTTTTTAGATATTCAGTGTCTCCATTTTCCTGAAACTGAAACCTTCTGTTAGCCTTCTTTTCTTTTACTTTTCTACTGCAGTGCCAGGCTGTTTATCAGAGAGTGAAGGCTCTGTTTATTTAGCTCGTGTTCAGGTCCTTAGAGTTTAGATCCTAAATAATAATAATAAAATCTAAAAATAACAATTTCATTTAGTTTTCTTCATAGAAATAAATTAAATGCTAAGATATAGGCCTACTATTTTTAAATTTTTCTTACACCACTTAAAATCAAGAGGGCTTCACCCCCCATGAAGTGGGGGTATCAACCCCCAGGCTGGGACCACAGCTGTGCATTATATACATTATACATTATTAGTAAAACTGTGTAAATACAATACACATTAAAGAAACTCTCCACTGAGGAAATAACCCTGATGATTCTAACATTTTCTTTTTATCTGTCTCCTGCAAGTCCTTCCCCAACGTGAAAGAAGTGCAATACTAAATTACTGGACTGGCCCTTTAAAACAGTTTATGAATTGTTTTTGAAACATCTTTTGTCATTCTAACACACAGGCACTATCACATACAAATATTTCTTTGTCAGAATACATTTTACTGATTGAGGAAAACAACTATATTGTAATAATTGTTATTTACATGTTCCTTTTTTGGTTTGTTTGTTTGTGTGAGAACTTTGTGAACAGCAAAACAAAATAAGTCACTAGAGAGGTTGTGGCTCAGGAGGTAGAGCGGGTTGTCCTACTAATCAAAAGGTTGGCAGTTCGATTCCTGGCTCCTCCTGCTGCTGCATGTTGAAGTGGCTCATGAAGGCATGATAGCTGGAAGAGGGTCTAAACCTGCTTCTTCCTCAGACCAAAATGAAGGTCCTTTTCCATAATCAGTTTAATACCCTTTTATCCATGAACCCCTACATAATAAAGGTTGATCTACACAGGCCGAGGTCACACCGATCACAAGGCCCATCTACGTGGCCACGATCCCAGTTGTATAATATTGCTTTCTGTTGCTGTTTGTTCCATCGTATGATGCTTATATGGAGCGAAATATTCACACATTTTTATGGCTGAAAGGTTACATGAAATATAAATACTGTGTATCATTTTCTGTAAGTTTTCCTGTTTCTGTTCCCCAATACTCCCTTTGTCTCAAATCCGGAGAACTCTGATTTATCTTCTTTATAATGTCAAATGTACAAAACTGTGTATAGTGGGAGAATCTTCATCTTGATTTTTTAGCATTTATTTTGTAATTTCTCCTTTTAGATTATTTGCAGTGATTATTTTCCACACTATGTGACAATGTACAAAGGGTAATATTTAAAGCTAAGATATATTCATTGAATATAAATCAAAGATAAAATATTCTTGATGTCATAGAAAGATGAATTATTGTTATGGTTGTAGTGGCAGTGATTGTGAAAAGAAGCTTTTGTACAACAGTGGGTAAATCAAATGATTTTACACACCTTTGACACCAGAAATGTTTTATCTGATGTGACTTTATTTCTGTATTATATTTGAAAGGCACCTTTTTCATGATCTCACTAAAAAAATTAAATTTAAAAACTATGTAAATGTAAGACTCAAAAAATCACTGAAACAAAAAAGACTGACGGAAATATTCAATATAAACAATTGTACATATTCCACTCATGTAAAAACTCATGCTCAACATCATAGTTTTTTTTATGAATGAGGTGTGCACACTGATACACACAGATTTGATAAGGTGCAAATGAACTTTGTTTTAGTCTGAATACATTCTGTCTGATATGTTGAACCATCTGCCACACTGCAAGACTTCAGCATCCTGCAGGTCATTTAACTGGAATGTCCTTTGACCTCCCACAGCCAAGACACAGTTTGCCATTACTAACTCTGTATTCTTTGTCCTATTAAACAAACAGAAAAACAGTAAAATATCTTAATAAAATGTATTTGCCATGCTGAAATGTTTTATTCTTTAGCTAAAAACATCTTTATAAATAAATGTCTTTTCAGAAGTATTTTTTCGGCAGTGGTGACTACAAAGACTATCTATACACTCATTTTTCTATTTATTCTGATAGAACACATCACTTCCTATGTAGCAGGTGATTTTTCTGCCACATTTAGCCCAATATACAGTAGTCAGTAAAACATAAGTGCATACGTGAACACGTCAAAGATAATTCCTTTTAACTCTCTTAATAGAAAACTCACTCCACATAAAGGAGGTACAGTAGATCTAAGTTGCTTTCGGTGATATGAAAGTGAATTATTTCCCACCCGTTCCGTCAGAATGTGCATGACTTCTTCCAGCTCAAGCAGGTCAGGTCAAAGTGAGGCATACAGTGGATGTGACTGTGTGTTTCAGGAGAAAAAAAGTCTGTCTACAAGGCCGTGGAGTGACACACTTCACCCAGCTGATACTGGGCTTGAGTTTGCGATTCACAGTTTTTGTCCTGGCCTTTGAAGTTGAGCTTGTGGAATTCACTTGTGATGGCCGACAAAGACTTCCCTTTGGTCTCAGGCAGAAACAGGCCGACATACAGAGCCGACAACAGGCAGACCACAGCGAAAGGCACGAAGCAGAACTCACTCAGCTCGCTCTGTAACGGAAAGGCAACGGAAAGCTGTCAGACTGATGTGAGACATGATATAAATGAAATGTCGAACTGTGTGTGCCTCAATCTCAACCAACTCCAGGCCTGACTTTGTGTTTAGTTATATATGCATAATTACAAAAGGTTTTATATTATTAGGAATTCACTAAAACTAGAACTTCAAAAAGATTATTAGAGATAAATCCACAAGCATCGTGACGAGAGTCCTCATCCCTTATTTCCTCAATTTGAGACTCTGAACACTGGGGGGCGCTATAGGGTCTCTTTAGCATCCGTAAATATTTAAAAGAAGTCTTGCTGCATTTGAACCTGCCTGTCGACTTATAGTCTCCTAATTAATTACTTGTTGTAATGAGATATACATTTAAAATTTACCATAAAAGCATCGATGGAGACAGAGCAGTTTGTGACAGTAAATAGTGTCTTAGTTTTGTCTTATTAATAATACCTCTCTATGTACACATGTTTTACATTTATATAATTCTAGAGCAAACCACTCAATATTTATGTATGGTTGTTTATTGTCACTACCTGTTTGTTAAACGGAGAGATGTGTGTATATGAACAGATGGATGTAGGGAGAGACTGACCACTAGAAAAGGGAAGATCATTCCCATGATGAAAAGGTTGAGCCACATCATGGAGCCAGCGATCATGTAGGCTGCCGGCCGAGACGTCTGATTGAAGATCTCTGTAGGCAGAACGCCAGTCACTCCAGCTGAAATATGAAATATAATCATCAGAGTTAGCTTCATCATCACATCATCACATCACATATCACACACATATATATATAGGTCATATTAATATATTTAGTGACAGGCATTACTATAGCACCACAGATTAAATCCTCCAAAATAAGCAGTTGTGTTTATGGCTCATTTGAATGTGAAATGGCCCTCAACACCCAACTGAATGTTTTGGAGTTACATTTAGCATTTCAATAGTTGGAGGGGTTGAAAATGAGCGAAGAGCTAAGAATTGTGCACATTTTTTAAAATAATAATTTTACTGATCCACTTTGACGACATTAAATAGAGAAGACTCTGTTTATTTTCATTCCATTAATGGATCTTGAGATCTTTTTGTGAGTCTGTTCATGATGAAAATCTCCAAAAACTGACCTGGTCCCATGCCGAAGCTGAGAATGTAGGTGAAGATGCACGTCATGCTCAGGTACGGCATCCAGGATATATAATGCTGTGGGGAGGAAAAGTAAAATATCTACAGTTTGAGCAACTCACAAACACTGACACACTGAAATGTTTCCGTAAACTGGGAACGTCACTGAATTATATAAGTGATATAATACCTCAAACGACAGAGCAATTGTGAAGACAACAGCCCAGACGGTCATGAGGATGAATCCTCCCATCAGCATGAACTTCCGACCTTTGCGCTCTATCAGCAGATTCTGAAAACATCCAAATATGAACGTCAGACTTTTACATATCATTAGAACAAATAATATTTAAGACTTTACAGTAAGGTACATAAAGCCCAGAGCAGTAACCACTGAATAAATACAAATAAGGAGCTTCCTGCTAATGAATAGCCAATATGAATGGGCAGCATTTATGAGTTTATATTATCAGTAAAAACACAGTAGCTGTTTCTCAGTTGAGAGATTGATGCTCTAATTTACCCAATGAGAGCACACATATAACAACTATAAGCACGTGATGAATAGTAATTGTTTCTTGCCATTTAGGACTTGATTAAAAGTTAATTAGAATTAATAAACCAGAAAGTGTTCGGTCACAGATATTATGAAACTAATTATTAAACACTGCTTTATTAAAAGAACCAGTTGGACATTTTATGCTCATTCACTTCGATTTACTCAATGAATTGAATAGGTAGCAGCTAGTTAGCTTAGCTTAGCATAAAGACAGGGAAACAGTTAGTATGAAATCCCTATAAAGTTTGCTACATGTTACATCTGTACAAAAACAGGAAGTGTAAAAACAAAAAAGTTATTGTTTTAAAAGGGGTTTTTGGCCAAGTGCAATAACTTCCTCAAAACAGCTGCTGGCTCTAGCTTCATATTTAACGTACAAACATGAACTATACCTTTAACATGACATCTTCTTCTCAAGTGACAACAATTAGTCCATTCAGAGATATCCAGGTACTACTGGTTTCTCTAATTAGCAGTTAGTTCAAGATCTGGTACGTCACCATTTCTTCTTTCTAGCTACTCAGTAATTTATGTATCTTACTGTAAAGTGTTCACATGGTGTTAGTGTAACAGCATATGTCCAAGTGCTCTCAACTGTGAAATTAAATGTAGAACCTATTGTATGTACAGTACACAGGGCTGTAGTTAGTCCATAGCCTGCGTTAAAGATTTAAGAGGAATGCAAACAACAGTCTCTTTGCCTCTAGCCGGTTACATAACGTGTGTTTCAATGACGGATACTTACACACATTATACAGGCTGTGAATTCACATGTACCAGTGCCAATTGTGATATACTGGATTTTCTCATCAGATATTCCAGCCTCTTTGAATACATAATATGCATAGAAGTAAATCTGCAAGAAAAATAACATAAAGACTTTAGAGTACAACCTTAGAATACTGCAGAACATCATTACACTCACTTCAACTGCTAATAAGCTGATTAAGCCAGAATTTTGTACAAAGAGTAACTATGTTAATACCCCCATCCCCTCCCTAAATCTGTCAAGCATGTGGTTAAAAGCCTTTAAACACAGGAGTACTTAGTCAGCGTTTACTGATGAGAAGGCAACTTGTTGCAACTCCGAAAATCAGTTTGGATGTGTTAACAACAAAGAAACAACTTTTAGTGCACATTCAAAACAATCAGCTGTCTTTACTCATCATTCACTGCACATTATGTGTATATGATGCCTCAGCAGCAGTATACATTATTAATATGACCTGCAGGAACGTAAGAAACCCAGACACGACACAAACCGCTGATGGATCATCTCAAATTTCTAATCAACGGTCTGACAGAGCAAAGGGCCAGAAAGAGCATCTGATACTGTTACTGCACCTCGGTATCAGTAACACTGTCCCTCTTGGGTTACATAACAATATTTCCTACAGAGACACAGTGTAAAAATGTCTGATAATGACACTGATGGCAGCTCTTCTTACCGAGTCATTACCACAGAGCTGCATGGCACTGCTGATGATCATGACAGAGATGAGCTGCCAGCGCACTGAGCGATCGGTGAAAAGCTCCCAGGGCCGGCTGGGCCTCATGCCTTTGGTTTCGGCCTGTTCCTGCAGGATTTCATCGAGCTCGCTGCTTTGGACCTCACAGCCTCGCAGCCGCCTCAAAGCTAAGCAAGAAAAGAAACCCCAAAACCACTTAAATGCCTGAGACTTTTTTTTGTTTTGTTATTCTCTGGCTATAAATTATTAATCTGTATGTTTTTTATATATACCAAATATAATTTGATGTGCTGAGTTGACAGCAGTGGTGGAAGAGTACTCAGATACTGCTTGACACATTACAGTACCCACCGTTAATACAAGCCTCCTTGTCCCCCCTGTCGATGAGCAGGTATCTGGGGCTCTCTGGGAACCACGGCAGGGTGAGGAGCTGAATGAAGCCAGGAATGGCATTACTGGCGAGAAGATACTGCCAACATTGCTCACTGCCCAAAATCTCTCTATAAATAAATAATCCAGAGTGTTATGTGGATATCTAATCTACGGCACATACTGTTTATTTCTTTTACAGCAAAAACATTGGCCTCTTTTGTCCGTACCTCAGTCCGACCACCTGTCCTAACACAACACCAAATGCTGTGAAAACAGCTGAGGACAAAGAGATAGCCCCTCTTAGGTGCTTTGGTGCACTTTCTCCAAAATACATGGGCTGCACATTCATGCTGATCCCTGCAAAACACACAGTGAAGTTTCTGTTGAATATCTGTGCATTTATTTTGATCTTTTCAAGCATTACTATTACTTAAAAGTAAAGTTCAGTTCTCATTTCAGTCTGTTAATTACAGCTAATCGAAAACAATCACATATATCAATATTTGCTTGGAAATGCCCCCAAATGAAGATATTGTAACTCAAAAAACTTTTTTTTTATTGTGGCACACTAGTAAAGCACTAAGATAAATATCTAAAGGTGGAAGTAGAAATCAATAAATTGTTTTATTTCTGATTCTTTCCTTTTTTCATTGAACTTAAGCACCTGGTCTAAAATGCGTCCATAAAATCATAAGATCATTAAATGAATTTACATTTTATATATATTATTTTTTTAATTAATCTTAATTGTTAAATTTGATAGCATTTGACACCATGGCACCCCTCCGCCTCTGCATGAATATACATTGGGAAGAAAGTCCGACAGTATAACAGGGATTTAAAGGCAAACATAAATAGTTACTGACGTAAAATCACGTACCGGCATTTATTCCAATCAGGACACGTGAAATAATGATCATCTCAAAAGACTTGGCAGCTCTACTTGTCACAGCTAAGAGTGAACCACTCATGAGGAAGATGTTGTTCAACAACAGGCATTTCTTCCTTGAGAAGGGAAAAGAGGACAAATCTAATAGATTGCTAACAACGTTTGGTAGTCAATGAGAGTTTATGTCAGTCTTGCTGCTGTAAAATGTCACCAGAGCATCAAATGTGTATTCATTCACTGAAAATAGCCATCACGAAATGCATTATTTACATCTGTTTGAGTTACGTTTGCTACACGCTACAGTGACCGGCCGTTTAAGGAAATTATTGATCCTTGTTAAAAATAAATACCTACAGCAACAGGAAGAGTAAGAATAAAGTATTGGATAATAGACCAACACCAGCCTAATGCTTCAAAGTCAGTTTGTGATTGTTTGCAAGCACAATTGATGCATGTGTGTTTCTCTGAAGATCAAGACTCAATCCAGGGTGATTTGCATGTATTCACATGATAGAGGAAAGTAAATGAACAATCTCTTTATTCATTTATACGTGTGCGACATATCAACAGGTTGATCATTCGCTCTTTGCACATTGCAATGAAAATCTCAGTTTGTAACCTTCGTGCATTTATACATTCACATAGAGTAGCGCAACGGAGCATTTTATATTACCTCCCGAAGCGTATGGTCATAGGTCCTGCGATTAGAGCTCCTGCAAAGCCCCCCAACGAGAATATGGAGACAATTATTGTCCAGACCAGAGTCACCTGGTAGTCCTCCAGCTGGAAGTCCCAGCGCTCCAGGAACGTCTCATTGATAAAGGTTTGAATAAACTGTGAGAGCAGACAAGACAGTCAACCACTAAAGTGTCACTGAGCTAACACACGGAAACAGAGCAGTGGTTAAATCTGACCCTTATTACCTCTTTCTGTTTGTCTGTCTGTGTATATATGCGTGTTTATAGTTGCAGTATTGTTTGCTGCTGATGGAAGTTTGTGCTCTTTTATTCCATTTGCTGCTCGGCTTAACAAAACACAGAGGAACTAGATCCTGCATCCAGAATTAATTTCTAAAGCACAATACAGCTGGATGTGGTACAATGAGAATGACTAATCACAGACACAAGTAGCCTAATTCTTGTTTGTGCCAATTTACACTGACCCAAATGTGAAATAACACTGATGCTGCACTGCGTACAGGGAACACACACACAAAACACACTTTTAACCACAACTGAAATGTTAATCTATGTTTCTGAACACTTACCCTGCAGAGCCTTATCAGCTCTGTAAATATGTAAATAGACCCGCATACCTATGTTTGACTGAATAATTAACACTTTGTTAACACTGGGAACAACTTACAGTTGTGGGAGAATTCATTATTGCGAGGTTGTAGCCATATTGAAGAGTTCCTCCAATGGCTGCAGAAGCAACCATTAGCACCAATGTCAGAGAGCTGCTCTGTCAATGCAAACAGACAGACAGACAGACAAACAGACAGATAGACAGACGGATAGACAGACAGATAGACAGATAGACAGACGGATAGACAGACAGATAGACAGACGGATAGACAGATAGACAGACAGATGTTTAGATACACATTATCTTATCAGGTAACCTACTAATTTGCTAAAATCACAGCATATCAAATTTGTCAGCTTGTTTGTTAATTGACTGCAAATCTATCATCCATTGAACATGCAGCTGGAGAGACAATATCAGAGTTACACCTGCAATGTATGATAATATGACACTGCCTGATAGTAGATAGATAGATTAATATGCACATTCAGTTGTTGGGCAGTTTTTTACAGGTTGTTTTGATGTTAATTTGGTAAAAACAAAAGATATTCAAACAGCAGCTCATATTTACAATAACCACCAAGTAACATTCAGCTTCTCTGCAAGACTTTTCTACATATTTCTACAAATGTCGTCTACAAATCAAACAGCAAGGGTCTTACAATACTAAATTAAAGATAAATGACTAATTGAAAAGTATAATGTACTAATTTACCTTCTGTGCACCAGCTTGCGCCATTGTTAACGTGCTGCTGGTGAAGGTGGAAGGTGGTGGCAAAAAGGCACAGAGTGACTTGATGAAGTCCGACGGCGAGCCACGCAGGTCAGCCCACCTCCAGAATAACGGGCCTGCACGAGGTCGAGCACGCTCCTGAAGCGCGCGTGCGGTAAGGCCTCTTGTGATTGGCTGCAGTTGTGCAACCACAAGTACAAACCAGTAACCAAATACTGAGCTGATGTCTTACAGGACTCTTATAAAGCTGCAACAATGATTTACTGGGGGTTGGGTTGTTCTGTTGCTCGGTCTCACCTCAGGGTGCAGGTAAGAGGTTAATCTTAATTACTGGGTGAGCAATTAAGAACAACATCTCGTGCGTAGTGAGGTTTTCATCAACCACAGAGGAATCACGTTCAGGTGGATGCTGACTGTTTGAGGAGGATAACGATAATAAATCACCTGCACACCTGCAGTCCCGACATTTTGTAATCCTAAATGTAACATTTCTCTGTTTATGAACCTCCATCAGTACGTGTTATGGAAATAATTAATATTGAAGCAATTTCATCTCTCCCGTGAAAGCATTTATTTGATTAGGACATGTTCTGATCAATATATACCTTTGTTTAAGTTACTGAGGCATGTTGGAGCTGACCAAAATGTTTCTGTGTCAGTTTTTGGTAGTTTGATTAAACACAACATTATGCACAATGTGAACACAATATAAACAAAAATAGTAAAGATCTTTAATGGAGAGTTGGACACATGGCCGCTCTACTAGGGATTATACTGAAGGACCTGCTTTTATTGACATAATACTTCAGTGGCATAAATACCTCAAACAACAGTTTGCAGTTAATCAAAAATCCACTGACATGCACTAAAGGTTTTTGGACAACTTGCATCAACGTGAAGATTAAGAGAGAGAAACTGCTATTATTTTGCAATTGCTGATATTTTCTATTATTCTGAAACAAAATTAAGTAATATAATATATATCTTATTATTATTATGAAGTCTGAAGGAAACACTTAGCAAATTGTTTGTGTCCAGCAGATGGAGCTGGTTTGAACTGTTTCTTGCTTTGTTTGCTGCTCATGATGAGCTTCTCAACACTAGAAAATTGGAAAGCTGCTGTATTTCCCCTCTAATTCTATGAGGGTAGATTGTAAAATAGTTTTATATGTTTTTTTAAAAGGGAGATTACCTCATCATGAGAGAGATTAGTGAGCAGTTTGAGTTGCTTTTTCACTTCAGATGATCACTAAATGATCCCATCGATACCTTTACAGGTGTACTCGATGCTGCATGAAGAGCATTTTTCAATTGAATTCATTCTGCCACAGATAACATAAGGAAATGAAACACATTCTGGGACTATTAGAATGAAAATTATTTTCAAATATTAGAATAATCCACCTGTATTATTGAGAGCAAGTGTAGAAGAAACACACAATATACACAGTATCCCAGTCAGTTTGTGTTTGTGTGTGTCTGAATCATTTCACTGCTGCACTTTTCTGGACAGTCTGGCAGCTTTCATGAACCTGATAAAAGACACAGAGACACTGTTGACAAAAGGTCAGAGCATCACTAAAAACATTATGAATTTATCCTTTGGAGTCTATGAATATCTGCACCAAATTTCATAGGATTCTTTGCTCTGGACCAAACCGTTGGACAGATGAATGAACAGACGGAGCAGCAGAGCTATTCTTAGGCCCCGAAATAAAATACAACTTTTATTCATTTTAAAACCCAGTGATAAAGAAAAACACTACACATGAATTAACACATTAAATACCTTAATTATATTTATATAGGATTTTGTAGTCTGCACAACATACAAATAATACATACACATATACATACATATATATATACCATATATCAAATAACAGGAAAAAGAGACTGTACATGTTATTTTATTTCAATTCATGTTTATTTAAAAGAATTCAGTGTTCCAGGAGGACCGGTGGTGGGATGTAACTAAGTACATTTATTAAAGTACTGTACTTGAGTATTTTCTATTTTATGCAACTTTATACTACTTCATACTACTCCATTACAATTCACAAATATTCTACTTTTTACTCCACTACATTTGTCCCACAGCTGTAGTTACATATTACAGTACCCTTCCTGTCCAGGAAAACCATGTATCTCCAATTTTGGTGATTTTGAATGTTTGAATGAACCAAAACGTTTTCCTTTATAGGCTGGGAAGATTCTCAACTACATAAACTATTTAAAACCCTCTGGGATTGTCTGTAATAATGCAATTGTCATAAAGCTGAAAACAAGGCTGTTTTTATGGGACAGCGATTCTACAAATGTATGATAGTGATTAAAATGAGCTCAACCTTAAACATCTACAGCAGTAAAATGCAACACACACCTGCTGTTGTCATGTTCATCATCATCAGTCACTACTATTAGTATAGTTGTTGCTACTGTTGTTGCTGTGCACCTGTCTGTCTCTCTCTCTCTCTCTCTCTCTCTCTCTCTCTCTCTCTCTCTCTCTCTCACCCCAACTGGCCGAGACAGACGACCACCCACCTAGAGCCGAAGGATCTGTCCTAGGTTTCTGCCTCTTAAAAGGCAGTTTTTACTTGCCCTCGTCGCCAAGTGCTTGCTCATGGTGGTACTGTTGGGTCTCTGTAAATAAGTTCGGTCTAGCTCTATTTGAAAAGTGTCCTGAGATAACTTCTGTTATGAATTGGCGCTATACAAATAAAATTGAATTGAATTGAATTGAATTTAATGCAGCTGTAATATTAATTTAAAAAAAAATCATATTTAATAGTAAAACACTGACAGGGAACATTTTACTGCAGAATTAGTACTTTTTATACAAATCTTGCTGATAATATTTATATACCTTTATTTTTAAATTCACTTTCTGTTGTAGTGGAATATTTTGACCTAAATTACCTTTAAATTAAATAATTAAAATAATCAGACACATATTGAGGTCATAATGAGACGATACCTTCCTCCTCCTCCTCCTCCTCCCTCTCTGTCTCTAATTGGTCAGCCTCTGACAGGATTACACGAGTTTCCTCAATTGAACACAGTGAAGTTAAACGCTCGGACATCCCGCTACAGATTCTCGTGGTGTTTGACTGAAAGAAACTCGACCACAGTTACTTTTAAACGACTGAATCTGAAGCGACAGTGTATCAGATGTGTGTAAATGCCAGCAGTGGACAGGACTGTGATGACGGCAATAAATGTTTCCTGTGTTGCTGCTGCTCGCCCTGCAGCCTGCTGCAACACTAATGACTAATGTGGTTTCTTAACACACGGCCGCATTTCAGTGAAGCTGCCCCTCAACTAGTTTAGACTACAAGTCGTCAAGATGACTCGGATCTTCTGGGATACAATCTTTCTCATAAGCGGTGAGTAGATCATTTTCCTGGAAATTAAGCATTTTTATTTGTGTCCATGTCTCGTTCCCACTTGTCATTTTATTTAATTTATTTTAGATTAATGTAGTGATTAATGATTAAGAGAACTGAATGAGAGATGTGGGTCCTCCAGTATTAATTATTTTGTTTCATGTTAAGTCACTGGATCACTTTAAGACTTGCAATGAGAATCAGTGCAATACTCCAATATACATTTAAAGTGTGTTAGCTCTCCAAATTAATTTAACTAGCTGTATTGAGCTTACTCTGCTTGATGGTACTTTGTTTATCCTGTCTGGTGTCACTGATTGTTAATACAATATATATTAAACTAAAGTGGTTGTGTTAATTTGTTGGATTTCTGTATTATATTCTAAATTTTTATGGTGAGAAAAAAAAAAGTATAAAAATCACCATGTTTCTTATGATCTTCAAGTTTCTGTCAACTTTTAAATTTTTCATGTGCTTGTTTCAGTCTAGTTATGCTTGCGTGTATCCACGTAGACCGGGTGTATTTATAGTGCTTTGGTCTCATCCTTTTAGTGGATGCTTGACCCTGTTACTATTGTTGGGTACCAGTTACTCAATGAAGCATCGATATTACATTGAAGAGTCACATGATGAGAGCTGTATGGGGGCAGATTACTAGGATTAAGGTTGTTTATCATATAGTAACATATATGACAGCTGGTTTTCTTTTGGGGGGGAAAAATCACAATACAGTAATATATATTTTTTATATTCCTGTAGGTACTTTTAGTATGTCTGTGGTACTCAATGGTGAGTTTACAGTGAACTTTCTTGGTATTTTTGTTATTATATTCCTGCAGGGATTTGTTGCTATTTCTATATTTGACATTGGCACTGTATCAGAGGTTTGTTTTCCTCTCCGCAGGTTCCCTCTTTACATTTGGAGCAGGGCCGAGCAATTCAACAATTATTGAAGCCAGCATTTCAATCAATTTGAACTCCACTGCTGCTCCGAGCACCTCGACAACCACCTCTGCAGCAACCAGCAGCAGAAGCACAACGGCTGCAACAGTTATTCCAACTACTACAACCAACGTCCCTCCAGTTAAAAGTAGGTCTCAGCACAGTCGTGTCATGTGAAGACGCAAGACAAGAAACTCTTTATCATCCCCAGAAGAAAACAACAATCTGTCATATGTCCAATGTTCTTAAGACTTTGAGCCACTCTTGTTGTAGTGTTGCATCCACATCAGGCATTTGTATCTGTTGTTATATTCCTGCAGGGACTTGCAGTTATTTCTTGATTTTTCACATTAGGATCATATCATATGTTAACGGCCATTTATTTTCATCTTTATAGCTTCCCTCTTTACATTTGGAGCAGAGCTGAGCAATGCAACTATCACTGAAGCCAGCATTTCCATCAGTACAAACTCCACTGCTGCTCCGAACTCCTCAACAAGCCGCTCTGCAACAAGAGGCACAACTACCACAACCACTGCGACTACTACAACTATCATCCCTCCAGTTAAAAGTAAGCAGCCGTGTCATGTGAAGATGCAAGAGAAGGTTCAAGCTCATCGTTGAGCCATTTTCAGTAAAACATTCGCTGTATTTTAAGATAAAACCTCATTGCAGGCCTCAATCTGCTCTCCCTGCAGTGTTGCTTCCACAGTCGGAGTCCTCGACACTGTAAAGCTTCCCATTGAGCTGCAGTGCATCAACACATGCAGACAGTGTGGCGCTCGCTGATAATTGATCCTCTTAGCGTGAGTGAGGGTTGCCATTGTGGTAAATTAAAGATTATGAACAGTACATTCAGCCATTTCACAAAAAGCTGCACCTACAGTATCGAATTAAAAGCACCTTACATGCCCTAAAGGCTGTTTTGTGTCTCAATGTCTCTCTCGTTCCACTGCCAAAATCACATGGAAAGAGAGAGGGGTTCGTAGGCAGATGCCTCAGGGACAACAGAGGGCTTTCACAGAGTCTGAAAGAAGGAGACAATACATGTAGGCTGCAATCCAAAAGCCCATTTACCGTTGGAATGGAGTGTGTGACGAAGGCTGTAATGCAGCTATCTGTCTGGATGTTCATCCTCCTTCCCAGTCTGAATGCGACACTATGTATCTGTTTCGACTGCTCGGGGAACACTGACTTTTGTTTGAGTCAGTTATGTAGGAATTTGTCTGACTGTACAGCTTATGCGTAAGAAATGTCCTGTTTTGTCTGGGCGTTCATTAAATTAGATATTTCTGTCCCGAGTGAAAACAGAGATAGTTGCTTAAAGGCTTTATTTTCTGCTAAAGAAATGTGGTTACTGCAGGGATGTGCTCTCTCCTGAGTCCTAATGTGGGCTGATGGATGGAGTCCTTTTGTTTGGAACGTCTCACCGGGACTTTTCTTGACTCTAATTGTCCCTCCCAGGTAAAGTGAGAGATGTAAGCCACCATAAATCCACACGCAACTGGTAACAAAAGGCTTCAGTCTACCGTTGGTGGCGTGGGTGTCAGCTTTAGGATTTAGTACATGCTGTTGTTTTAGGTCTCTGCGGGCTTATGCTATTTTTAGAGTTATGATATTCACCTGTGTCATGGTGTGTATTTGGACCAAATGCACTTTGATTATATTTGATATTGTAATTTAGGGTTTAATTCACGCACTACAGCTGTGGCTCTCAACCTTTTTGGTGTCAAGGCCTCCCAAATTAAAACAAATCAGGCCGCAAACCCGAATTTGATGAGAAGTTGTCCTGTCGGATCCCCCTCTGATGAGATTAAGTTATTCTATAACTGTCTGTTTTGTAGATTGGCAGATTAACAGTGAAGAGTGTGAAACCTTTAAACAGAATAGTCATTCTTATACATTCTGTCAATAGGTGAACTTATAGCCAATTAAATAATGGTGAAATTAAAATATTCCCCATTTGTAGGCATCCCTGGGTGTCCTCAGAACCCAGGTTGTGAACCACTGCTCTAAAGGACTTCTAAAGGTGGATGGTTCTGTCATCAGTTCAAGTGACCCACCTAAATATCAGGAGATGCTTCGTACTGGCCACTCAACTAAAATGATTTAATTTGCATTGGTTTCAATGGAAAATATTTGTGTGTTTTATGGTCTGAAAAAATCCTTCGTTTGGTATATATCTCTGAAAATGTTAACAATGTCTTGTCTGACAACCTCACAGAGTTTGTGGCAGCGGCTGTTCGGTCTCATTTTGACGACTGTCCAGACTCCCACCGCCATTTCTGCTTCCACGGCACGTGTCGCTTCCTGATACTAGAGGAGACACCTGCATGTGTGTAAGTTGTTACCGTCTTAAATAACGATTAAGCCCACATTATTAGGTCGACTATCAGTTCACTTTCAGACATAACAGTAATCAGATTTACAGATAATGCACTCTTAACTTACAAAAGAATATGTTTCGTCCTCTTTTACAGTTGCTTGTTAATATTGCTTTTGGTCACTTTGGTGTTTTAGCAATTTAAAGCACTTTTCACTTTTCAAAATGATGCCTCTATAGAGAAAATGTAAACATTTCTGAGTTAAAATTTGTATTAGGTTAAAAAAACAAAAACTTTTAAAACTATTGCAGCAGTTATATTATGATATTAAATATGATATTGATGCAGCTAGTGTTGGGGCTTCCCCTGTCAGCCGATAACACTGTGATTTGTGCTACTTACAAAGTCAATTAACTGCTGTTTTTACGTATTTATGCATACCTGATTTGATTTTCCGTCCTTGTTGCAGGTGTCATGCAGGCTTTGTCGGGATGAGGTGCGAGCATGCAGACCTGCTCGCTGTAGTAGCAACTAATCACAGACAACAGACCGTTGCCACAGTGCTGGTGTTGTGTGTGATTGGGTGTGTTCTCATCATGGTGTTGTGTACACTGTTACAGTAAGTAACATGCACCTTATACTAAAAGGTTCACTGGGATCATAGCTGATAAACTGAACAGTATTTAACAGAACACATTTGTCCAACTAAGGAATGAAGTAATTGGCTTGTTGTTGGGAGAATATTCCAGTATTTGCGTATTTTCTTGTGCAGTTGCTGGTGGAGGCAGGACTGTCGCAGGAGGAGACACGCACATCACTACATCCCAGAGAAGCACGGAGCGTCCTGCTATCCTTCTGAGAGTGGTACTTCATTTATTTCTTGTGTTCCCAAGGTCACATTTCTATTTTGTTGTTGGGGTGGCAAATTTACTGATAAAGTTGAGAGCAATGAGACTGTATAATGTAGATGGCCAGTAAATGCTACATACTGTTAATTGGATGTATTAAGGCAAAGAGTACAGATAGATGGGCTCTCTGTCTTCCTGTTCATATTGTTTTAATGTGGTTGGGGATAAAAAATTATGTTATACACATTGAGGTATAAGCGTGGAATTATTAATATATTTGTCCTGTTGTGAAAGGACCAGTGTGTAGAATTTTTTTCGTTTTGGTACTGCTCCCTTTCCAAGCATATAGGAGGACTCTAGATGGGGCCTTTCTATAGCCAGAAAAAACACAACAATTCTTATTTTCAGGTGTTAATACATGAATGAAAACATACCTACAAATATTATATTTCATTTCTGCCAATAAATCCTCCCAAATGTTACACACTGGAGCTTTAACAAGTCCCATGAAAGGTAGTCTGTTTCTCAATACATTAAATTCAAACAGGTCATAAATGTATAGTTTCATTATCAAAAAGGATTTTAAACCAGCAGGGCACTGTAGTTTTTAGTGTATGTAACTCCGACTGAGTAAATGTGTTGGGGACTATTTTCAGCTGTGGATTAATCCACAGTTGCTGCTCTAGTGAGAATTTGCAACAGCAAGATGGTTGACTCAAAATAAACTACAATGCCCATGTTGATGGTAATGAATAAATAGCAGTGGAGCTCTATAGCTCAGAGGAATAAGATGTATCAGGCTTTGGATACCCTTACACAATACTTATTAGTAGGATCATTTCATTATCTTTTGTTGTTGTTTTTTTGGGGGATTTGCTGACTAAAATCAAGTGATCCTTGTGGGAAATTTTTTAATTTTTAATTTTCCTTATTATTCTTTCCCTTTCAGTGGTTTGAGAAGACATATTGCTGGAACATGAGCTGATTGCATCACGGCGTGTTTAGTTTTCCTCGTCTTGTCCGGCCCACAAACCCTCAGGATTGCATCCAAAGTGGTACTCACATGTTCTGATCAAGCAGACCTGGCCAGAGGCGAAGAAGCACCATCTTCAGTGTGGCTAAGGTAGGCCTGCTCGATGTGGGAGGTTAACCCATTTTTTTTTTTCCCCCACTGACTGCGACCTTTGACCTGAAGCACCGTAGGAACATGTTTACTTCACTATTTGATTTTGTGGAAATACCTGCAGAACTACAACAGTCTGTTAGAAGCTCTGAGGATGAAGCTGCTGCCAAATCCTACATGGGAAGAGCTCCGCGTGTCCTGATTACTGTTTATGGCTGGCCTAGAGGACACGAGAAATGATCCATTAAGGCCATTAATCGTCCTGTGTGGATGTTGAATAGGAACGCTGTTTATTTTGGGCTGTGGGACAAGAATCATTGAATTAACTTAAGTCAGAAGACCCCAATTCCTATTTTTGTCTTTTAATAACTTTGCACACATTTCATCAGAACTCTACAAGCACAGAGGACATTTTTAAGAAATTCTGGTGGGGGGGAAAACTGATGCTTTAAAGAAGTTTTAGTATCTGTTTTTAAAGAAGGAACTCACTTCACCTGACAGGAGTAGGAATTGTTTAATGGACTGACTGCTGTTGTATTAAAAAACCCTGGACTTGAATCTGTAACTTACACAAATTGTTCAAATATGGTTGTGAGAAAACAATCATCCAGGTATTTTTTTCAAATGATTTGACCCCAGTATTGCTACTGAAGTTGAAATATTTGTCAGTTTTATTTTTAATTCCTGAGCTGTTACTTGAACATGTTCATGCATCAGAGGTTTTTGATTTGCAGGCTATAACTTTAAAGACACATGCACATCCTGGGAGGCCACATTATTATTATTATTATTATTATTATTATTATTATTATTATTATTATTATTATGGTCCTATTGTATTGTTGCACTTTTCTGCAAGCTTGCTCATTGTTCATAAAAAAAAAAACTGCACTTACTGCACACTGGTCACTTGGAGAGAGTGTCCACATAATGAGAGATGCCAAATACACTCGTTTCTAACTTTTGCCTGAATGAGCACTGAAGGGAAGAGGCACGCAGTTTGTACAAATCCACCTAAGCATGCATGCACCTAAATCACAGCTTGTATTTTTAAAGACACAAAACACTTTATATTAGAGTGGTGTGTTATAGCATTGCCTCTGCTTTGAATTTAAATACTTTTAAAGAGAGAAAAGCCTCTGAAGGTTAATTTAAAACAAAATATTTAAGATTTTCTTAAAAAGAAAACTGGAAAAATAATCGGTGAAGGAATATAAAATGATTACAAACTGACTTGGGTACGACGTGTGTACACGAAAAAAAAACAAAAAACTTCCATGATAAAATGAATGTGATGGTATTAAAATGCCAAAAGACTCCGAGGGGATGATACGCTTGTCTTTGTTTACAGTATGTGATGATATTTACATTCAGAATATGTATTGATGTTTGTTATTACAGCATTTTATGTGTAAATATCTCAACCAGAGTGAAATATTCAATGTGTATATAAGGTGTCAATACAAAATCATCTGAAAAAGGGTGATCCTCTAATGCATTAACCCTTTACTTTGTAAGATTTCTGTTGTCACAATTGGAAAGCTTATATTATTTTGTTTTCCAATGAAATGAATTAAAAATGCAATCGCGTGTGCATATTTTTTTATTCATGTGCTTAATAATTGCTGCTCCGTCTTTGGAGTCTGTTGTTTGATTCATTGCGTGACCTTCTTTTCACTTCTGAAGCTTTGCTTTTTTTTCTTTTTTTCCTCCTTCCCTCTTCAAATACCCCGATTTCCTGACGCTTTGCTCTTCTATTTTTCTCTTCCACTGAATATTTTAAGACTCAGAAATGGCAACATGAAACCCTGAACCCCGGGCACAATTGAACAAAGAGCTGAACTCTTGAGTGCTTTTATAGCTGAAGGAAATGTTTCAGCCCTCTTCTATATCGCCATTACGTTTTTTTTTTATTTATTGTGTTTTTGAGTTTACAGAATGTATACCCATTCATGTTAAAGCCTTTATTCAATGTGCAAGACTGTGCCACATACATCCGTTTTTTTATTTTTATTTCCATTGTATGTCATTGGGTAGACTTCTTCCTTCCTTAAGGTGCTGCATCTCCTCTGCTCCTCGCTTTCGCTCTCTCCACGAGGAGCTCTGTTTTGTTTTGCAATCCCATTATGTCTGCAATTGGATTTCTGTGGAGCCCTTTTAGAGCCGTCTGGCTGAGCTACTAAACCAGCTTTGAATTAAGCAGCTCTTGTGGGCGATTCCCTAAAGATACACAATACTCTTTAACATACAAAGGAGTGTGAGGGGAAACGAATGAAATCAAGTGGGGGAAAAGAAGAAGAAGAAGAAGCCAAGACTTACTACAAACTGGGTGGTGATTCACATTTTGTGAAGTGGAAAGCTGTGTGTTGTCGTCAGGAAATTCTCTCAAAATCTGATTTGGACAAGTGTCAATTCCGATTCCCCATAAGAGGCTGTAGATCTGCTTTGAATTGCAATGCCATTCTGGTCTTTTTCCCCCTCTGCTTCCTCCTCTGGTCCTTTTGATCCTCAGTCCAACATTCCCAGTCTCTGCCTCTGACCAGATGGTTTGAAATAAGAGTATTTACAAAGGTATTAGGGTTAAGCAACCCTGCCTTGTTCTCCTCACTGCTAAGCACTGAAACAAATCATTAGGATTGATGAAAGCTCAGAGCTTCAGTTAAAGTGGGGCCTGCCACGCTGTTTCGATTTGACCCGCCAGAGGTTTCTACTGAAATAAAAAAAAAAAGAGGAACTGATTTAAGGAAATTTTAATATAAATTGTTATTTATGCAGTTTAATTTTTGTGAGGTAAAACTGCTCTTTAAATATGTAGGATCCCTATTTATTAATTTATTTTCATAATTTGAGCACAGTGGGCATTTTGACACTTTTTCACAGGAAGTCAGTCAATTATGGGAACTATCACTATTTCACATCTTGGCTATAAAATGTTGGCCCATTACATTTCAGTCTTGGCCCTTCAAGGGAAAAAGCTTTGGCACCCCTGAGCTAAAGGGTCAGTTCACCCAAATCACATAAAAAATAATAATTTACACTGGTGGTTGATCCTGAGTGCTGCTCAAAGACACATTTTATACAGCATGAATGTGATGTTACAGTATTTAAATTCATGTTTGTAGAGTGATGATTGCGTATGTTTGACATCCTTTCTGTCTCCACTCTTGCCTCACCTTCATCCGATTTAAAGGATAAGTTCACATTTTTTCAGTATCTTATAATTCTCACATACTCCATACGTTCATCATGAGAGTTACTGGATGATCCCTTCCTAATGGGATTACAATGTAAATATAATATACAATGTATTTCACTGGGTAAAATAATTGTACATTTCTATTAATATTGTATGTCAACTGTTTGAATGTTGTATTACACAATAATTGTTTTTATTTATCTTTTTAAAGTATGATTATATTTATAAAGGGGAGGTATCTTCATCATCCATGTTTGGCTTCAAACCTCTCATCTGCACATTGTTCTATTTCTTATAAATAAATTCTAGTGCATGTGCAAATAAAAATAATAAAATAATGTAGGAGTGATGGGGGGACATTACATATATTGTATCAGGAAGGGGTCTTTTCAGGGTCAGTGTGGACAGGAGGCAAAAACTGTTTTACATAATGTTACTTTAAAGTCCCCATGAAGTCCACATTGATGTTTAATTGTTTTAATCACATATCATCTATACAGCAGTGTCTGGCCCAACAATATTTATTGTATTTTTGGTTATTCTTAATGGTATTTTAGAGTTTGTCATTTCTTGCTGTTGGTTTAATATGTTTTGTGTTCCTCAATCCAATTAGTTCCATCAATGGTGACAACCTCTCTGTTCATTTGTGCTGGGATTATGAATTTAAAAGGAAGTAGTTCAAACACATGAGCCTACAGATTTTATGTAAAAATATTAGTGAACAGTGGTGAGTCAATTGCCTGCATGCACATGTTGCAACGCCACGTATTGCACAAAATAACTGAATCATTTGTTCAGACCAAAACCTTTTTTAACTGGAAAACGTGAATATATGGAAGGCTAGATGAATACAGATGGGTGACTAAAGAAGGACTTGGGATGTTTGGTAACCATGGCTTTCCCCATCTCTCCCTCCCCTCATTTCCTGTGTCTTTTCTAATATCAACTCTGTAATAAAGGTATAAAATGTCCCCAAAATACTTGCAAAATACATTAAACAGGAATTAATAACTAGACACTAAATGCCAGATGAGAGAATATCTTTTGGAAATGTGTTCATTCCTCCAGTAGAGTATCACAGACGGTGGCCCGACCCCTCACTAAGACACTATATATGCTTGTTTTTTCTTTTAATATGTCACCCATCTGTTCCCCCACTTTTATGTTGCCTATTGTTTACATTGTGGAGTTTTCATTATGATCCTGTTTTGTAAATTCTTAGTGCTATAAGAAGTATTAGTTTCACTTCTGATGTTTGTATACGTGTTTTAAAATATAAACTTTTTCTTCACATCTCAAAACCCTTTTTTTAATCTTGTCATCAGATGAAATCAGGCAGTTTTATGAGACAATTCATAGATATTTTTGCTCCCAATTTATTTACACTAAATCTGCATGATAATAACAAACTGATACAGTTTTTATATTACAACACATACCTTGCATTGGTTCAAACATATGTAGAGAGCTCTAACATGGTTGAGCCCACTCAGGTCAGTCACAGAAATTAGTTTCTTAACTGAACCACAGTTGGGCTGAGTAGCTTTGCACTTGAGCCCATGGTTGTTTGGCATTAGTCTATGTGCTGCTGGAGCTGTGGTGGCAGCTCCTCCAAGGAGCTGAGCCGATGCTCTTGAGGAACGTCAGGTTGGTTACACTTGTCGTGTCTGTTTAACAGGAACCCGTGGATACCCACAGAACGAGAGGCGAGGTAATCGTTCACATAGTGGTCCCCAATATGAGCTACACTAGCAGCTGGTACTTCACATTTCTGCAGTGCCTGATGAAAAATGTTTGGACTCGGCTTTGGCACACCTGCTTCCTCGGATGTTATTATAAAGCTGAAGTGAGACAGCAGGCCACAAACACGTAAAATCTCTTTTAGGCGACTATCAAAGTTTGACACCACACCCATCTTCAGTCCTAGAGAGGAACAACTCTCCAGTGCCTTCTGTGAGTCTGGAAATACCTAAAACAGACATGACACAATTTTAAGTTGAACTTTTCTGTGCTACTTTGTCCACCACATTCATATAAAAAGCAAACATTAGTAGTAATGTGCAAAAATACTTTACAAAGTGGCCATTTTAAACAGATCCATAATCATCATCTGTCATTTACCTCCCAGTTCTCTGCATTGCAGAAGTTCTGATAAAGGTTGTTACTTATTTTATGGAGCAGGGCTGGGTCCTGTACCCTGCACCTGGAGAAAGTGTCCTGCACGACTCTGATCCACCAAGACCGTCCATCCAGGCCCTGAGTGACGCCATAGTTTGGGTATCTGCTGGAATACTGTTTGTACGCCTGGAGGAAAGCGGCTTCGACGTCCACAGGACTGAGGTTCAAGCCCATTCGTTCAGCCTCCTTGCAGTACTGCTCTCCCACAGATGCACGCACCTTCAGAAGGGTGTCCTTCACATCCCATAGCACCCAGCGCAGAGGAGATTGCATTATACCTACAGAGGAAACACCACAGACATTATACAGATTAATGTCAAAGTAAAACCTGAATAAAATGTTTAGTAAATGTTTCCTCACCAGGATGTTTGTATAAGAGTGATTCAAAACAAAAACAAAAAAACGTCTAAAATCGTTGACTAGTCATAGTGCACTATTCTGTAAATTACATTTTGAAATGTGCAAATTTAGTTGGAACAATGAATTCCTTCACAGTAAAGTCAAAGTGTCCCATTGTAAGAGAATGTAAAAAGTAGTGCACAACAGATTGTTAGAGACATTTTGACTTGTCATTATTAGTAGTACACAAAGCACAGCTGTTACAAATAACATTAATTAATAGCTCTGTTCTTTTCATGTGCACCAATAAGCCACGACTGTGTGACAGTGAGCCAGTATGCACAATACCAGGACTCTAAAACTGAAGCAGCTAAATGGATTTCAGCCAACATTCATTTTATTATTGACAGCCATGTTTCTTTTTTTTTATGTCAAAAGAGGCCTATTGTGTATATCTGTGGTCGTTTCATTAACACAAATTTAATATGCACCCCTAAAGTATTAGGTTGTGTGCCTGTCTTCAAGAGGGGCCCCATGTTAAAGTTTACATAATTAGGGCCAATAAGGGAGATGATTGTCCATTGATGATATAGTTTTAATCTTTTTCACAGACTACATTGTGTGTCTTCTAGGTGTTGCTATTAATAATATTAAAGGGCCTGCTCACACAGACCATTGCTCAGGTTGAAGAGGCATATAGGTGTATCCTGTCCTTCCCTAAAAGGCGATATCTAATGAGGTAGATTAAATGAAACGTGTAGTGCTTTAACAAGGGCTCCGCTACATTCAGATGTCCCAGTAAACCGTGACTAGACCTTTTTCAAAGCAGCCATTTTGTCATGAAACAGTAAGGTAAACACAGGTGTTACCAATTATACTTATTAAGGCTCTGTTCCCTTTAGTGTAGCAGAGCCTTTCCAGTGAATATGTTTGACCCGAGCAGAACTTTAATTAGTATTAAATGTGTTTAGCCCATTTTGTGATATATTATTGTGGAGTGGCGGAAGTGGAGACCAGACAACCCTGTGCTACACTGACATTACAGATTATCACTGAAGGCTCATTTTAACCCCCTACTGACGTCCACACACACACACACACACACACACACACACACACACACACGTAGAGCTTCGTGGTGACCAATTACGTCACTTAACAGCAAACTGTCGTCACTGTCGTCTTGGATACAAGTTCTAAATGAAACGTTATAGGCCAAATACCATAACGATAGCGAACTACGGATAATGTCCTTGAACTTGTACTTCTTGCCACTAGCTGGACGTTACGCTCGTTGATTTTGTATTTTAATTAGCTATGTGTGAGGCTTTATGCGCATGTCAGAAAGCTACTCCAGCAAAGACACGTAAAAAGTTATAACAGTTTAAACGTTACCGGAGTCAAGTCTTCTGGGCCCGCAACGGTTGTAAACAAGGTTTCTTCTTCGTCGGGACCTAATGGCGGTTGTAGCTTGGAGGTGCGTTACCGCCACCTGCTGACTGGAGTGTGGAGCAGTAGAGCGGGTACACTACAGGTCGTTGGTCTTCTTCTTCGTTGGGTGGATTTGGGGCAGCTGTAGCCACCGTCTGGAGTTTTTACAATTGTTTTTATCAGCCCCCCGAAAAATTCTGCCTCCCCCATTTTTAACAACACATAATTCCACTAATTTTATTTAGTTGTTGTATACATCCGGTACAGCAGGCGGCAGTATGTTCAGGAAGTAACTGCCACGGTTTACGTTGCCAGACGTATACGCATGCGCGAAAGGTTCACATGCCGTAAGGGCGAATAGAGGAAAACCAAACCATGTTGTAGAAAACAAACCCCGGTACTGTACCCGCGAAAAGTCTTAAGAGATGTTACCTAATATAATTTATCTAGAAATCTGAATGTTACTAAATAATGACAACTCCAGCTATTCGGATGTTCCGGGGGTTAGAGGGTCTGTTTTGTGTGTACAAGCCCTCTGGTGTCCACTGGAAACTGGTACGGGATACCATCGAGACTAATCTCCTGAAAGGTGAGGATAACACATCCATAATAAATGTTATCCTTGCAGTTATAATTCTATCTCTCTATTCTATATCTGCTGACAGTGAAGCATGATGCAGCTATTTTACCTTGACTCAAAGTAAATCACTGCACCCTGTTGACCTCTCTCTCTCTCTCTCTGTGTGTGTGTGTGTGTGTGTGTTACATTACAGGTTTAAATGCTACACCGCCCCAACCACTTCCACAGGAGGTCCGCCTCTTGGCACACCCAGTGAGTGAGACTGAAGCACCCAAGGGACTCACACTGTCTGCAGTCTCTGTGGCAGTGCTGTCCAAACATCCTCTGGGTATGTTTGTCCCCTCCACTGCATAGCTTCACCTCCTGGGTCACCTGTTCATACACATCACCACACGATGTATCATCCTTGAATAACAGTTTTCTTTCATATCTTCAAAGCCCCATGTAAGGCTGTCAGCTCTAAGCAGACACTCTAATAATGACCTCTTGTTAATTATTAATTCCATTTGTAGTTTACTTACTCAAGACATGTGATTGTTTGACAAGTCAAAATGTTCAAGCTGATTTTAATTTAGTTTTCACTCCACATTTTCCCCTCTGGTCATGTTAGATTTGACTACATGTAAAGTCTGGTCTGATGGCTCTGCAGGTTTGCATTAGCTGCAATGACTGAATGATATTCAAATGGATTTGTGTCTGTGCCCATTGAGGAGCGCATATGAATGATTAAATGTATATTTTCTGTTTGTATTAGTGACTGGACCTGAATTCCAGCATATTAAAGTTGGAGTAGGACATCGCCTGGATGCACCCTCCTCTGGTGTTCTAGGTATAATTATTTAAGAGCTGATCTCATGAGACAACCCATTTGCTTCACATCATGTTGTATTTAAATACATTAAGTCTCTCTTTTTTATTTTTCTACTTTAGTTCTTGCTGTTGGGAATGGAAACAGGGCCCTGAATGGTCTCACAACATACACAACAAGAGTCACAAGGGTATTTTATAATTTCTCGTTTCATCACATGTACAAAGATACAATGAATATCAATATCTGCATAGGTTTAATGCTGTTTGATATGTTTCAGGATTACACATTGGAGGGTGAATTTGGGACTGCAACAGATGACTTCTCTCACACAGGCAGAGTTGTGGAAAGGTCCACGTATGGTAAGATATCTCAGTTTTTTCCTATTTGTGATCAGTTTCATCAGTTTGTTCACTTTTTCAGTTTTATATATTTACATTTGAGAAGGAGTATTATATCCAAAGACACTTGAAATAATTGGTTACAAAGCTCACTAATGATTTACAATAATATTGTCTAAAAGCCATTCACTCTGTAATACTACTGTCATATTTTTTGATTTTCTATTCATTTGTATTCGTTTGTATCTGTCTAACATTCACTATTTGTGCATGATACACATGAAACATCATGTATTAATCACCAGCCAAACAAAACTGAAGCACCAGTGATTGTGCCTTTGACTGTATCTGACCCTAAAACATTGCTGTGTTCAACAGGTCACATCACGCAGGATAAGCTGGACAGAGTCTTGGCGATGCTGCAGGGAGTCAATCAGAAGGCCTTGTTATTGTATGCTAATGACACTGAATATTCATTTAATTTCTCTAAACATAATATGGACATTTTTGGCACTTCAGTTCCCCCCTAACAGTTTCCCTCTGATTTACTTTTGACTAAGACCTCCTGTACACGTAACACATCAGTCCATAAAGGGCTTTCAGTGGGGCCACAGTAAAGTGCAGCTTGATGACTGTTTATTTTTACTATACAGGTATTCCAATGTAGACATGCGCTCACAGGAAGCCTACGAGATGGCTGCTCAAGGTCTACTGGGTCCAGGCGGGAAATCGACACCTATTTTGACAGGCCTGCGTTGCATTCGCTTCCAGCCCCCCAACTTCACTTTAGGTAAATATTCTTGAACACACAGAAATCCTCATTTGACAATTTGATATTTATATTTAAAAATATATTTTTAGGATACGTACAGATCCTGCCTGATATTTTCTTCTCTCCTTTCTTACAGAGGTGCAGTGTCTGAATGAAACTCAGAAATATTTGCGCAAAGTTGTGCATGAGATAGGACTGGAGCTGCGCAGCACTGCAATGTGTAAAGGAGTCAGACGGACCAGAGATGGCGCTTTCACCCTGCAGGATGCCCTGACCCATCACCACTGGACTGCTTCAGATGTTAAGCAGGCCATCAGACAATACCACTCCTCCAAAAAAAAGAGAAAGGAAACCCACACAAAGATCAAGGACCCAGCATTACAACTACCTGAGGAGACAGCTGGTAAAAAAACTGAAACCTACAACGAAGCAGCAGCAAAAGGTGGAATTAAATAACTTTTTGTTGTGACCAGCAGTTAATAATAAAAAGTTACTCTGGTAGTTGATCCCAAACATCTTACAAAAACAGAACTGCTCAACAGTGACCGGAGATCGTGGTTACTTAGAAAATTGGACACAATTCATGTCATTATTCTTTTGCAAACTTCTCTCTAGCTACAAAATCTCGTGTGACTGTTGCAACGTTTTCACCTTCGTTAAATGTGCGGGTAACATTAACATATTGCCCAAATCTTAAAATGAAAGTGGTTTATTTTTTCTCATTAAATAAACTGAAAAGAATTTTAAGGTGTCTGTTGTTACCGTTAGTTTAGTAGTTATTTCAGTGTCTGTAAACAAGAGATCAAACGGTGCATTAGTACAAAGTGGTTGGTGTCACATAGAGGACTTTTGTATGAATTTTAATTTTGTGTTGATTCTGGCGCCCCTTGTGGACAAAAGCCATAGTGTCCACCACCTCATTACATTAATTTCAAGGGGAATCAGACCCAGGGGCAGGCATTAAGAATAACTACATGGAAACACTCAGTCTGCTCCCTGGTGGTCTTGTGTGCTTATGTAGGCCATACAGAGGAATCAGTATTACATTTTGACTGTTTCATAACCAGTTTAAAACTCCTTGTAGCAGGTTTAAATCAACAATCTTTAAGGTCTGTAGATGAGATGATGGAGCTGATTTATTAGCACACTTACTCCCCCAAGTGACAAAAGGTCAAAGTTTCTTTTCTGGCATTGTTTTGTCGTAATGTATGAAACTAACCAGACATATCCTGTTAACCTGTTTAAGAACCTTCTGTCCCCTGCTGTGGTCGAGTGTTTTTGTCACACAAAAAAAAACAATTTAACCGACAGCTGCCAGACAGCTTTCTCACAGTGAATAGTAATAGATTGTCTGTCTGTAATACAGGAGAAAGAAATGATGACCCCAAACCTTTTGCCCTAACCCGTTCAAACGTTATGTTACAGGTCTGTAATTTCCTCATAAATTCTTATATAAATGTTGGATTGTATGCTTGTCTGTAGACAGATTTGAAAAGTCTCTACAGCAGCTATTTATTGGAAGTTTACTGATTGAACACTGGCTCTGCACTTTGTACCAAATAATATTGTTCTTTCCAGGAAACTTCTTGAAAAGTATTCTGTTATTGCAGACTGGTTAAAAAAAAAGAAAAGTAGGGTTTGTTGTTTAACAGGATAACAAAGTTTACATGGCCCAGCCTAAAACAACAATCTGAATAACTGAGGCCAGGAGGACTAATTCTCCTTAAATGTAGTTAGTGTAGTCAGAGCCAATCACTAATATTAATAATGTAATCGTCCACCGATGATGTTGGAAGATGCTGTCACATCGTTTGTTTGCCACAATAGCTCCTTTGGGATGTTATGAGGTTATTGCAGTGGCGCCATTGTTGTCATGCTCTTCATACCAGTGAAGGACTTGTTGTCCCAGTGGGAACACTGTTGTCTTTGTCAGTGTGGAAACACACAACTTCCACAAGGACACAAATTAACTTGGAGAGCATGCAGTTGTTGTTCTGGAGGTTTATTAAGCTGAGACATAACAGAACAGTTCGGTATTTAGCGACACAAGTTATAGGGACATGCACAGATAATTTTATATGTACAGTTTATTTAAAGCCTGTTAAGTCTGTCACCACCACTGTTTTTAATTATAGAGGCAGGAAATGTATTTATGATGATCTGATCTTCCTGGCAACTGTGTGACCCACTGAAAGTAGGACGAATGCCAACACAGTTCATTTTAAACAGATGTTGAACATAGAAAATCACAATACACTTTATGTAATTATTGAATAACTGTGGGCTAAACAGCTACAAAGATTAAAACATGCTTATGTTCATAATACATTTCATACTGGAAATATAGGAACACTTATGATATAAATATACTCACAATTTAGTAGTTACCACAGTTTGGTACCATGTTTTGTAACTTCCAACAAGGTTACTTGCCTGTTCATAGTTATAGATTCATAATTTAAAGACATACGCATACTACTTTTAATATATATTTATATTATGGAAGTAAAATTAGAGACACTGTTGAACAAATACTCAATATTTTACAATATAGAGTATATAATCTTTTTACTGTTTTTCTTTTTTCCACTAAGGACCTGAGAAACGGTTCTGAACTGAAAGTGCTGAAGTACTAAAACATTGGTATCTCAGTTAGATTAATTATTACAGTCTGTACTCTACAAATATTGACTTGATGTGATCATTTGAATTGCACAAGAAGAGTAAGGCTATTATATTCCAGAAGGAAAATCAATCTGTTACGTTAAAACAAACAGTGCAAAATGCAAAAGATTATTCATGTATAACTATTTCTTTGATCTCTTACAACTGACCTGCCACCACAGAAAGCCTGCACCAGCTTTACAGTTTTGTATAAACATGAAGGTACGCAGTAAATATACATCAGAATCCCCTCTGGGGTTTCCTCTTCCAGTAAAAGCTCATCTGAAAATGCTCCATTTTAACAAGTATATTTTATGCAACTTACTCTTAAACTGTTCTCTACTGTATATTGTCCTCAAGATCAATCATTTACTTGTTACAAATAAAACAGCTAAAGGTAATCGTGCAAAGGAAATTAACATATACATCTGTGTAAATGAAGACATTTTAAAATCAAACTGATTACAAGAAGAAGAAATGTACATAAAAAACTTTCCATGTGCAGCCACAGATGCTTTTGACCCACATCATTTCAGCAACATCCTGATGATTTTTTCTGTGTGGGCTCTCTGTGTAACACCGTGGTTTTTTCTGTTGTGTCAGCATTTTGACTCAACATCCTGGCAACAAAACAACCAGTGTTAGAAGAATATTAAAGAGCATGCTTTTAAAGAAATCCCCCATGGGTGAGATAGATGAGACAAGATAAAGGAAAAGTCAGTTACAGATGTCAAATGTGTTACCTGGCCACGGTTTCCAAAGACTGAACCACATTTTCACCTGTGGCAGCACTGCACTCCATGAATTCAAAGTTGTACTCCTGTGGAAGTGAGTGTTCAGTGTTTGATGAATGATTCAGTTTAATAGGGGCGAGGGGAAGTAAAGCCAAAGAGCCATACCTTAGCGAGAATTTCTGCTTCCTTAGTTTGAACTCTGCGTTCTGCGTGATCACTCTTGTTCCCAAGAAGTAAAATGGTCGTGTTTTCTGCAGCCCCTTCCTGCAGAACATAGATTAGTTTGTTTGGATTGCCATTCAGACATCTTTCTACAGGCTAATCTGACCGTATGTACTCTAAATCCTAGTTTCATTTTGTCTAAAAATAAATAAGTGTGCACTGAATATGATAAGCATTGACATATCAGTATTGGAATGGAATTGGAAGTGCTGCCGATACCAAAAGTAGATTATGCATAATTTATTAAATTCAATAATGCAATCAATTATTGGATTATAATTATTGATGCATTAATGTTTACATCAATTTAATGTTGCACTTTAATGTTAACTACTTTATACACTGCTTCATCTATAAAAATACTAAATGTATTAATTCTCATGTTTTGTATTAATAATCTTACTCTGCAAAGTAGCTAGAACACAACAAACAAGATGAACAAAATTAAGAACAACAACATAGAATTGGCCAAACTTCTCACTGACTTGTTTGTTTAAGTAGGTCATATAGAGGCAGCCGTATTAAACTGAGACTGTTTCATAACCAGTTAGTGCAGTTCTTCAGTAAATATACTTTTTTAGTTTAGACTATATTCAGATTAGGTTCTTGAGGTTAGCTATACTTATGTCACATCAGAGGAGGTTCTCTAGCAGTGGCAACGAATGCCTGGTGAGATTTTTAGACTTGTTTACTTTTTCTTTGATCATCAGTACAAACAATACCCATTATAACAAAAACACAAATTACACATACATATAAAGATTTTGTTGCAACTTTACAGTACGTCTGACCATAAATAAAAACATTTAAACAGCCACTGAAGCTTTAAGTGAACCATACCTGAATACATGTTGCCCAGTAGCTGACTGCAGAGAAACTCTGAGAGGAAGTGATGTCATACATCAAGAGAAATGCCTGGGCTTTATGTAAAATCTGTCTTGTGAGGCTGTGAAACCTTTGAAGGGAAATAAAGAATGTAATCAGAGATTTGAAGCCACTAACCTTACACAACACAACAATTTAATTACTTTTCTCACAGCCATTTAAAAGTGAACATCCCAAATGAAACACCCGAGCATGACTTAACACCCCCAAAGGTAGAATATGTGCTTCGAAGAGTCTAATGATACTGGTTAGTTGAGTTTGAAGGGAGTCCCCTGCAGTTTTTCTCAAGAGACGCATTCAATCTGTCCTGAAAATTCTGATGATGTGAACACAGTGATTGCTCAATTGCCTCTGCAATCAATGTCGAATGAATTATTATATTTTAAAGCCACAAAGTTAGTCTAATTCGTCTTTTATTATTATTGTTATTATTATTATATTATTGTATCTGTGTTGTGGGGCTTTTACACTAAATATGAATCCATATCAGCTTATAGCAAAAATAAAATAAAATGGATCTTGCACTGGGTTAAAATGAGTTTAACTTCCAAACGCTAATTTTTTGTGTACATCTCAGTGCTGACATTAACTGCACTTCCCAAAAGCCTTTTTTATTTTAATCTGAATACCTCAACCAACATGCAACATGTGGAGTCAACACACAGAAATGTGACACAGACTGTTTTTTCCACATTGCTGAGGTGTGCCAAACCACTTTTGAAACAGGTTACAACCTGGCCTGAAGGAGACTTCTCAACACACTGAGTGCTTTGAGCAACATGTTTAGGAAAGCTGCTGCTTGGGGTCTCTCATACTTAAAATATCTTTGGCTGGCTACAATAGCAAGTGGATAGAGTATGTTACTTATGTAAGCATCATCACACATGCTCATCAGAAGCCTTGGCTGACTGTGCTGGAGGACCCAGGACACTGCCTTCAGATTGGGTGACAAGCAAGCCCTCAGGACAGAGACAGTGCTGAGCCACCAGATTGGCAACATGCATCAGTACTCCACTTCCAGGAATAAAAAGAACACATGGTGCAGGTTGCACAAAATCCAGGCCAGCATAAACCACATAATCACACCCTGTACCTTTTGTTGATGCCTATTACCTTCCCTCCTACCAATAACTAGTTACTACTCCTACCCACAGCAGTCATCAGGCTGACGGCTGCTGGACCAGACAGTGCACCTCGTCATATAATCAGGGAATGATCTGGTCAGCTTTTAGATGTCCTTACAGACATCTTTCAGCTTGTGGCCTTCATTATCACAATACCAAAAAAGTGCGTCTGCAACAGCTTCAAGATGTTCGTCAGGAGGCACACAAAGCCAGCAATTGTATTTTTTCTTCTTTTATGGCGACTTCAAGATTGACTTTAAGTACTGTACCTCAACATAGACAGATTAAGGGGGCCTCAAAACATCTAAATAGTTATTATTAATGTTGGATGTAGTGTTTGATTTTACACCCCTATTTATTTTTTGGCTGAACTTTTGAAGATAAGGTCAGATGAAATGTGAAAGATGACCTGAATTCTAGCATGGGAAAAGTTTACAACCTTAGGCTTCGGTCCTATCATAATAAATTTCCCACTGTATCTTTGATGTCCCATTTTTTTTTATGATACTCCTAAAAATGATAACATAACTGGGATCACTCATATTTATTCTCTGCAATACAACTTGGTTTCACCTGTAGTTCATATGTTTGATTACGACAGCGATAATTGGTGTCTCAGTAATGTACGGTCAACGGAAACTTACCTTTCTTGACCTGCTGTATCCCACAACTGTAGCACCACAGGTTTTCCATCCACTAGCACAGTCCACACGCAGGAATCAAGTCCTAAAAAATATATTTATGTTACATTATTCTGTATATTTTCACACACTTGAGGGGAATATAGTCGGATAAAGATCAGGCTCTTACCAACAGATGCGGGTAAATCTAAAGAAAACTTCCCACTTTGAGCTCTTTTCATGAAAGAGGTTTTTCCCACACTGCTGTCTCCAACCATCACCACGTTGTACCTGTTTGATCTGAGATCTGCTCCTCTGGAAGTATCTGCTGAAAAGAAAACAAACACTTTATGGTAACACGTTATTTTTATATTTCTCAGTATTAAACTTCCCTTTCTCATTATCTGTCTTCAATCAGCTACATTCTGTTGTGTAAGTATTAACGTTCTGTTTACCCAGAGAAACTGTCTTTTGACTCTCTTGACTCAGGTGGATTTCAGTGTTAGGATGTCGAACCGGATTCACTCGTTCAGGAGTCTTCCCACTGTGGAGCAGACAACCCACCATAGTTCAAAGCAAACACAGCACATACAGTGACATACTAAAAGTTTGTCATATTCAGTGAGTTTTTAGTTGTCGGTCATCATAATTCCCCACCCAATGTTTGCATTTCTTTGAGAGATGCATCTACTAAACTGTAGACATTATAGCCACAAGTTTATATTTGAAAAAAAAAAAACTTCATGAAAGGAAAAATATTTGACTGACATTTGGTGTGTGGTGTACATCTTAGAAGAATTTGGAGCATTTGAAACCAAATTGTGATCATTTGTAAAGTGTTTTAAAGCTGAGTCAGATGTTTTTACACTCTTTAAAAGTACAGGCCTTTGTCTGTCCTCTATTAGTCACTTGTTAAAAAGTTTAACTGATAGAGATCAGCCGGAGAAAACAAACCTGTTTATTCTACATGCTGTCTGTACTACACTATGTACAGAAGGATTAGTGCAGACATAAGGTCTGCATGAGTCACAAGCTTAGCCTCTAAGGATGAGTCACATAGATGAGTGGTAAAACATCTTCATCAGTTCAATGAATATGTTTCATTTGGAACTGAAGGTCTTTGTTCTAAATGATAACACATAAAGTAACATTATCCAGAATAGATTAAAAACTAATGCAGAATTACAATAGGACATAATGAGTAGTACCGTACTGCCACAGAACTCTTGATATAGTAATTGTTTACTGATTCTGATTATCTTGTGCAGCTAACATAAGAAAATAGACCTTTTACGATGATATGATGGCTGAGGTTATAGTGGGTGGTTCATTGCTGTATATAGCCAATAGGATCCAATGTACTTAATTCAATTAATTAAACTGTAACAGATCATTTTACTTACAAACTATTTTGTGATACAAACCCAGCCAGGTAGATCAACACTTTACTATGCATTTATATCCCTGTTCTGTATCTCAGTGTTGGACTTACCTCACAGGCCTTGAATGCTCTCCTGCCTTTGAGGTGATGTTAGATGATGCTTTCTTGTCACTTTCATCAACCTGCACAGACAAAAACATCTCAGTCTTGATATGACAGTTGGGGAGATTCTACAATGATTGTTATTGTGACATTTTGATATGCAGCATACATATGGTTTTCTCTTTGGTTTGTCAAATGATGAGTGTAATCTTCAATTGTTTTAGCTCTTGGAAGTCAACAATTACAGATCAATGCTATGCTTTCAGGTATCTTATTTGCCATAACTTTGTGACTGGCTGTCAGTGAGGCCTATGTGTGGACACCACCATACAGATCAAGAAGTCAGATACGTGTTTATGTTCTCCTTTTTATCATGTGAAACGTGTAGTGTGAACCACATGTTCCTCATTTTGGTTCCTTGTGTCATTTTGTTCTTCTTGCAACAAACACTTGACCAATGTACAAGAGGTTTTAAGCAAATGGGAAGTACAGCACAACATAGATTCACTGTGCCAAAGAACACTAAGAATTATCCACTAATAACCATCTGCGTCAGGCTAAAGGCCCAGAATTATAAATACAATAAAGGTGCACAATGTTTAGAAAGTACACTGGTCATAAGTAATAAGATAACTGAAATACAGTGCAAACAACTATCTGTTCATCAGCTTAAGAACAATGTGGCAATCAATCATAGCTGAAGATTCCCAGGAAGAATACTTTGATTGTAAAAAATAAACAATTAAACAACAAAAAAAAAACTACTCTTTGCTGCTTACCTCTGTTATTTTGTCCAGGCCAAAAGATTCTTCTTCAGTTGTCTTGATGACACTTTCATCTCTGCCATTCTGTGTATTTGGTAATCTTTCCCCTCTTCCAGTTTGGTTTTCATTGTTTTGGTGTCCATGTGACTTCCGGTGAGATCCCATTTTTCTTCTTCTTCCACCAGATGCTGATTCTGACATTATGTCATGTTTGGGAGAAGTGGATGGCATTATAGGGGGATAATTGGGAGTTAGCTGATGCTCTGTTTCTACTAGTTGGCCATGAGAAACAGGATTTTCCTCAAATGTCTGGTGAGATGGGGGTTTGAAGTGAGACTCACCGGTTTGGCTGTACTCCACTGTTTCGAATACTTTTTCTTTCCTTTGTTCTGAATCACTGTCTTTGTCTTCTATGTAAAGTTGTAGCTCTTGTTTGATGCCTCCAACATTTGTTGCGGTTTCTGTTGCCTCATTATCCACCTCCTGCTTTTGATTCAAGTCTTCCCTTTTGCTTTGTGATCCGAGATTCTTGCGGGTGGAGCCCATCTTTCTTCTCCTGCTGCTTGAATTTAAATTGGGACTTGCATTCTTCATATCGAGATTTATATTGGGAGCTCCTTCATTCACGCTGTTTGGCTCTTGTATTTCAGCCTGGGCACTCTTGTGCTCCTCTGCACCTCCTCCTCTGACTACAGATTTCACTGTTTCCAAATCTACTATGTTTACTGGTCTTTCCTCATCATTTTGTGTACCCTGTGTGGTTTCACTTAAAGACACAAAGCTCACCCCACTGATACCAGTGTTTGTATTGTTTATATCAGCTACCTGAACAACAGGATTAACAACTTCTTCATTGTGGGAGGCTGACTGTCCAGGAGTGGGAGCCTTCAATTCATCTATGTCTGATATCACATCACTCTGTATTCTCTGCAGGTCAGAGATACTGCTTCGTGAGTTCTTGTGAACGGCTCCGGTTTCAGTAGTTTCCTGTTGTTGTTTATACACAGGACTCAGTGACGGTTTTGCATTTTCATTCTGTGATTCCTCTGTAGTTACAATCATTAGTATCTCCGGCACAACTTCCATTTTGTCCAAAATTTTCATCTCAGCTTCAATGTTAAAGTCGCTTTCTTTTGTTTCATCTTTGTTGTCCATTCCTTCCTCTGGTTTCTTATGGAGTTGAGTCCGGCGAGTAGAGCCCATCTTTCTCCTCTTCTGGTTGGATTTCCCTGCATCTGCTTTGACATTTTCCTTGAGACCAATGTCAATTAGAGCCACAGTGTTTTTGTTGTATGCAGCAGACAACAGTTCAGGATGAGTGATCTCTTGTGAAGCATTCATTTCTTGGACTTCATGGTCTTTCTTTGTCGGATCTTCAAATTCTTCTCCAACTTCCTGCCCAGAAAGTTTCACATCCATTAAACTCTCCGCTTCTGTATAGTCTTTGATCGTGACATCTCCCACAGTTCCTATTGTACCATGTGTCTGCTGCATATTACTTTCTTGTCCCAGTGAGTCTTTGTCACAAGATAAAGCTTCCGTCTTTTGGGCTTGATAGGCACCTTCTTGCTCAAGAACATCCGAAGTAATTGACCTTGTGACATTGTCATCATGATATGAGATATTCTGTATGTCTGAATCATCCTCTGGTGATTGTATCAAGTCAGTTTTAACTGTGTCATATCCTGTAAACTGACTTAAATTCTCAGGCTGTTTTATGAGATTCTTTTCCTCCTCATAGATGCCCTCCTTGGATTTGACAGAGCCCTTTTTGCCTGAGCTTGAAGTAATGTCTGTTGTCACAATTGTACTGTTGTCCATTACATTCTGTGACAAAACTGTGGCTTCCTCTGGCATCTTTTCAGTGTTCTCTTCATTAATCAAAGATCTAATTTTTCTTACTGGAGCCGGTTTGAGGTCTTGATCAGTTTCCTCTTTTAACTCTTCATGCCAAGTTGTAGTCGTTGCTAATGACATTTTTGTTGTTTCAAGGGTTTCATCACCCACGTTACCTTCTATAGCTTCTTTTTTCTGTTCATGGTATGATTCAGCAATATGTTCCTTAACCTGCTGTCGTCCTTTATTCCTTCGACTAGATCCCAGTTTTCTTCTGTTCCCAATAGGGTTGAGGCCTGTGTGGGTTTTTTCTTCCATTCTCACAGAGTTGTCCAGGGGATTGGAGACCAAAGGAGCATTTGTTTCTGATTGCAGGGTTTGTGAAGAACATTCACTCTCCTTAACTGAAGAGAAATCAATTTGATGCAGCTCTTGAATTTGTGTTGTTGTGACTGTCTCTTCATGCACTTCATTTACAACATCTTGTGAATGCAGAGCTCCTCTGACGTGACATACGTTTACATGCTCTATTTGTTCCTCATTTGATGATGAAATTACTGTTTGCTCAATGCTGTGTTCAATTTCAGTGTACACTATATCGTCTGATTTTAAATGTGACTCACTCACCAAATAGTTAACCTGTAAATTTCCATCTTGTCTTAAAAATTCTGTCTCCTTGTCTTTTTCCTTGCTTTCTTTTTCTGTTACAGAATCCACAGTTGGGAGTTCTTCTTCTGGCATCTCCATGGATTTTGATTGGTCGATGAGCTGTTGATCTCCTGTTGAACTTGAATTTAAATATGAACTTGTAAGCTCGGAGATGCCAGTAAGTGTGCCAACATGACCACTAACCTCTTCAGTTTGAGCAGTGTCAAATGTGTCCACTCCTTCCAGTGACTTTTCCAGCACTGCTGTTTCAATTGTTAAAGCCATTTTGGATGTTTCAAGGTCTTCATTATCCCTGGTATTTCCAACAACTTCCTCTGTAGGTCTGTGGTATGATTCCGCAACAGACTCCTTGGCACGCTGTCTTCCTTTATTTCTTCGGCTAGACCCCAGTTTTCTTCTGTTCCCAATGGGGTTGAAGTCTGTGTCATCTTGCTGAGTTTGTGAGTCCAAAGGAACATGTATTTCTGATTGCGGGGTTTGTAAAGAAGAGTCACTCTCCTCTATTTCAGATAAGAGTCCTTCCTTCTCCTGATGAACTGTTTGTTCAGCACTGGATTTTGCATCATGCTCTTCTTGGCCTTCAATCTCACACACCTGACCTACTGCAGTGTCTCCTATTTCAATGTCACTGATCTGTAGTTTCTCTGTATCATATACATGATAATCCTCATTTGTCTGCTCTACAGGCTCAAAGTTGTTTTCTTTTGTAGGATGCTTTTCCTGTTTGTCATCAGGATTTGAATCTTCCTGCTTGGCAGCAGAATCATTAGTACTTTTCACAATCAACTCAGCTTGGTCTATCAGGTTTCCAGAAATTATTTCTGAATTTTCTGTGGCATCATGTGTTGCACTTTCAGAGGATTGATCGATGTCATGTGTTAGCTTAAGCTCCTGTTCATGTACTTTGTTTACATCATCTCCTAAATGATGAGCACCTCTGACGTCTTGAATCTGAAGAGTGTCAGATTTGTCCATTCCTTCCAGCGTGGCTCTCACTGATTTATCAGACTCCTCCACTTTAAAGTCAGTCTCACTTTCATCATGATCTTCTTGAAGATTTTCACTTTTAGGAATTAAACTTTCCAGGTTAGACTCTGAATAACTTGTTGTAGTGGGGTTCTGGACCTCAGAAGAATAACCAGGCATAATGGCTGAATACAAAGAGCTATCATGTTCTGCAGACGTGATGACATCATGTTCACTCCCTTGACTTAATTTTTCCTGAGTCGTTCTCTCTATTGCCACAAACATTTGTGTTGTTTCAAGGTCTTCATTATCCCTGGTATTTCCAACAACTTCCTCTGTAGGTCTGTGGTATGATTCCGCAACAGACTCCTTGGCACGCTGTCTTCCTTTATTTCTTCGGCTAGACCCCAGTTTTCTTCTGTTCCCAATGGGGTTGAAGTCTGTGTCGTCTTGCCGAGGTTGGGAGTCCAAAGGAACATGTATTTCTGATTGCAAGGTTTGTAAAGAAGAGTCACTCTCCTCCATTTCAGATAAGAGTCCTTCCTTCTCCTGATGAACTGTTTGTTCAGCACTGGGTTTTACATCATGCTCTACTTGGCCTTCAATCTCATATACCTGACCTACTGCAGTGTCTCCTATTTCAATGTCACTGATCTGTAGTTTCTCAGTATCATATACATGATAATCCTCATTTGTCTGCTCTACAGGCTCAAAGTTGTTTTCTTTTGTAGGATGCTTTTCCTGTTTGTCATCAGGATTTGAATCTTCCTGCTTGGCAGCAGAATCATTAGTACTTTTCACAATCAACTCAGCTTGGTCTATCAGGTTTCCAGAAATTATTTCTGAATTTTCTGTGGCATCATGTGTTGCACTTTCAGAGGATTGATCGATTTCATGTGTTAGCTTAAGCTCCTGTTCATGTACTTTGTTTACATCATCCTCTGAATGATGAGCACCTCTGACATCTTGAATCTGAAGAGTGTCAGATTTGTCCATTCCTTCCAGCGTGGCTCCCACTGATTTATCAGACTCCTCCACTTTAAAGTCAGTCTCTCTTTCATCAGGATCTTCTTGAAGATTTTCATTTTTAGGAATTAAACTTTCCAGGTTAGACTCTGAATAACTTGTTGTATTGGGGTTCTGGACCTCAGAAGAATAACCAGGCATAATGGCTGAATACAAAGAGCTATCATGTTCTGCAGACGTGATGACATTATGTTCACTCCCTTGACTCAATTTTTCCTGACTTGTTCTCTCTATTGCCACTAACATTTGTGTTGTATCAAGGTCTTCATTACCTCTGGTAAGTTCTACAACTTCTTCTTTGTGTTCATGGTATGATTCTGCAACAGACTCCTTAACCTTCTGTCTTCCTTCTTTTCTTCGGCTAGACCCCAGTTTTCTTCTGTTCCCAATGGGGTTGAAGTCTGTGTCATCTTGCTGAGTTTGGGAGTCCAAAGGAACATGTATTTCTGATTGCGGGGTTTGTAAAGAAGAGTCACTCTCCTCTATTTCAGATAAGAGTCCTTCCTTCTCCTGATGAACTGTTTGTTCAGCACTGGATTTTGCATCATGCTCTTCTTGGCCTTCAATCTCACACACCTGACCTACTGCAGTGTCTCCTATTTCAATGTCACTGATCTGTAGTTTCTCTGTATCATATACATGATAATCCTCATTTGTCTGCTCTACAGGCTCAAAGTTGTTTTCTTTTGTAGGATGCTTTTCCTGTTTGTCATCAGGATTTGAATCTTCCTGCTTGGCAGCAGAATCATTAGTACTTTTCACAATCAACTCAGCTTGGTCTATCAGGTTTCCAGAAATTATTTCTGAATTTTCTGTGGCATCATGTGTTGCACTTTCAGAGGATTGATCGATGTCATGTGTTAGCTTAAGCTCCTGTTCATGTACTTTGTTTACATCATCTCCTAAATGATGAGCACCTCTGACGTCTTGAATCTGAAGAGTGTCAGATTTGTCCATTCCTTCCAGCGTGGCTCTCACTGATTTATCAGACTCCTCCACTTTAAAGTCAGTCTCACTTTCATCATGATCTTCTTGAAGATTTTCACTTTTAGGAATTAAACTTTCCAGGTTAGACTCTGAATAACTTGTTGTAGTGGGGTTCTGGACCTCAGAAGAATAACCAGGCATAATGGCTGAATACAAAGAGCTATCATGTTCTGCAGACGTGATGACATCATGTTCACTCCCTTGACTTAATTTTTCCTGAGTCGTTCTCTCTATTGCCACAAACATTTGTGTTGTTTCAAGGTCTTCATTATCCCTGGTATTTCCAACAACTTCCTCTGTAGGTCTGTGGTATGATTCCGCAACAGACTCCTTGGCACGCTGTCTTCCTTTATTTCTTCGGCTAGACCCCAGTTTTCTTCTGTTCCCAATGGGGTTGAAGTCTGTGTCGTCTTGCTGAGGTTTGGGAGTCCAAAGGAACATGTATTTCTGATTGCAAGGTTTGTAAAGAAGAGTCACTCTCCTCCATTTCAGATAAGAGTCCTTCCTTCTCCTGATGAACTGTTTGTTCAGCACTGGGTTTTACATCATGCTCTACTTGGCCTTCAATCTCATATACCTGACCTACTGCAGTGTCTCCTATTTCAATGTCACTGATCTGTAGTTTCTCAGTATCATATACATGATAATCCTCATTTGTCTGCTCTACAGGCTCAAAGTTGTTTTCTTTTGTAGGATGCTTTTCCTGTTTGTCATCAGGATTTGAATCTTCCTGCTTGGCAGCAGAATCATTAGTACTTTTCACAATCAACTCAGCTTGGTCTATCAGGTTTCCAGAAATTATTTCTGAATTTTCTGTGGCATCATGTGTTGCACTTTCAGAGGATTGATCGATGTCATGTGTTAGCTTAAGCTCCTGTTCATGTACTTTGTTTACATCATCCTCTGAATGATGAGCACCTCTGACGTCTTGAATCTGAAGAGTGTCAGATTTGTCCATTCCTTCCAGCGTGGCTCTCACTGATTTATCAGACTCCTCCACTTTAAAGTCAGTCTCACTTTCATCAGGATCTTCTTGAAGATTTTCATTTTTAGGAATTAAACTTTCCAGGTTAGACTCTGAATAACTTGTTGTAGTGGGGTTCTGGACCTCAGAAGAATAACCAGGCATAATGGCTGAATACAAAGAGCTATCATGTTCTGCAGACGTGATGACATCATGTTCACTCCCTTGACTCAATTTTTCCTGACTTGTTCTCTCTATTGCCACAAACATTTGTGTTGTTTCAAGGTCTTCATTACCCCTGGTAATTTCCAACAACTTCCTCTTTGTGTTCGTGGTATGATTCTGCAACAGACTCCCTTAACCTTCTGTCTTCCTTTTTTTCTTCGGCTAGACCCCAGTTTTCTTCTGTTCCCAATGGGGTTGAAGTCTGTGTCATCTTGCCGAGGTTTGGGAGTCCAAAGGAACATGTATTTCTGATTGCAAGGTTTGTAAAGAAGAGTCACTCTCCTCCATTTCAGATAAGAGTCCTTCCTTCTCCTGATGAACTGTTTGTTCAGCACTGGGTTTTGCATCATGCTCTTCTTGGCCTTCAATCTCATATACCTGACCTACTGCAGTGTCTCCTATTTCAATGTCACTGATCTGTAGTTTCTCTGTATCATATACATGATAATCCTCATTTGTCTGCTCTACAGGCTCAAAGTTGTTTTCTTTTGTAGGATGCTTTTCCTGTTTGTCATCAGGATTTGAATCTTCCTGCTTGGCAGCAGAATCATTAGTACTTTTCACAATCAACTCAGCTTGGTCTATCAGGTTTCCAGAAATTATTTCTGAATTTTCTGTGGCATCATGTGTTGCACTTTCAGAGGATTGATCGATTTCATGTGTTAGCTTAAGCTCCTGTTCATGTTCTTTGTTTACATCATCCTCTAAATGATGAGCACCTCTGACATCTTGAATCTGAAGAGTGTCAGATTTGTCCATTCCTTCCAGCGTGGCTCTCACTGATTTATCAGACTCCTCCACTTTAAAGTCAGTCTCTCTTTCATCAGGATCTTCTTGAAGATTTTCACTTTTAGGAATTAAACTTTCCAGGTTAGACTCTGAATAACTTGTTGTAGTGGGGTTCTGGACCTCAGAAGAATAACCAGGCATAATGGCTGAATACAAAGAGCTATCATGTTCTGCAGACGTGATGACATCATGTTCACTCCCTTGACTCAATTTTTCCTGACTCGTTCTCTCTATTGCCACTAACATTTGTGTTGTATCAAGGTCTTCATTATCCCTGGTAAGTTCCTACAACTTCTTCTTTGGGTCTCATGGTATGATTCTGCAACAGACTCCTTAGCCTTCTGTCTTCCTTTATTTCTTCGGCTAGACCCCAGTTTTCTTCTGTTCCCAATGGGGTTGAAGTCTGTGTCATCTTGCTGAGTTTGGGAGTCCAAAGGAACATGTATTTCTGATTGCGGGGTTTGTAAAGAAGAGTCACTCTCCTCCATTTCAGATAAGAGTCCTTCCTTCTCCTGATGAACTGTTTGTTCAGCACTGGGTTTTGCATCATGCTCTTCTTGGCCTTCAATCTCACACACCTGACCTACTGCAGTGTCTCCTATTTCAATGTCACTGATCTGTAGTTTCTCTGTATCATATACATGATAATCCTCATTTGTCTGCTCTACAGGCTCAAAGTTGTTTTCTTTTGTAGGATGCTTTTCCTGTTTGTCATCAGGATTTGAATCTTCCTGCTTGGCAGCAGAATCATTAGTACTTTTCACAATCAACTCAGCTTGGTCTATCAGGTTTCCAGAAATTATTTCTGAATTTTCTGTGGCATCATGTGTTGCACTTTCAGAGGATTGATCGATGTCATGTGTTAGCTTAAGCTCCTGTTCATGTACTTTGTTTACATCATCCTCCTAAATGATGAGCACCTCTGACGTCTTGAATCTGAAGAGTGTCAGATTTGTCCATTCCTTCCAGCGTGGCTCCCACTGATTTATCAGACTCCTCCACTTTAAAGTCAGTCTCTCTTTCATCAGGATCTTCTTGAAGATTTTCATTTTTAGGAATTAAACTTTCCAGGTTAGACTCTGAATAACTTGTTGTAGTGGGGTTCTGGACCTCAGAAGAATAACCAGGCATAATGGCTGAATACAAAGACCTATCATGTTCTGCAGACGTGATGACATCATGTTCACTCCCTTGACTTAATTTTTCCTGAGTCATTCTCTCTATTGCCACAAACATTTGTGTTGTTTCAAGGTCTTCATTATCCCTGGTATTTCCAACAACTTCCTCTGTAGGTCTGTGGTATGATTCTGCAACAGACTCCTTGGCACGCTGTCTTCCTTTATTTCTTCGGCTAGACCCCAGTTTTCTTCTGTTCCCAATGGGGTTGAAGTCTGTGTCGTCTTGCTGAGGTTGGGAGTCCAAAGGAACATGTATTTCTGATTGCGGGGTTTGTAAAGAAGAGTCACTCTCCTCCATTTCAGATAAGAGTCCTTCCTTCTCCTGATGAACTGTTTGTTCAGCACTGGGTTTTACATCATGCTCTACTTGGCCTTCAATCTCATATACCTGACCTAGTGCAGTGTCACTCATCTGTAGTTTCTTGGTATCATATACATTATAATCTTCATTTGTCTGTTCTAGAGTCGCAAAGTTGTTTTCTTTTGTAGGATGCTCTTCCTGTTTGTCATCAGGATTTGTATCTTCCTGCTTGGCAGCAGAATCATCTTTACTTTTCACAATCAACTCAGCTTGGTCTATCAGGTTTACAGAAATTATTTCTGGATTTTCTGTGGCATCATGTGTCGCACTTTCAGAGGAGTGATCGATGTCATGCATTTGTGATGGATTACACTCCTGTTCATGGACTTTGTTTACAGCATCCTCTGAATGATAAGCACCTCTGACTTCAGATAAGATGAAATGCTGAGTTTGTTCCTCATCTTTAGGCAACTCATCTTTTTTTGATGAAAATATGTCTTGCTCAACACTGTATTCAAGTTCAGTATTCTCTCCAGGGCTGCTTTTATCTGTGGTTATCTCTGATGTGGTAGAAAACTGTATTACTGATGTTAAATGAGACTCACTCACTAAATAGCTGCCCTGCTCCTCGTCTCTTTCTTTGCAGTCTTTTTCTGTTACAGAATACACATTGAGAAGTTCTTCTTCTGCCTTCTCCATAGAATTTGATTGGTTGATTAGCTGTTGATCTACTGTGGGACATGAAAGTAGACTTGAAGTAGTTAACTCAGAGATGGCAACAAGATGTGCATTTTGTTTGACTTCCTCACCCTGAAGAGTATCAGATGTGTTAGTCCCTCCCAGCATGCTTTCCACTAATTTACAAGAATCAGACACTACTTTGTAGTCCATCTCATCTTCATCTTGTTCTGGTTGCAGATTTTCACTTATGGGAATTAAACTTTGCAGGCTAGGCTCTGGACAGTTTGTTGAAGTAGATTTTTGAACCTCAGAAGAATCATCAGGTGTAATGGCTGAATACAAAAAGCTGTTGTGTATTGCAGACACAATATCATGCTCACGCCTTTCACTTAATTCTTCATGTCTCTCTGGTTGTATTGCCAGTGACGTTGTCACTGTTGTTTTGGGGGTTTCATCACTCCAGGTCTCCTCATCAACTTCCTGTCTAGGTTTGTGGAATGACTCAGTTGCTGAGTCCCTGACATGCCGTCCTCCTCGATTTCTTCGACTTGCACCCAGTTTTCTTCTGTTCCCTGTGAGCTCTGGTGAAGGTGGATTTTGAATTTCAGATTGCAATTGGTCAGGATTAGCCAATGCATTTAATGATTCTCTATTTTCTTCTGGTATGTCATGTGCTACGGAGGCACTCTCCGTTATGAGGAAGTCATCTGCCTCAGATGTTTTATTTTGGTTTGGTTTCCGACGTGAACCAATTCTTTTTTTCTTCGCATTTTGAGCAGACATGACTTCTTATCTTCTCTCCTAAAGCATGAGACACTCAGTCATGCAAGAGTCAGCAAATCAAATTTAAATCTACCACCCATTAGCATCAGATAACATCTACTGAAACTCAAAAGAATCTGTACTAATCTCCATTAACTGCTGGGAAACAATCAAAATAATGATTTTGTTCTCCAAAAACACACTAACATAAAGCAGCAAGATGCAAACGGATTTTTGACACTTCTATTGAAACTGCTTCTACTATACTGCTAAGTCACTCTCAAGGTAAAAACTGTTAGTTATTTCCTTTTAAAAGGTCTAAACTGCACACATTACATTAATCAGTAAATAACATGAGTCTGAGCAAAAAATACTTTTGATTAATGATTTCAGGCCTTCTACAAAATTGTTACGACGCCACACGTACTTACCACCCAAATCTGGCACCTCTGTCGTCTCACAACATGAGCTTGTTCATAATGTCATCAACCGTTACTGATCGTTAGTTACATTTCACACATGGGGGGGGGGTTGTTCCTTTACTGCAACTATGACTGATAGCTTCCTGTGTGGGTTACACTCGCAGCCTTCATCAGCTAACAGAAAATACATCCTGTACTTCCTGAATTGAGTCAAGCTTAATTTTCCATATGTACGTTTTTATATAATATAAATCTTATTGGTGTATAGAACTATTCAAAAAGCAGGAGGAGGAGATAATATCACCTTGGAAAAACATTTATTGAACAAGTTGTTTAACTGCATCAGCACAAACTGTCAGAGCTCAGAGAATCAAGCAAAGTTGAATAGAGTAAATGCCTTCCTTTGCAAAAGTGACATAGGTAAAATACAGAATTACAGATGACATTTTAGGCTTCAAGGATAGCCTGCAAATAACAGCACCAGTATTTACAACATTTGTTACCAGTCTGCTTTCTGTCACTGGTGTAAAGTATGCCTGGTGGTGCAGCTCACAGTAAGCCATTGCCAGTAAGTTAAGAGTCAAGAATAAAAAAAAAAACCAAAACAAAGAAAAACAAACGAAGACATGAACTTTAATTCAAAGGTTTAAAAAAAGCAGGATGGTTCTGTAAAAATAAATCCAGTATTCCATTTTAAAACATGCAGGGTAAGAATTGGTGAATGCTTTATAGCGTAAATTCAAAGAGGAAAAAAACCTTTTCAGTAAAATGGGTAAATCTTGCCATGAGAACCAACAAAAGGAGAAAAACACTCAGGTCCTTTGTTAATTCACCAGACTGCTATTACACAATATGTAACGTGGCCAACCTTAGGCTGTCTTGAGCTGGCAAACAATCTAAAAAAAAAAACCCTACTATAAAAATTTGTATTTTCACAACCATAGCAGGATCCAGCAGATGAACCATCATTTAAGGTCTTCATTTCCTCTCAGTAGACGGGGAATGACTGTAAAATAAATAAACTAGTGAATAAAAGCAAAATGACAACATTATGTTAGAATACAGTTTGGTAATAATCACTGATACTTAAAACGTACCTCCTGGACCGTGAGAAAGATCTTGAGCGCTTATGATTCTTGTCTCTGGAGAGAGACCGATATCTGCGTCTGTCTCTTGAAACAGACCTGGTGAACCAAACCAAAAACGGTTAACATGAATTATATAGTTGATTACAAATGCACCGTTTAAATAAAAAAACAGTTGTAACAAGCTTACCTGCTGCGACTGCGGCTCAGGCTCCTCCTCTTCGGTGATCTACGGCGTAAATGAAGTTAAAGAAATAAAACAAAAAACATTAGGGAAAGAGAATATAACCCTTCCTATTACTAATGCAACCTTTGGTATTCCTGATCCTTAAAGAGACATGGGTTACACGTGGAAACGTGGTTACACGTAGTTCCTTGTCTGTTAATAGAAGGATCATCTGCATCCATGAACTGCATCAAGATCAACTCATTAAGAGGAAACCAATCATGGAGAACAAAATCAGGGCTCGACATTAAGACTCGCCTGGGACAAACACCAAGTAAAATATGTGACAATTTAACAATTATGACAAGTGGGCAAAAATTATTCTAAAACAATGCTGCTTTAACATTTTTCTGCAAAATGATTTACACAAAGTCCCTGCTAAAAGTAAACTGCGATATACCCGTGGACCTGATCAGAAACGGAGACTGTGGTTGCCTTCACTTTTAGTTCAAAGCCACCTGGATGTAGGTGAACCGTGAACCACTGAACGGTCTTGTGACTGAAGCATTCAAACATTATTAACCTACAAGTCTTGGCTCTAAAGATTTGCTGCAATACAACCTTAATAACACTGAATTTTAGATGAAATATTTAATTTGGAAAGCGGTGGACTCGAGGTGAGAGGATATTTTGAAAATGGAAAAGGACAGTATTAAACTCAAGATGGTTTAATGTCGAGCCATGAAAATGCACTCAGCAGCCCAATTACTCTGTGAACATCCGATAAAGGTAGTTCATTTTTGCAAATGAAAATTAAAAGACTGATGGTAAAGTTCCTTGACCACAACTTTTGATCTTTAGATTTTTGCAGGTCTGCACTGAAATTGCTCTTAATAACATAACTGCTGAGGGAAAACTGTCAAGCAGCTTTGAAAGCTAGATTAAGCATAAAAACTACAAAGAGCAGGATAAAAGCAACTTACTATTTTGGGGGATTTGGACAAGATAGAAATGACGCAAGGAAGCCAGACTGATGGTGAGGGAGGTCGAATTGCAGAGAGGATTTGCCACATGATGCAAATGTTGGAGATATGAAGTTGCTTGGTGGCTGGTAGGAAGGGGTAGTTGTAGATTTTCCCTGCCTTTTTGGGGGGGAAGGATGGGAAGGGATGTAAGCCAAGGGCTGTTCCCGTTGTGTGGAGAATAGAGAGAGTAAAGACGCTGACTGGTTGATAATGTGAAGTGGACCGCTGTCGATTGGGTTAAGGTTGGAGGAAGAAGAGGAGGATGCTGGGAACTGC